GAGAGATAGAGTTTTTTGATAAAAGGGGCTTGGTGCCCCTCCCATTGTAACATCTATTTTACATTATGATTACAGCCATCATGATAGAAGATCTGTTCCAGGAAGGAGCCACCATGTCAAATTCTTTAGGCAGTTAGTGGGGGAGGTCAAATGTCTCTCAGAGAAAACAATCAAGGTAAAGAGATATATTTCAGGGTCTCCAAATCTTGATCTCCCACAGTACTGTATGTAATGCATATCCGATATATAGAGAGAGAGATATAAAGATTTTTTTCACCCCGCAAAAACCATTTTTACCCTCATTGAGAAGGCATGTTCTTGACCCAGATCTACCGTTACCTTTCTATGTTTTCTTAAGCTATTGCCATTTCTGACTCTTAGCTACCTCTTTGCAACCTCACCAGGAAGTATGAGATTATTCTCAAGATTCCTCCAATGTTCTGTCCCTCCACAGACACTATCTCATTAATGAACTTGCCCTTCGACCCACATACAGCATTTGGTTGCATCTCTGTTGGGGGTATACACTGAAAAATTGACAGTAAAATAAGTATAAAAATGAACTACAGGGCCAGCCCAGTGGCGCAAGCGGTTAAGCGTGTGCACTCCGCTGTGGCGGCCTGGATATCGCTGGTTCGGATCCTGGGCGCGCACCAACGCACCGCTTGTTAAGCCATGCTGTGGCGGAGTCCCATATAAAGTGGAGGAAGATGGGCACAGATGTTAGCCCAGGGCCAGTCTTCCTCAGCGAAAAAGAAGAGGATTGGCATCGGATATTAGCTCTGGGCCGGTCTTCCTCACAAAAAAAAGAAAAATGAACTACATTTTTCCTTATTCTGGGGTCAATTGCTTTTGAGCCCCCAGTCAGCCTAAAGCTGATGCTTAGTTTATTCCAATCTGGCAAGCTCGGACAGTCTGACAATTTGTCAGTTAGACAGGATTTATCACCATTAGTTCCCTTGGAGTTCAAAGCCCTTTCTCCACTCCTGGGCCCCATATGGATTATAAGCATCCTCATTAAACAAGAGGGAAAGGGTGTGACCTGCTCTTTACCCTTCCACTCCCTGGTCAGTGCCCAGCTCCCAGGTAATGACTTCAGATGACCCAGAGGGAGCAGTCCCCTTCTCAGCCACAGCTTCATTTTCCTTCAGTTGCTGGTGGGATTTAACTGTTGAGGTTGGGACAGTTTGGTATCTCACCCAGATATTCAGATGCGGCTCTGTTGTGTAGCACACGCCATGGCTTGTTGGTGCCCGTCTGGGCGTCTCGCCCATGCATACTTCTGGTGTCCCCCTCACTACTGGGCAGTGTATTGAAGGGTGCAAACAAGCCACCCCACGCTCACAGCTACAGTCTTGGGTTTATCCAGGCTTCAGGGATTCTAGCAATCTGACATGGCAGACTTTAAATCCAAGGGAAAACAAGGCAAGGAAGATCTTGACTCCTTCCATTTGCTTTGTTTTCTGCCACTTAACAAACACCATAGAAGCAGCTACCAGTTGGAACCTCCATTCAGAAACATCACTAACCTTTCAGGGAGGAGCACCTTCCCTTTGTTGGGAGACACAGTGAGCACATAAGACCCCATTGGGGAAGGCAGAGGACAAAGCCCTCACAAACTCCCTTTTCAACTCTCTTTCTCTCACACCACATCTCCTGATGGAACAGTCTAGTGCGGCAGGGTGGAGGCATTTATTTTAACTAAAAAGAAATAAAATTGTTTTTCTTTAGTCTCTGGCTCTGATTTCTCTCCTCTATAACCCAGCACTTTCCACTCAGCCAGCAGGTGGAGAATAAGGAACCAGTCAGCAGCCTTTAACAAAAATTGTGACATATATACAGTAGGATTCATGATTTCTCTTTTCTGTTTTCTGTCCTGTGCTCTGTCGGGGGAAGAGGGAGAATCCCCCTCTGCCCTTTCGCTTAGGGTTCTTATGGCTGGCCAAATAATTAATAAGACAGGTTAGCAGGAGAAAATAATACCAAGTTTAATAACATGTATACATGGGAGAAAGCAGAGACACTGTGTTTCTCAACACAATAGCAGAAATTCTCGTCTTAAATACCATGTTCAGCTAAGGACAAAGGAGGATGTTGCGGGTGGGGGGAGTCAGTTACAGGAGATTACCACTAAAGCACAGTAAACAAGAGTAAGGTTATTATGCAGATTTAAGGCCGCACCTTCCACATTGATAAGTTTCTAGAAATGAGGTCATCCCCCCTCTTCCCAATACTGAGAGGGAGATACCTTTACAAATGGAGCTTCCCTTATAAATGTAAATGTTTGTCTGGCAACTCCTAGCAGGGCCATCCAGAGAATGTGGCCAGAAAGACAGAACTTCCGATAAGATGGGCTTGTTGCTGCCTTTCCTATTGTAACATCTATTTTACATTATATTACAGCCATCAGATGGATGATCTGTTCCTGGAAGGAGTTACTAGGTCAAACTCTTTAGGCAGTTAGTGGGGGAGGTCAAGTGTCCGTCAGAGAAAACAATCAAGGTAAAGAGAGATATTTCAGGTGGCCAAATCTTGATCTCCCACAGCTCCAAGGCCCTGGAAGCAGAGAATGTACACTGTAACACTTCATACTGAGTTTTACTTATCTACTTCCTCCACATCTGTATCTCTTCTGTACTCTCTCTCTAAATTAATGGTGTAATTATCCACCCAATTCAAAACAGAGGGATTATCCTGGGTACCTCCCTCATCTTTATCACCTATGGTCAATCAGTCATTAAATCCTGTAAACTCCTCCTCTGTGATATATTTCTGTCATAATCTCCCTCTTTGTCCCTCTACTGTCTTCCAGCTTTCACCTTTTGCTTGAACAATTGCAATAAACTCCTAATTTCATTCCCAGTCAATGAAACCTCTCCCTACCCCCACACTGAGCATTTCTTCCCAACAATATGACCAGGTAACTCGCCTGCCTCAAAATATTTGACCTCTGTGGAAACAATACAAGCTCCATACTTGAGAAAAGAAAATATGAAATGAGAAATTTTTCTTTATGAAGAGAATAAGCTTTAGTTAGTAAGAATCAAATAAGAAGCAAATCACTTAGACTTAAAAAGGTATTTTGTTTATTCAGGTATGGTGTTGTGAATCCCTTCTCTCTGCTGATAACAGAAGCTCGAGGAAAAAAAATATCACCGTGGGGGTTAGAGAACCTATTTGCTAGCTAATCAAATTGGGTTAAGATCTAAAGTAAGATTAAATTGATCATGCTGGATCTGCTCACTATCTTTAGTGAAGATTTGTCTACAGTGGTTTCCTGCCCTTTTCAGAGTGAAGAAATAAGAACTGTGTTGCTGCCAAATTGTTTTATTACCCACATAAAACTCAAACCTTTATGTTTGTCAAGATTTACATGGCTGGAGAATTATCATAAATCACAATTAACAATAGCTTAGGAGATAAGGTTAATAAATTTTACAAGTAGTTAATCACCTTATCTAAAATAGCACCCCTCTAGGTCTTTACCCAGCTTTATTTTTCTTCAAAGTACTTATCACCACCCAACATCTCGTCTGTTTTTTGTCTCTACCAGAAAGTAAACGCCATAAGGGCAAGGACTTTGTTTTGCCAAAACAATAGTACTGCATGTATTTTATTCATTTGTATATATCCCTAGGACAGTACTTGGTACCAAGTGAGCCTCAGTAAATACTGCATAGGTTAAAGGAAAAAAAAACCTCCCTCGTGTAGCCCAGAAACGGCTTCTCACTTTACATATTATCTGCAAGGAAGACATCTGCATAGTCCCCAGAACAGCCCCGGGTAAGAGGCAGAGCCTGTCCTATCAGCCCTGTTAGACAAGCATACACTCAAGCTTGGAAATGTGCATGAGGAGATCACAGAGCAATAAGAAAAACTAGAATCCGGCCAGGTCACTCTCCGACCTTGAGTGATTCAAACACTCTTCCTATACCGCGAGGTAACCTTTAGCGTCAGACCCGAGAAACCGGTTGGCTCTGGTCTGAAACTATGTCGCAGTACACTCTTGAAAAGGCACAAAAAGGCGACAAGAGGAAAGGAACAGGGCGACGGCATAATTCTTAATTCTCCCGCTATCCTCTCTCAATTTTCAAATAATTTTTGTAACTGCTGCAAGTGAAACTTGAGACACAAAAAGAGGGCGAGCTCCACTACCCATAGCTAAGATGGCCGAAACGCCTTCTCTACCCGCACCCAGAATGGACGTCGACTGTGACGCTCCCAACAATCCTCCACTGGCGCCGCCCCTCCGGCCCGGAACTCCTCCTCCCTACTGTGCCCGCCCTTCCGTCAGAGATCTGCTCATGATTGGTTGTCCGTGATATTTGCCGCTTCTCCGGATGTTACGTGACGCAGTGAGTAGGGGGGAATGTGCGCGCGCCGACGGTAAGAAACGAGGACTGTTGCGGGGCGTGTGCGTCCGCGCTCCGGCGGCCCGGAAGGGGAACTGGGCGCTGGGGGTGTCCGGGGACTGAGGTACGGCTCCCCGGGGTCGAGGGCACCCGAGCTCCGCCGTGCTCCTGGAGCCCGGTCCCGCGGGGCCGTTGGGTGCCTCTCCGGAGGCCCGGAGGTGGCGGCGCTGGCGGCGCGTCAGGGTCGTCGTCCTGCGGGTGACCGGGCGGATGGGGGCGGCGGCCGCGGGGCCGGGGTGGGGGGCAGGGGCCCGCCCTCGCTGCCTTCTCCGTGGCCAGCGGGGTGCTGAGTCATCCCCCGCCCTGGCAGATGGGGAGTGCCTGAGGTGGGGATGGTGTTGAGTGGTGTGGTCTGGGAGGCTGCGGGCTGGTCGCTGGGTTGTCGTCCGAGTCTGGCAGGGGACCAGGCGCCCCAGGTCATCAGTCCTCCGGGAAGCCTATGGGGTCGGTGATGTTTATCCATTGTATGGCTAAGGCACGTGGGTCTCAGGTCAGACAGTCGGACGGGGCCGCGTCTAGGATGTGGTAGAGGCAAGACGCCCACCGTCTTCTGTCACACGACCTGGAGGCCGCTCTGTGAGCTGGGCCCCTTTCCTAGCAGGTGTGTTGAGGACTGAGATGATGTAATGGCATGAAAGTGCTGGAAGGATTCGGTATTTTCGCAAAGGATGGGTGCCCAGTGTTCATTCTTCGTAGATCCAGTAGCAGAGCTGGAAGTACTCTCAGATAGGTATTTTTAAGCAAGAATTCTTAACTGTTTGGGTGCTAGTTAGAAATACGTATTCCTGTGTCCCATTCCTAGAGGTTGAATCATTAGGACCAGAGTAAGACCCAGGAATCTGCATTTTAAGATGCATCCCAGGTAGTTTCAATATCTTGAATATTTTTATATAGTATTTTGAAAGGAAGTAATATTTGGCACGTTTAGCAGCAATTTACACTGTTTGGTTTCCGTGGATGTCCTATAGCCTTGCAGTGCAGTGTGTCCTGGAAAAGTTACTCATCTCTTCCTTGGATGACATTTTCCCTCTGCTCAAAAGTCATAGAGAATCTTCTTTTAGATTTTTCCATTGAATACTGGTATAAATTTTAAGCCAAAACCATATTTATGAAAGCCATTACGTACCCTGTAATTCTGTTAAGATATTCACATCCACTCTGTTTTGACACATAACATCCAGAGTCATGCATCTTGCTATTGTTCAAACTGGATTTAAACCTCCTTTGGTTGTCCCTCCCAAACTGGGTTCTGTGGGATGGATTTCTTGAATTCCCCGGGGAGAAGCAGAGGATTCATCCTAAACCGTTAAAAAGGTCACTTTATTCCATCTATTCTGCTCAGAGATGATTGGCTTTTTCTTGTCTCTGGATCCACTGTGTCCTTCCCTCAATTGGTTAATGGGTTATTTTTTGTCTCTGTCTCTAACTAGCATTTTAGATCTGCTTGGTGAACCTGGGACACCACCATGCTGGCCACAAGACTCGTGTGTCTTCGGACACTACCTTCTAGGGTTTTCCACCCAGCTTTCACCAAGGCCTCCCCTGTTGTGAAGAATTCCATCACAAAGAATCAATGGCTCTTAACACCCAGCAGGGTAAAGATAACCTGAATGTTTTTATATTGTTTCTCTCTCCTTCCTTCCCTCTTTCTCCTTGCTCTCCCTCTCTCCCTGCCCCTGGGGCCCTTGACAGAGTATGGGGCTCCCTACTCTACCATTTGTGATTTATTGAAACAGTTAGCTGTGATAATGTCCCAAATCAGCTTTCTCCCCATTAGTTTTGTATTATTCTGTTCCATCCTTATCACGTATGAAAGAGAAAAAGAACTATAACTTTCCTATACTTACAGCTCTTGGAGTTTCTCATTTAGAGAATTTAGAGTAATTTATGAGGGACTGAGGGCTATATGGTGCAACAAAGAGATCTTGGAGCGTGTAGTCAAAAACTTAAGAACCCAGGAATATTACCACTTGGTCAGTAGCTTATTAATGTTACTAAATAGGTCATTTCTGCTCTTGTTTAGAGAATGGCAAAATCTGTCAGGTTAGAGAGAAACTTATTTCCTTTTATAATAGATTTCTCCTCTAGTATTCAAATTAGGAGCATAAATTTTGAAATGTGAGGTTAAGAAGAAGCTAGAAGAGACAGCTTTTTTCATCCTAAATTAACTGTTCCACTGTTGAAAAAGAACTGAAGTAGAGGCAGTAGTCATCCCTCCCTTTGGCTTTGTGTTGAGGAAAGATACCTTTCCTGAGCCCTTTTTCTGCATGAAAATATGTAACTAATACTTACTGAATGCGTGTTTTTAAAATGTTAGTGTTTAAAATATAATTCTAGAGATATGAAGAAAATCTGTAGTTTATGAAATAAACAATTATTCTGAAACTTAAGACATTAAATTTTAATGAATTTGTGACTCACTTTGAAGATAGAGCACAGATAGGGTCTACATTTAATTTTTTAGATTGGCTAACGTACTTTCATAGTGAAATTATGTACATAGAAAGTACCAAATTACTTTATATGTGGTTTTCTGGTATAACAAGATCCTCTGTTTTATTTTATTGTTAACATTCTGTTTGGTGTGGGTGGTATGTGTCTTTGTTTTCATATATATCAGGAATATGCCACCAAGACAAGAATTGGGGTCCGGCGTGGGAAAACTGGCCAAGAACTCAAGGAGGCGGCATTGGAACCATCTATGGAAAAAATATTTAAAAGTAGGTGGCAGGGTACCTCGCTAGCACAGTAGGTAGTACATCAGTCTCATACAAGTAGGTGGCAGTCTTTAGTGCTTAAACTGGAGTAAGTGGGTATGTTTTAAGAGGTACATGAACAGCCTCCTAAAAATATGCAGACTTGTGTATATGTGCATTTTCTGGGAAGAAAGGCTATCATTCTCAGGGATCTGATGACCCAGAAAAGATGGATACTTGACACTGGGTACAATGGTTCCCAGTCATATTTCTTCCAGAGAAAATTTTATTTTCACCATTATTTTTTTTTTTAAGCTTTAGTTAATATACCATGATCTAAAACATATAGTCTGTTAAGGAAGTTCATTTGAAGTTGCACAGAATCTTCATTCAAGCATATGATATTTGTGTATGTTTCAAGTCAAGAGTAAATCACCAAAACCTACATGTTTATAAAAACCTAGCTATTTAAGAAGGGTCCTTAACTGGCTGCCCGTATAGGGCCTCTCAGGAAGCAACACTCTAATGCAGTCAGTTTGGTTCACAGTTTGAATTTCAGCTTTGCAAGTTCAGAAACTAGATTGTTAATCTACCCAAAGCCAAGGAACACTACTGCTCCTTAACAACCTTGCAAAATGTCGGTGTACTATAATGGGAGAGAGCTCTAATCCGTTTCCCTCAAGGTATTTCTTTCTGATTAGTAAATTGGCTCTCAGAACCAAATTATATGAATCATGTAGCGACAGCATAGTAACACTCTTAGTGAACAAATTCAGACTGAAGGGAGTAAATGCTCTTTATGAACGCCTCCATCCGGTTCCAGTTGGTAAGTTGTTTCTTTCTCAGTACTCTAAAACAAGAGCACAGCCTCTCCCTTGATTTAAAACAAGAGCACAGCCTCTCCCTTGATTCTGCTGCGTAAACGCTGATTACGTTTTGCTTTGGTTCCTTGTTTCCTTGACTCCATGTAAAGGGCCATCTTTGTTAATAGCACTTTAGACTCACACTGACTTAACAGTTCTTTCTCATCTTTACTTTCTAAGAGTGTCGTGAGAACACACGCCAGACTTTTATGAATAAAATAACATATCACAGAAGTATCCTTATCTCCAGATACACTGCCTCCTCAGGTTTTATTGAAGTGAGATTGTAGGTTGATCAAGTCTAATCCTTTTTGTACTGATTATTAACACCTACGTTTCAGTTTCAGCAGTGCCCTTTTTTACTTGTCCCCTAATTTTGAAACCATTTCTATATCTCCATATGTACTCATTATTGCTGTTACAAAGAAGTATGGTATATGGTTTGATTTACCACCTGCATTTTAATTTAGTCAAGACATGACAGTGTTAATGTGTGTTTCCTCCTGTGTTCTTCAGTTGATCAGATGGGAAGATGGTTTATTGCTGGAGGGGCTGCTCTTGGTCTTGGAGCGCTGTGCTACTATGGCTTGGGAATGTCTAATGAGATTGGAGCCATTGAAAAGGCTGTGTAAGTAAATTGTTCCCAAACAATTTCAGCCTTAAAGGTGCCAATTTTCTTTTCATTCTTTTGCCACTTTTGGAATGTTTTATGTTTAGTCTTCCAACTGTGTAGCAATATACAGGAATAAAAATAGAGTCTCCTTGTGGTACACACACACACACACACACACACACACACACACACCGGAATACTACTCAGCCATAAAAAAGACAGTTGTGACACACACACACACACACACACACACCCCGGAATACTACTCAGCCATAAAAAAGACAGTTGTGACACACACACACACACACACACACCCGGAATACTACTCAGCCATAAAAAAGACAGTTGTGCCATTTGGGACAACATGGATGGACCTTGAGGGTATTATGCTAAGCGAAGTAAGTCAGGAAGAGAAAGACAAATACTGCATGATTTCACTTTATGTGGGAGATAAACACATAGATAAGGAGAAAAGATTAGTGGTTACCAGAGGGGAAGGGGGTTGGGGAGGGTGAAAGATGTAAAGGGGCACATATATATGGTGATAGATAAACTAGACTATAGGTGGTGAACTCAATGCAGTCTATACAGAAACTGAAATATAACAATGTACACCTGAAATTTACACAATGTTATAAGCCAGTACGACTGCAATAAAATAATAAAAACAAAATAGAATCTCTTGTTTCCTTGGCATATATTTATTGAAACCTAAATAAAAATCTTTTACCAAGGTTATATGTGTTTAAACAAGGAGAAAATGTGTTGCTTTGTATATGTGCCAAGTGCTTGTATGTTTTAGATCATTTAATTTTTATGGTAACTCTTAACGTATGCATCAGTTCCATGGTAAATGAGGTGACTAAGATTTAGAGCAGTAAAGTGATATTCCCCCAGGTCTCCCAGCTAGGAAATGATTCAACCAAAATATATATCCATAATCTTATAAATTAACTATGTTGTGTTTCTTACAGAATTTGGCCACAGTATGTGAAGGATAGAATTCATTCTACCTATATGTACTTAGCAGGAAGTATTGGTTTAACAGCTTTGTCTGCCCTGGCAGTGAGCAGAACTCCTGTTCTCATGAACTTCATGATGAGAGGCTCTTGGGTGGTAAGTTGGCTTGTTTTTGTGTTCCTTGTCCACTAAATACCAAAAGATTAGATGCAAAATGTTAGGAAGGGGTATTAAATGGAAAGAATACTATGTTGAAAGTTTTTGTTCAAATATATGAATTATTAGTGCAGCTGAGACAAAGTAGGAAGTACATTCTAAGGTTAAGTCAGCTGTGTTTGTTGAATGTGTATTTTAATAGCAGCAAAGGAGTTGGAAAGCAAACTTAAAGGAACATCCTTCTTATCTAGCAGATGTCGAGCAGCCTCTTTTGTAGCAGTTTACTAAAAAATAAGGCAGATGGAAAACCATCTTAGAGGTCATTGGAAAATATGTCACAAAAACTCAAGCATTCTATACTATTAAGAGTAGAAGAGTCCTGCCACAATTATTCTGAACTTTCTCGACCCAGTATAAGGTTTTATATTCACTGAGTGTCTTTTGATCATTTGTTGTTTTTCTAGATACTAAAAAGTGGTTTCAAATTCGGTGCCTATTTTTCTGCTGATTGAAGAGATGAACTGGAGTAAGTGGTAGAGGATGTGCAATAAGTAGAAAGTGTAAAATCATTTGAAAGACTTTTTGTCTTGAACTAGTAGGGAAGTTCCATGAAGGAGGCGTTTATTTCATCAGGGCCGTTGAAGGCTAGCATTTTTGATTTTAGGAGAGGGCAAGAGCAGTCCAAGTTTGCAGAACAGCTTGAACAAAGTAGAGGAGGTAGTCATTAAAAGTAACTTTATAATCCCGTTAGAGTGAAGTTAGAATATTTGAGGTCTGGAGTGTGAAGAAGACACAATTAGAGAGGCAGTGTTTGACTGCCAAGCTGAGGAGAGAACCTAAGCAGTCAGAGGCCATTGCAGTTGCTGGAATGGCAAAAATATAATTTGTATTTGAGTTTCAGGAACTAATGTGGAAGAGACAAGAAGCAGGTGTACCAGCTGTGCCTTTGCAAGATCTGAAATGAAGGACGATAAGAACTAGAGCAATGAGTGTGAGACTGGAAGGGCAGGGGAGATGGGAGAGTTTATAATACTTAACAGATTTCCCATGGCAAACCAGTTCTCCCCAGAGGTAACCCAGGTCCATCATATTTCCACTGTAGTGTACTTTCCAAGAGGAGAACCATTTACAGTAGCATAGCCGTGTGGACGCCTCAGTATCCTTAGGATCTTGCTTTTCAGAGGGGTGTCATGAACTCCTAACCTAGAGGATCATGAAGGCACAGAATAAGCAGGGTGCGTTCTCAGCTGGAATGTCAGTTTTAATCAGAGTTTTTATTAAATTATGTTTAAATAATTTAAAACAATGCTTTTGTAATAAAGCAAACATGGCTGTATGAGAGAGATTTAAGTATGCAAAAGAGTTTAGCCCCGCAAATAAGACTTCAGAGAAGTGTTGTGCTTGGGCCATATTCTCAACCTCCTGTGGGCGTAAGATTGCTCTCACCTGCTATTAGGGCTACTTAAGTAAAGTAGTTTGGAAAGCCAGGTAGGTGCTACAGAGATGGAGAATGGAGCCTTTAGGGGGTGACAGACATACAGAGATAAAAGTTTGTACCAAGTGCTTTTGGAACAGAGGAGAGGCATCTGACACTGCTCGTGGCAGCCAGGGTACCTACCAGAAAACCTTCCCAGAAGAAGAGGTAATCCTTGAATAAGTCACCCGGCTAGGAAGGAGGTATTCTTAGGCCTCATGAACAGCATTAAAGAGGCATGAAACTGGGACATGTTGCAGCCCTACTAGTTCAGTGTAGCTTGAGTGTAGAGTGTGGAAAGGTAAAAGGCCAAAAATGAAACTGAATCCTGAAGGACCTTAAAAGAAAAAAATATGGTTGTGATAAATACCCTGAAAATGCTTTGCACAGAGGTGTATGAAATAGTCTTTAGTCACTGTTTTTCCATTGGAAAGTGGTAGAGTAGAACCCAGTGTGCTTTTTTGTATTAACATGAGTGAAGGCTTTTCCATTCTCAGCAAAAACAGCTGTTCTGTTTACCTGTACTTTACACAGGGGTTGAACGTTCAGATGCCGTGGGTCCAACAGGTAATGCAGATGAGTGGGGCAGGCCAGGTATGTGGCACAGGAAATTGGCATCTAGAGAAAGCCTTCCCAACTAAAAGCATTCACATGGAATTGTTTTTTGAAGACTTCGCCAAACAAAACGTCTGCCTGATTGTGTCCAGAGGCTGCAAGTTTGCAATTTCTGCTTTAAATTTCCTGAAGGGTCATTATCATCTTTCTTCCATTGTATATATTTCTTCCTTGTTATACACAAGGAATATTTAAATGTTAGAAGAGTGGAAGTCTAAGATAGGCAAAGAAAAGAGATGAGGACCAATTCAGCCAGAAAACTGGGAGGACAGAAACATAGCATCTTGTTTCTCCTGTTTTCCATGTGCTTCTATTTTTCAGGTTCTCATTTAGCAAATATGGAGTTTCAAGGCAATGTGCTATATATATTCTAAGTGGTATATTATGACTGATTTTTTTTATTTTATTTGTGCTGTACTAAAATAAATATAATTAAAAATAATTATTTGGGGATTCTAAAAGGGGTTTGTTACACCTGTAACAAGAATAAAATTTTTAAGATGATGGTGTCAAAGCTCAACTCATTCACTTTAAGTTGTCTGCAAAACTTTATGTATTGCATAGGGGGCACTCCTGCTAATTTAGCCAAACGGAAAGGAACCTCAGGCCTTTAATGTGCTAGATAAATAAAGGATTCAGTTTATGGTTTTTTTTTTTTTTGGTGAGGAAGATCAGCCCTGAACTAACATCTGCCAATCCTCCTCTTTTTGCTGAGGAAGACTGGCTCTGGGCTAACATCCATGCCCATCTTCCTCCTCTTTATATGGGACGCCACCACAGCATGGCCTGACAAGCGGTGCGTCGGTGCGCGCCCGGGATCCGAACCGGCGAACCCCGGGCCGCCGCAGCAGAGTGCTCACACTTAACCGCTTGCGCCACCGGGCAGCCCCTCCGTTTATCTTTTTAAACATGGTTTATCAGAGGGACTAACTGAAATTGGAACTTATGGGTTTCTGCTTTGTTGTTGTACAAAGATTGATTTTTCTTAGTGATATGTGTCTTTCAGACAATTGGTGCAACCTTTGCAGCCATGATTGGAGCTGGAATGCTAGTACAGTCAATACCATATGACCGGAGTCCAGGCCCAAAGCATCTTGCTTGGTTACTACATTCTGGTATGTTCTGATTTTAAATTGTTATTAAATAGTCTTGAATCATACCTTTTTTGGTGGCTCTTCACAACTGGAAATGACGTGCATAATTTAGTTAAGCCTCGTGTTTAGAAACACAGTTTTCTCCACTTACTATGGTTGTATTATTGCCACACCTCTACACTGAAAAATGAATGATTCTCATACTGAAACCATGGACATCCCCAATGTTACACTTGCCTCCTGTGACAGTCTAGTATATGCAGAGATTTCCTTTTATGCATTTTGTCTAATATCAGGAGGATTTCAAAGCTGGTACACATCATTTGAGAATTGTTCTTGTTATGTATCTTTAGAAAAATAAAAACTGAGGGTGGAGAAGAGAAGGAGGAGGTAAGACGTGGAAGAATAGGAGTAGAGGTTTTGGCAATGGAGCACTGGGAGCAAGAAAGCAGTAAAAAAGATCTTTGGAAATGCGTGTTTGTGTCTCATACGGTTAGCTGGGTAGCTATTTAGATAGCTCTTGGCACAGAATTACTGTGGGCAGGGTAAAGGCTCTCCAACCCTGGTATTGCAGGACAGTTTTAATATTTTTTTAAGTACATGTTGTGATCTTTCTCCTAATTAAGGAAAGAAAGATTTTAAAGTTTGGAGAAAGTGTTTTCCACTTTGTCCCAGAAACAAAAATGCTTCTTAGATGCATGTTCTCTACCACAAAGCAAGACAAAATTTTATAAGTATTTCCTTGAAACTTCCAGGGAGACACTCTGAAATGTTTCTGACATTGGTTAGTAATGGGAAATTAGGTTTTGGTACCAGTGTGCCAAATTTCTGGTGTGAAATATGTCATTTATATTCTTCATCTGCTGTCTTTGTTTTGGTGAACATGAGACAGCATGACTTCCCAACCTTGGTGTTCAAGTCTCTTTCGTTAGGTCTTAGGTTTTTTGACTTTAGATATTCTCCATGGAGGTTTACAGGACAAAACCCTTGTGGTTGGCAGGGACGGTGGTCCATTAGCTTCTAGTACCAATAACCTGCTTCTAAGAAAAAATTTAAAATATAGTATGGTACATTTGCTATAAAATTTAATATCTCTAAGTGCCATCTGTAGTATTGAAGGATTATTCAATTGAACTTTGGAATAACTACATACCCTAGTAGTGTACAGAGCTTTTTTTTTTAAAGTGTGTATCCTTTCATTGAAACACCAAAATCCTCACCATCTGAGTTTTAACATTTACATTTATGTTTCTGATTCTCTGGATTGTGTTATCTTGGTCAGTGAATAGAGTTCTGTACCTGTTACCAATATTAGACACTGAATTCCTTGAGAAAATGGGTTTGTTGTCTTTTTATCTCTGATAAGTAGTAGATACTTAGTCACTTGTTGAATTTAATTTAAAAAGCTATGTAGTTTAAATTCAAGGTGAGAGTAAGTAAGCCTTTCTACCTTGGTTGCTTAGAAAACCCCTTTTAATCTGATATTATTGTAGCATATAAATTACTTGAGTCGGGATATTTTATGTGTGTTGTGGGGTCCCCAGACCACCCATTCATTCAGTGATTTGTTAGAAGGAGTCACAGGACTCAGCATATAATTGGACTCGGAGCTAAGGTTTATTACAACAAAAGGATACACGATTGAATCGGCATGGGAAAAAGATAAAGGCAGAGTCTGGAGAAATTCACACCCAGGCTTTCACTGCCCTCTCCTTCCTGTGAGGGGACACCGCAGGAATGCGAAAAGTGCACTAATGTGACCAATGTTTCTGCCCAGGAAGCCCTTTAGAGACTTCACTGCCCAAGATTGGTTTTTTTTTTTGGTAACATCCATTGCCAATCTTCCTCTTTTTGCTGAGGAAGATCAGCCCTGAGCTAACATGTTGGCAGTCTTCCTCTATTTTGTATGTGGGATGCCACCACAGCATGGCCTGTTGAGTGGTGTGTAGGTCTATGCCCGGGATCCGAACCTACGAACCCTGAGCCACTGAGGCAGACTGCACAAACTTAACCACTGCACCACCAGGGCCAGTGTCCGTCGTCATCCCCCCCGCCCCCAAGGCCTTTATTGAGGACTGATCATGAAGGCACCATCCTAGCAACTATCAGAATCCAGGCTCCCAGGAGGAAACCAGGCATTCTGCATAAATCACGTTGTTTGCACAGATCATCTAACCCTGTCATTTAGAGAACGATTCTAGTGCCAAATTCTCAGCCACCAGCCGAGGACCAACCTTGCAAGCAGGCCTTTGGAAAGAGGGCCTGAGTCCTGCCTGCTATGGTAGCCCTGTCCTGCCCAATATGGATGCCAATTTTTTTTTCTTCGTTTTTTTTGGTTCAAAAGTTGCTTCATTCTTCGTAGATACCTTAGGAAACTGCAGGCGTTAGCATGTCCATTTCACAGATGAGGAAGCTCAGGCTGAGTGAAGTCACACAGTAGGAAGTGCCAGAGTCAAGAGTGACATCCCAACCTCATTTCTTCAAGTCCAGTGCTCTGTCCACTCCTCTATTCACTGGCATGATGGATGTGAGATCCGAAGAGGGTTTGGATGACCCAGGGGCAACCATTCACAGTGTTGAAGGCACATCAAAGCTGGCTTTTCACTCAGAACTAACATGCCAATGCATTCTGTTTTCATTTTTCACCCAGATGTGTAGATACAGCTGTGGTCTCAGGAGTAAGTGATACTTTGCAGAAGTTACTGAAATGCTCATTGAAAAACTACTCTCTTCTAATTGTGTTTCTTTCCCCCAGCTTCACTGAGATATAATTAATACATAACATTGTGTAAGTTTAAGATGTACATGTTTGATGCATTTATATATTGCATATGTTATATATATTTTATATATGTGTATATTAGCATTAGCTAACACCTCCATTTCATATTTACCATTTCTTTTTTGTGGTGAGGACATTTAAGATCTACTCTCAACAACATTCAAGTGTGTGATATAGTATTATTATTAGCTATAATCACCATGCTGTACATTAGATCCTCAACTTGTTAACCTTATAACTAAAAGTTTGTACCCTTTGACCAGTATCCCCCCATTTTTGCCACAGCCTCCAACCCCTGATAACCAAAACTCGACTCTGTTTCGCTGAGTTTGACTTTTTTAGATTTTGCATATGAGTGAGATCATACAGTATTTGTCTTTCTATGTCTGATTTATTTCACTTAGCGTAATGCCCTTGGGGTCCATCCATGTTGTCGAAAATGACAAGATTTCATTCTATTTTTATGGCTGGATTATATTCCACTGTATATATACACCACATCTTCTTTGTCCATTCATCCATTGATGAACACTCAAGTTGTTTCCATATCTTGTCTATTGTGAGTAATGCTGCAATGAACATGGGAGTGTAGATATCTCTACAAGATCCTGATTTCAGTTCCTTTGGATATAAACCCAGAAGTGGGATTGCTGGATCATACGATCTATTTTTAATTTTTTGAGGAATTGTTTTCCGTAATGGCTTGTTTTCTGTAGTGCCTGTACCAATTTGCTGAATGCCAATTTTCATTCACAATAATAATGTTGAGCTATCTTTGTTAGTTTTGTAATTGATTTGTCCTTAAGTAAGAAACATCTATTACTATTTAATATTTTTATCAGAAAGTATCATTGAAAAATCTCTGAATAATCTCCTTAAAAGTTTTGCCAAAAATTTTGCTGTCAATTGCCATACAGGGGAATCCTAATAGAAATTCATACAGAGGAATTTTTATCAAATATCTGTCCTAAAGCAAAAAATATTTTTTAATTATTCGTCATCATGAGATACAATATACCATATTACTTGATCTAGAAATGTTACTCTTGCTAAAGAGACACACTAGTATTGAAATTTCAGTATGAAGCTGTGTATGCCTCATACTGTGTGCATGTTCATGAGTTAAACTATGCATATTCAATGTTTCAGAAAATGGTAACTTGTTCTACTCACCACTGAAATAATGCCTTATCTGAGGTTTATTTTTTAGTTCAGGAGTTCTGTTTACCTTTGCTAATTTTTATGAATATGTTTATAAATATCTGACAAAATTACTTTTTACAAGCTGTGACAGCATATTCTCTATTACACAAGTAACAGCAGTGTCCTTGAAGTTCCTATATTTTAAGATTAGCGTCATATACTCATTCTCTTGTTTTACTTTGTTCACTTTTTAGAGGCAGTAGGTTTGACCTTGAGTTACTTATTTTAAGCCTTTTTACCTCAATTATATATAGGAACATTATTATAAAGACTCATGGTATGCTCATATTTAAATAACGAGCTACATAGAGTTTCACATTACTAAAAATCTAGATTACTGTTTGTACTTGTGAGTTGTGACTGACTAGGAATAATGTTACTATTGTGATTTAGAGTTTGGATAGCCTCAAATTTTGGTTGTGGAATTTTGAGGGTAATATTACCTAAATGAGGGGAAGACTTTTTGTAATCTTTTTAACAATAAGGTTATATAATATGTTCAAATTGCATATTAGTTAGAAGTGGCATTTTCCTTTTGGTTGTTTAGTACATACTTGCTCTTTTTCCAGGGGTAATGGGTGCAGTGGTGGCTCCTCTGACAATATTAGGGGGGCCTCTTCTCATCAGAGCTGCATGGTACACGGCGGGCATCGTGGGAGGCCTCTCCACTGTGGCCATGTGTGCCCCCAGTGAGAAGTTTCTGAACATGGGAGCACCCCTGGGAGTGGGCCTGGGTCTCGTCTTCGTATCCTCACTGGGTAAGCCACTGTGGTTTCTTGGTTCATGATGTCCTAAAGTTATCTGATGTCCTCAGGTATCCTAATGGAGAGAATTTATCAGGAGTCATTTTTACAAGTTGTTTAAAAGAGACAAGCTAATTTGGCTGGATTTTCTTATTTGGCATCATGGTAAAACCATTACTGGTTTTACCAAATACATTTAAATGGGAAAATTAGTGTGGAGAACATGAAAATTGCTCTGATGCAAGAGCCTTCCTGTAATGTGGGCAGGTGACCCACTGCAGGAATGAGTGTCATGGGTCTTGAAGTGAATGTACATAAAATTAGTGCTTATTTTCAGTTAGATGTTTTCTTTTTTTTTTTTTTTTTTTGGGAGGAAGATCAGCCCTGAGCTAACATCCGTGCTAATCCTCCTCTTTTTGCTGAGGAAGACCGGCTCTGAGCTAACATCTATTGCCAATCCTGCTCCCTTTTTTTTTCCCCAAAGCCCCGGTAGATAGTTGTATGTCATAGTTGCACATCCTTCTAGTTGCTGTATGTGGGACGTGGCCTCAGCGTGGCCGGAGAAGCAGTGCGTCAGTGCGCGCCCGGGATCCCAACCCGGGCCGCCAGTAGCGGAGCGCGCGCACTTAACCGCTAAGCCGCAGGGCCGGCCCAGTTAGATGTTTTCTTATCTGTGCAGTATACCAAAAAAAATTTTTTGAAGTAATGTTAATTATAAATCCAGGTATCGAAAATCCAGTTATGGAAAAGTCCTTTTTCAAAAAAACCTTTTTTTCCTCTTTTGACTTCAGGATCTATGTTTCTTCCACCTACCACTGTGGCTGGTGCCACTCTGTACTCAGTGGCAGTTTATGGTGGATTAGTTCTTTTCAGCATGTTCCTTCTGTATGATACCCAGAAAGTAATCAAGCGTGCAGAAATAGTACCAGCATATGGAGTTCAAAAATATGATCCCATCAATTCGTAAGTAGTCTATAATGTCTTTCCTTTGTTACATAAGGACATTTGTGTTATTTTGGCCTATTTTGTTTTATGGCTGTATGAGTTTCTTAGGGCTGCTGTAACAAATTATACGAACTGGGTGGTTTAAAAGAACAGAAATGCTTTCTCTCGCAGTGCTGGAGGCCAGAAGTCTGAAATCAAGGTGTCATCAGGGTTGGTACCTTCTGAGAGCTCTCAGGGAGAATCTGTTCCATGCCTGCCTCCTAGCTGCTTGTTATGGCCAGCAGTCCTGGGCATCCTTGGCCTGTAGATACATCAGTCCAGTCTCTACATCTGTGTTCACATGGCGTTCTCCCTGTGTCTGTCTCTGGCTCTTATGAGGACACCAGTCATGTTGCATTCAGGCCCACCCTACTCCAGCATCATCTCATCTTAACTCACTTTGTAATTACATTTTCAAAGACCCTGTTTCCCAAGTAAGTTCACATTCACAGTTACCAGGGATTTAAGGCTTCAACATATCTTTTGAATTCAACCTACAACAATGGCTTTGTCAAATTTTACTGTTTTATTTCTGTTGCTCTTTGGTCTGTTCTCGCTCTTTAGTAGGCTGTATGTCCACAGAACATTTGATTATATTGCAACTATTTATAATATTTAGATATTTATTCAGTTAATTGACATTATTTGGTCGTTTAATTTCTTTAGTAACTTAGATTTAGCAGACTTTAAAACTGAAATGTACTAGTCAAGTATTTGCTGGAAAGTGTATGTAATTGACTTGAAATTTTTAGTAGAAAAGCCTATTTTATTGAAAATTGGAAACATCTCAGTATGAAAATTTCATTTTGGAGATATTCCGCTTTAGCTGATACTAAGTATTATATAATAATGCTTTTTTCCTTTCCTAGGCCTCTCCACCAAAGTAGGTTATTTTATTTAAACAATTTTCTTGATTATCATGGTGTCTATCGTATTTTTTTAAGTAATTTATTTTTGTTTCTTTAAAGGTGAAACTTAATGTAATCGTTTTTTTAAATACTGCTATAATGCTTACAGATTTGTAGCAGTTTTTTTTGGATTGGGAGTGTTGAGGGGGTGGAGTATATTTAAAATTGCCAGAGTTGTGTCTAACACCTTTTTGTAAAGATGTTTCTTTGGTTTTGTTTTGATTATGTCATTGTCTATCACCCAGGTTTTTTTGAAAGATCCTGTACTTAGGGTGTCAGAGGATAGAATAATGATTTTTATTTATTTATTTTTTTTTTTTAAAGATTTTATTTATTCATGTTTTTCCCCCCAAAGCCCCAGTAGATAGTTGTATGTTGTAGGTTCACATCCTTCTAGTTGCTGTACGTGGGACTCGGCCTCGCGTTGGACGGAGAAGTGGTGCCTTGGGGCGCGCCCGGGATCCGAACCCGGGCCGCCAGCATCAGAGCACACGCACTTAACCGCTAAGCCACGGAGCCGGCCCGAATAATGATTTTTAAAACTGCCCTTTAACATTTAAAATATTAATCTGCCAGAAGAAAATCTTGACTGTTTTCTAGTCTCGGACTTCCCTAGTTAGCTTTGCTTTTATTTCCATTTCATCTACCTAGGACAAATAATCATTATTGCTTTTTTTCTTTTCTAGATTTAAGAAATAGTTTTTATCATTGTTATTAGAATTGCATCATGTATAATGGGCATAATTTTCTTTTCTAGGATGCTGGGAATCTACATGGATACATTAAATATATTTATGCGAGTTGCCAGTTTTCTAGCAACTGGAGGCAACAGAAAGAAGTGAAATGACTTGGCTTCTGATTTCGTAAAATGTCAGATATCTTGCTTGTTTAATAGGGGCAGATATTCATTAAACAGTGCGTTCCAGCAGCTTTCATGACGTTTAGAGGTTAAGAACTTGTCAACATGTTTCAAATGTTCCAGTAATGTGATGCTTCAGGTCTGCTTTTTCTTCTGGAGAATAAATTCAGTAGTTCTCTTCCAAATAAGCACATACATTTCCAATTCTCATGTTTTGAGTAATTCTAAAATGTTTTAATGAATGTGAAAACTAAGGTTTGTGTTGTGAGAATGTAAGTGTTTTATGTATTAAATTTATTTGGTTAAGTGAAAATCAGCAAACTTGTGTTTACCTGCATATTTAGGGGTATGTGGAGTATTAACGAGTAATGTCATAAATGATGTAGAGGTTTGGTAAAGGGACCAGAGAGAAGTAAAGGGTCACCTGCAGTCTTTCTTGGAATGCTTAGAACTTAGCCCTTGTGTCATTGGAGGTGAGCCAGTGAGAGGGATCTGGCTGTTGGAAACAAACAAGTCATTGCTGTTTTTACATTTGTCTGCTGAACTTACCAAAGCCTTGAGCATGAAACAAAGATATAGGTGATTCATTCTCCTGCTGTTCCTTCTCAGTGCTCTTCACAACGTAGATGTGATCGTGTTTGGGTTTTCGCTATTTGATGCTAGGACAGTCCAGAACGTTATATGGAGAATTCCTGATATATAATATATATTATATGTGTGTGTGTGTGTACATTTTACTTTTGAATCTTCTGGAACAAAATATCCTTAACTTTTCTCAGGATAAAAAATTCAAAGCATGAAAATTGTTGCATTTTCAAGTATTCAAACACTGTGTTTATAATTGCTGAGGGGTTTTTTTGCATATTTATCAAAATATTTAACAGAATGCATGCTTGCCTTTGTCATCTCTTCAGGCTTTGAAGCTTTTATCAGAAAAGCCTGTTTGTGGCTTACACTTGAGATTATGAAAGCAGTTTTTCTCCTAAGACTTAGTTTCTCGTGTTCCCTCTCAGACTAAGCACTAAAAAGGAGAACAAAGCTAGTCTTTCTTCATCAGCTACGTCAGTAAGAAATGTAATGGGGAAAGTGCTTCATTAGAGTTTCCCCTAGCAGAGTTTCCCTTCTCTCCTGCAGACACCATTACTTAGCTCTCTTGTGACATTGTAAGTGTTTTGATACAGAAGAGTTATTTTTGGAAGTTCTTAATGAATGAAATGTGTGTATGATTATTGAGATGATTGGTATTCTTGACAAATATGTATTACAGTAACCCAGAAATAACTATTCTGACCACCTCAAATTACATACGATGCTTATTTCTGAAATAATAAAGGTTCCAGGCAGATGGTCATGGGTCTGTGATTTTTCCAAGTGCACCGTGTTCATACTGTTGCTGTCCAGGAAAGCGGCTTGTTCTTTCCCGGTGTGCTATGAGTAGTACAGTGTGGCTATGACTGCTGCTTGCAGCTGCTCTGCCTTTGCTGGAGCCTCAGCTCTTCCACTTAGTGCTCATGTGACCTTGGGCAGGTTATGTAACCTCTCTGTGCCCGTGTCCCCGTCTCATGCCTCACAGGGTTAAGGTTAAATGTGTGGGCCCTTAGTAAGCACTATATGAATTCTAGCTGCAGTGGCTGGTTTGTTTTGGGGTTTTTTTCTTAAGAAAAATCTAAGTACCAAGCTTCTATTTTTCCCTTCTCTGCGTTGCTCCCTGAACAATGGCAGTGTGATCTTAAAGGGAAATCTTAAAAGGCCTGTTGTCTTTAGTCAGATTTTGAACCAAAGTTGATGTCCTTATGTTTGGGTGGTATCACACACAGAACAAAATGATGTAATTTCAGCAGCGGCTGTTGGGCAGAAGTTTATCTAGAAAATCAAGGGAGCCTTTTTCTTTAATGACTTAGTATTTTATTGTCACATTTTATCTGACTTTGCTAAGACAATGAAGACTTCAATATAAAAAGTGAGTTTAATATATTAATGTTAATATAAAATAAAATATTATACTAGATCTAAAGTGATTAAAAAAAAAATCACTAGTTCCTTGGCTCCTATTAACGTAGCACTGGGGATTTTTTCCTCCCATAATCCACAGGGAAGAGGGAAGACCTGCAAATTGATAGACTTAGGCAAAAAAGAAAAGATATATCTATTTCTCATTTTCTGAAACATCGTCTGAAGTGTTAAAAGGATAACTGAGATATATGGTTAAAATAATTACATACAAAAATAAAAGGCCTTTCTGATTTGCTTAGAACAGTTTCTAATGAACATTCAATCAGAAAACGTTGGTGTATCAGGCACCATGCTAGCTGGACCCAGCAGAGACGGTGGTGAGTAAAAATCATTGCCTTGTAAAGCATAGCAACCCCATGTAAACATGGCATAATCCATTGTGTTGAGTGTCATAAGAGAGAAGTGAATTGAACACAGCTGAAATGTGAGAGTAATAAGTTTCCAAGATGTCCCTGGAGGAGGTCTTCAAGAGTAAATTCAGCAGTTATGGCACATGAAAAAGGCAGGAGGGCGTTTCATACAGTATAAGCAGGAATATGGGGAAGATGACAAGAAATGAAAGGTCTCTTGAAGCTAAATTCCCTGCTCACAGTAGGTGTGTGTGCTGTGCCTAAGGCTCTGAAGCCTTGAATATTTTCTGTGCACTTGAAAATGTTAGAACCTGGGAAGAAAGGTATTTCCCTTAAAATTGTTCATCTGGATAGGATATGTCCACGTTCAAGTTCCTCAAACTGAATGATAACCAAGATTTGTATCATTCCAGTAGGGTAGGAGGGTCCAAGTATGCCCTAATAGCTAATGATTGAACTGAAGTTTTTGTATATTGTGTGCTAAGCCCTATACATGAATTTAACGACATTCCTTGGAGCTGGGTACTGCTGTTCCCATTTTGCAGAGGAGTAAACCAAAGGCTGCAAGTTTGATCTTTGCACAAGGTCATATGGCTGCGAAGAATGAGGTGGTCAAGTTGGAACTCCTGACCACTTATACTGGGAAGTTTGTAATTAATGCCATAGGGCTGAAATCCTGTTTGAGAATCACAAAAGCACTGTACAGATTAAATAGGTTGAGATTTTACTGAAAATACCTAGAACATTAGAATTTTAGTGTTTATGAAAAGGGATTGGCCTCAGTGTCTGAAAGATAAATGGTAATGATGTTGTGCTTGCCCAGATCCTGTTTCTTATGTACCAGGAAGTCCTTTTCTGTATTGCCTAGTCCACTTGGAGCTACAAATCAAACCATTTCTTTAAGGGCGATGTAATCAGTAAGATGGAATCCTCCCTAAATGTACTCAGTTAGCTAATACTCAAAGTGGAAGCCATTTTTCAGGGAAAGATACAAAAGTTATGACCTTGAGGTCTTTGTCTTTTGTGAAACAGTTCGGGAAGACAGAGCAAGTTCCCCCAGTATTAACACTTGAAAACAGCAAAAGGAACATTTTATACCAGAAGCAAAGATGAAATCAAGTCTGATGGGGAGGGGACATTATATGGACCATTCTGGCTAGTATTGCTCAGGGCTGCCGGCCAGTTGGCCTAAGTGCAGGTCCTGCAGTCTCCCCTCAGCCTCAGCATTCCAGTTCTCCCCCACTCATAGCGTGCATCGGTTCCTCACCCGGAGGATCACTAGTCTTGCTAAGGGGCCTCTCAGCCTTCCACCTTCAGCTGAGAGGTTGGTGGGGGGGCAGGGGTTGCAGCCTCATTGGATGCAGATAGAAGCCTTGGGGTTCCCCATGGCTACACCCAGAAATGCAGAATTAATATATTCAGGCAGGACCAAAATGACATTCATCCTTAAAACTAGGAACAAGTTTAGAAACAATTTTTAAACATTTAGAACAAATGCTTTCCACTGAGCACTTTGTGAAAGCTGCTGGATCACCTGTAGGTGTGGTGTTGGCTGGCCATCATTCCTCCAGGCTAACCTTCCGTGTGCCTGGAACACGTGGGCTGCTCACCTGTCCACCCCAGAGCCGTTTTATATAGCAGCACAGAGCTTGGTGAGACGAGGTTCATATGACGGTCTCACAGGAAGGGTGTTAGATGTCTTAATTTTATTTGCTCATTAGCCATGTTACCTCAATTATAAAATGCAGTATTTTTCACACTTCATTTCTGAAATGTGTTCAATTTCATGGTTTTTTTGGGGGGGTCACCAAATAGCATATCAAAATCAGTGGCGTTTTCGAATTGAAGAAATATGGTATTTTGCAGTGGTTTGTTTTCCGTGTCTAATAGTTCATTGTCCTATAAGAACAGGTATCTAAAGGAGTATCTTTTACTGATGATTCAGAGGGAGTCTTCCACAAGAAAGTTCAAACAAGCTAGCCCCACCCAGTTAGGTACTTTATACAGGCTGAGTGGACTGATTTCCCAGCAATGCAAAATGATTCCCAGACAGGAAGACCAGTGGCAGTTGAGAGCATTAGTGGTTTGGTAGGCTCTGACTCTTCATAAGGAGAGTAAGGGATTTAAGGGTTGTTCAGTTTGATACTCTTTGAAGGAGTTAACTCAGCACCAACTGTGGGCAGAACCAAGGATGAGTAAGACCCTCCTGCCCTGCCGTCACAGCCTGGCAGGTAACACATCAGTCTGGAAGGTAGCATCTGGAAGGTGGGCAGAGGTAGTGGGTGGTAGCCAGGAGAGAGCTAGTGGTGAGAGGAGGCCGCTGGCCTTGCTGGATGTGAGCAGTGAGTGCTGGAGACAGAAGGCCTGACTGTAGGTGGGGAACTTAGGGCCCAAACACGGCAGTGTTCATCTTCACAAATCACTCTTTTGAAAAAGAGAGAAGTCAGCAGATGCGTCTTAGGCACTCGACTGGGTGCCACGAAGTTAAAAATGTGAGAAATAGCAGCAAATGACCCAAGGTAATCGTGAAGTCATAATCCACAAACTACGAAAGCATTATCCAGATGAATTGCTGCAGGGGTTCAGAGAGGGGCAGTGGTGCCGATGGCCTGCAGGAACGTGGGTGTCCTCCACACGCCAGCACAGAAGGGTTAGTGGCTGGAGGGGACTCCCTGCTTTGGGGGTGAGGGGATCGTGGGGAGTATCCTGATCTACTTTGCAGAGAACCCAGCCTCTGCTTGCAAACTAAATGTGTTTATGACTTGGCTTGTGTGCTCACAATCAAATTATGTCACTCTAACCATACTGGGTGCCTCAGAAAAGATGGGAGTGTGATCACCTACCTCATTTAAGTAGCAGCGTCATTTAAAAAGTTGGGGAAGTTACGACAAGATTTTCATTGCTCTTAATTCTGAGTGGCAGAAAAAAAATGGACATTTGGTAGGAGAATGGGGTGTTTAGTATCTTTTTCAGTGTATTTTAGCTGCCCCTAAGTAATTTTTTAAAAAGGAAGGTACATACAGAGAGAAAATACATCGAAACACTTTAAAAGAAGCTTTTCAGATTTTAGGAACTTAGCAGAAAGACCCAGGGCAAGCAGAACATCTCTCCACCCTGTGGCCTTTGGCCCGTCGCGTCTCTGAGTGGAACTGGACCCAGAGCCTTCCAGGTCCTTGCAGCCCTGACATGCTGTGTCTGCAGTGACAGCAGGGTTGAAGTTTGCTGCAGAGCACTGTGGCCAGTGCTGGCCACACCTTGCACGCCCGCCTGGTCCTGGTGGTGCTAGGTGTGGGGTGAGAGTAAGGGAAGGTGATACTTCTCTTCTGGGAAGCCTGCTGCCAGGCCTGCGGGACTCAGGGCAGGTGCCGACAAACAGGATCCATCCCAGCCCTGCCTGCACTTCTCCAGCTGGGCGCTGGCGAGAGCAGGAAGCCTGGGCCCTGCCCTCCCTCCTGCTGCCCTCTCTCACGCTTGCTCTGCTGGGCCTCCGCCCTTCCCCGTCGAAATCCACACTTGTGCGTGGACTTGACAATCGGTCATCTAGACCAGAATTTCAGTGTCTTTCTTTTTTTTTAATTTTATTATTTATTTTTAAAATTTTTCCCCCAAAGCCCCAGCAGACAGCTGCATGTCATAGTTGCACATCCTTCTAGTTGCTGCACGTGGGACGCGGCCTCAGCATGGCTGGAGAAGCAGTGCCTGGGCGCGCGCCCGGGACCCGAACCCAGGACGCCAGCAGCGGAACGTGAGCACTTAACCACTAAGCCACGGGGCCGGCCCTTCAGTGTCTTTTTTTTTTTTTCTTTGCCCTGAGTTGTGGGAAGAAAAGACAGTCGTTGTTCCTTATTAAAGAAGCATTGTACATCCTTGAAGCATTGTACATCCTTGAGTACAAGTGAGAGGTTGGTATTTTTTGGAGACACGTTGCTACTGAAAAAGGGAGGGAGAGCTATGCACCCCACACCTGGGAATAGACCACCTAATATGACAGAACATTATTTTCTTAAAGCACAGCACTGTAGCATTACACTCTCATCAAAAGGATCTGTTCTTCACCTTCAGCTACCGTTTTACTGAGGAACAGAGAAGTTGAGCAAATTGTCCAGGATCACACAGCTGAAACGTGGCAGAGCTCTGCTTAGATCCTGGATCATGTGGCTCTAGAGCCTGTGCTTTTAACAAGTGTAGGGGCGGTACAGAGACAGAAATGGAAGACAAGGGTCCTGAGCCCCGACTCCAGGCTAAAACCATGGGGTGGGTGTGGGGGCTAAAGGCCAGAAGCTCCAGAGAGAGGGTGGAAAGCAGAAAGCCAAGGGACTGTTCCCATCAGGGACTCAGAGATGGTGGCTTCACAGGCACCCCAGCACCAACGTGGAGTGGCCACAGGATGGAAGAGGCAGCGCCCTCTCGTCTCCCCGGTGCCTCTGTGTCGTGGAGGAGATGGTGACTTCCCAGCACAGCCCCACGGAGCAGCCACCATGGCGAGGCAGAGTAGCCCACAGCCGTGCCTGTGCCTGGATAGCCTGCACCCACGGGGAGGAGGCGGGAGCAACAGTGGGAGGGTGGACAGCATCAGTGAGAACCTAGGGGACCCGGAGGGCGGGGGGTCGGCCTTGACCCTGGCAGCGGGACGCCCAGAGGCAGGCAAGACCCCATGGGTCGGAGGCTTAGGAGGAAGTTCGGAGTAGTTATAGAACATAGAGGAAGCTATCATTTTTTGGTACAATTGTGGGGCGGTATGTAAGCTGAATATCAACATTGTGGGTTATTTTCTACTACTCATGGGCTCTCATGGAACCAGCGTCTGGAAAGAACCTTAGCTCTGGGGTCAGACAGACCTGGTTCCAGGTGAGAAGTTGCCGTAACACTCTCTGTGAGGTGAAGGGAAACATCACTTTCCTTTGTTACAAGATGGAAGTGACATGCTTGCCATCCTGAGGCTGGAGGAGAGTCAAATGAGAAGACAGCTGAAGGGTCCCGTGGAGTCTGGCTTTCCTCTGCTGTAAACTGAGCTGCAATGTGCTGAGCAAATAAAGGAGGGAGAGTCATTTCTGACCCATCACCTTTGGAAGAGTGTGGCGGCCAAGAGTGAAGGGAGGGATGCAGGCCAAACATGCTCTAACCACAGAGGGTGGGGACGCTTCAGGCACTTTCCCAATTGACTAGAAATCATAAATTTGATTTGAAAAGCGTTTCTTCCTTGTAAATTCCCCTGAGTGTTAGGTGTGTCTCTGGAGACTTTTTTCTCAGGAAGGCTGCCAAGGGTTCAAAATCGTCATTGGAAATTATTCAAAGCCTCAAATTTGATTATTTTTGTACCCAAACTGCATATGCTTAAAACTAACAGGTGTTCCTGTTAAAATGCTTCTCATTTTCACCTCCCTCAGCTCAGCTCAACATGAGACTTCAAATTTTCTAAAGATCCAGAGGTGTTTCTTCCTTTTTTAAAGTAAGACGTTGACAGCTCTCTTTGAAATGTTAAAAAGCAGGTGAAAATCTGAACAGTGGTTGTCTCTGGAGAGTAGGGTTTGGGGTGGAACTTATATTTTATAAGCTGTGTTCGTTACATTAATGCAGCATAGATTGCTTCAGGATTTTTTTATAAGCATTTAAAAGGCAGGTGGAGGGCCGGCCCCGTGGCTTAGCGGTTAAGTGCGCACGCTCCGCTGCTGGTGGCCTGGGTTCGGATCCCGGGCGCACACCGAAGCGCCGCTTCTCCGGCCATGCTGAGGCCACGTCCCACATACAGCAACTAGAAGGATGTGCAGCTATGATATACAACTATCTACTGGGGCTTTGGGGGAAAAAATAAATAAATACAAATTATAAAAAAAATAAAAAATAAAAAGCAGGTGGAGTTCTGACATCGGAATCTATTCTTCCATTAAACATCTGGCCCGAGGAACACCTGCAAATCTGTGAGTCGTGTGTGCGCGTGGGGAACAGAGCCCTGAGACAGCCAGTCCTCCCTGCTTGGGGCTGTGCGGTGTCCTCACAGCTCTGTTCTGTGGTGAGCAAAAAGCTAGGCTGAGATCCTAACACCTCTTTCTGGCCCCCTGACGGAGTGGCTGAGTGTCCTGGGGAAGTCACCCGAGTCCTGGCTTTGTCGAACAGTGGATCCAGGGGAATCTCTTTCCTCACTCGCCTGAGAGTCTCTCCTGATTTCTGCCCCATTGCTGAGCAGTTCAAGTTCAGCTTGAAGATTTCACCTAATCCCTGCTCCCCCTACCAGGTAGGTGGTTCTTTTCCCCTCCGATGATGGTCTGCCGAAAGCAAAAAGGACCATGCCAATGCAGAGTACCTGTTACGACAGGTACTGGGTGAGTAGCAGCCAGAGGTATGCTGTTGCCCAGAGAACTCAGTGGTGGCACCCCAAATGACCCCGGATAAAAATAAATAAAACCGTGGTGGTAGTCCTTGACGTGGTCCATGGATGTAATCCTAATCTCAGGTCGTATCTTTAGGAAACTTCGCTGAGGTTATGGACCTGTAACACGCACTCTAAGTAAGAATAGTGTGCTGGCTGGCAAATGCAGCCCCGAGACAAGACCCGCCCTCTTCCTGACCCTCCTTCCAACACTGGCTGCCCCCAAATCTCTCCTGGCACCAGCTCTGGAGTTGTCCAGGGTAGACCCCTGGGTCTCTCTGCCCATGCCCTCTGCCGTGGCCACTGCCCGCTCAGCACAGCCATCAGGGTTGAGAACACAGCTTGGAGAGGGAATCCGGCTGGGGCTGGGTGGGTGACTCTCATAGGATGACGTACGGTCGGTCCTTCAGCTCAGTGGCCCCAACAAGTTTCTTTGTGTGATCTGGGTTTAACGTTTTTGTAAATGCACAAAAGCATACAGGCTGACTGTGGAAATATCCACTGGCCTCTGCTTTGCTCACTGAGCTGTGTGAGCATGTGGTCTAAATTGTCTCTAATGCCTAGCATGGGAGGAGGGCCAGCGAAGTGCCCCGTTGACCAGTCTTGGGCAGCAGGGAACATTTCAACTGGCTGCTGGGAACCAGTGAGACCCTGGGGAATTGAACCAGATACTAGCATCTTCCCATGAGCCCCTTGAGGCTGGAAACCAGAGCCAGCTCCTTGGTGAGAAGGGCAGACTTATTAAGGCAAGGGCAGATGGACATGATATCACAGGGCAAACGCAAATTCTGTGTATCTGCACGACTGCCTCCACCAACAGATCGTCCTGAGGCCAGGCACAGCATCTTCCGTGTCCCCTGGGCCAAGCGCACGGGATGTGTCCAGCAAATAGGTAACAACTGGGCCTCCTGCACCCATTGGCGGACTCTTCCCCGTGCCTGCCCTCGTAGGATGTTCCCCTCCTCCACGCCTTTGCTCAGGCCGATCCTGTACCTGAAGTGCCCTTTCGTTTCATCTTAAACACCCATCAGGGTCCAGCTGCAGCCCCAGCTCCCTTATAGCTGTACCAGTGTCCCTCCCCGCTGCAAATGGCTTCTCACATACGTGCTCTTTCCGGCTGGAGAGAGAGGCAGCGCTGTGCGCATTTCACAGATGGGAGGCAGACATTCAATGACAAGTTCAAGGTCACACTGCTGAGATGTGGCAGAGCAAGGACTGAAACCCAGGGCGTCTGAATCTAGCCGTCTGCTCCCTACATTTCACCAATTACTCTGGACTCTTCCCTGAGGCTTTGCAAAGGGTTTTATGGTCCTTCTCCTGCCACATCTAAGGAATGAGCAGGAAGATCTGTATTTGATGGAATTATTACTGACTCTAAAAGTTAACGTTCAACCCTGGGCAGTGGCTCTTCCCTGGCAGGAGTTTCCTGCTCTGACCACTGAGGCCAGCGCTGCGAGCTCTTGGGCTGGGCATTTACAGCTCCGTGTGTTACAGCTCACTAAATGCACTCAACTTCTTGAAAAGCTGGTTTTTCCCTCTTGGGAGGGGCTGACTCTACCCTTCATGAAATTTCCAAGGCTGCTGGTGCCCTGCCCATCAGGAAATACCTCTCCCTGTCACTCTATAAATGTCCAAGGTGGCCCTGAGGGAGGAATTCTGTGGCACAGCTGCCTCCCCAGGACGTGAGATTCAGCCACCCCACCATGAGGTTTCTCATCCTCTCCAGCCTGCTCTGCATCTTGCTTCTCTGCTTCTCCATCTTCTCCGCAGAAGGTACGGCCGTCCCCAGGGTGCTGGTGCCTGAGCAGGGATTTCAGTGTCTGGGAAGGTCGGAATCAGGAAATGTTGGGGGCAGGCCCCCCTCAGGCAGTCCTGGGCCTGGAAAGACAGGCTCTCACTGTCAACTCTGTGAGGCACCTCTATGCACAGTGGCAGCACTAAGGGTGGCCTGGGAGCTTTAGACCCCACGATCCCCAGCCACAGCCGCCAATCCACAAAACGAGCACACGAGCTACAGACAAGCGGTGTGCTTACCCTGCAAACACACAACCTCCCAGCTGGATTGCTTCATACGCCTAGTCCCATCCGGCTAGAAGTTCTGGAGCCGAGCTGTGGTACCTATGTCATGCAGTAAATTTATGTTGACTAAATAAATACATTAGTTAGTAAACCCTCTGAGTGTGAACATCCCAAATCTCACGCACAGTAAATACCTGTGGCAGATGGGATGAGAGGGTGTGTGCTGGGGGCGTGTTTGCGTGTCTTTAGAAGTGGGGGGATGGTCCTTGCACCTCTGTGGATGTGAATATTTAGTTCTCCTGCCTTCCTTGGTTCAGATAGCTGAGTATTTTGAGCTTTTTCTCTTGCCAAACCCTCTAGAAACTGCCTACTTCTATTTTTTGTTTTGGGGGTTATGGTTATTTTAACATTTATTGGAGTTGAGAGTATAGAAATACAGGAGTGAAAAACACCCATAATTTCATGACTCAAGAATAGCCATGTTCAACATTTTGTTTATTTCTTTTGAGTTTTGAATGCTAGTGTGTTTATTTATTTATTTATTTATTTTTGTGTGTGTGTGTGTGAGGAAGGTCAGCCCTGAGCTAACATCCATGATAATCCTCCTCTTTTTTTTTGCTGAGGAAGACTGGCTCTGAGCTAACATCTATTGCCAATCTTCCTCCTTTTTTGTTTCCCCAAAGCCCCAGTAGATAGTTGTATGTCATAGTTGCACATCCTTTTAGTTGCTGTATGTGGGACGCCACCTCAGCATGGCCGGACAAGCAGTGCGTCAGTGTGCGCCCGTGGTTCCAACCCCGGGCCGCCAGTAGCGGAGTGCACACTTAACTGCTAAGCCACAGGGCGGCCCATGCTAGCGTTTTTGTAATTGATAAATCTCTGTATGTTCAATGTTGTGTCTCTATTATTTATCACTATATTATTATAATCACCAAAAATACTTACGACTGAGATTATTCTGAAAGCATTTACACCAGACTGTCAACAGCAATGATCTCTGAGCAGTAGGAAGTATTCGTTTTCTATAGTTTCTGCAATTTCTATAGTTGCTGCATATATAATGTGAAATGCAGTGATTAGAATTCCTCATAAACACCGTCCATAGCGGACTTACCAGGATTTATCAGACCTTTATTTGTGGACGTGTTAGAGGTCACCAGTGTTACTTTAATGACAATTTAGTGAAGACCTTTCCCCATAAAGTTTCACTTAGGAGTATCTTGAGCATGCTCTCCAAAGTGGTGTTATTAACTAACATTTTTAGGTATAACTTGCCAAAGAGTGAATATGCTATGATGAACTGACATGCTTAGACATTTAGATTGTTCACAACTTTGCACAATTTTAAGTATGTGGTGAAAAGCACATGTGTACATAAAACCTTTTCCATATTTAGGATTATTTTCTTAGGCTAGATTGCCAAGGGGAGAAGGACTGTGTCAAAAGGCACAGACACGTCCGAGTGACGGTACTGAACCGTTTCTCGGCGGGAACATGAGGAAGACATATTCTGGAGGGAATCTCGCTACACCGGCTTTGTTATTTGTTTTTTTTTTTTTTTTTTTTTTTTTTTTTTTTTTTTTTTTTTTTTTCCCCCAAAGCCCCAGTAAATAGTTGTATGTCATAGTTGCACATCCTTCTAGTTGCTGTATGTGGGACGTGGCCTCAGCATGGCCAGACTCGCGGCGCCTCTGTGCGGGCCCGGGATCCGAACCCGGGCGGCCAACAGCGGAGCACGAGCACTTCACCGCTAAGCCACGGGCCGGCCCTGGCTTTGTTATTTGTGAACAATAATTCCCCCAAGGCCCGCCCTTTCCTGGGCCCCCCCATAGCCCAGCCCGTCCTGGGTTTCCTTGAATAAATGCTCCTGACCCCTGGCCTTGGGAGCTGAAGCCCACTCCAGTCATTCCTGCCCAGACCCACCCCACGGTGTCCGCAAGCGTGCTGAGGGAGGTCTCTGCCCTCCGTGTCCACCCTCAGGGAGAAGGCACCCCAGGCATCCCGCCCGGCCCGCGAAAGGCCGGCCCTGCTGTCCCGGAGCTCGGACCGCTGTCCTGACGAACCAGAAAGGTGAGCCCGCGCCCTGCCCGGACGGTGAGGAGAGGCTCCGGGGAGGCCGCGGCGCAGGTGTAGACGCGGACCAGCACCGCCCCCCGACCCCCCCCCCGCCGTGCCTGGCATCCGGCGCCGGGGTGCGGGGGCCGCAGGCAGGTGGGATCTCGACCCCACGGAGCCTCAGTCCAGCAGGGAAATCGGCCCCTCCCAAATTAACCATTTGAACTGAATACTTTCTGTCAAGGGACAGAACAGGCTGCAGCTAGAAACGGTTTGGGGAGGCCCCTCCCGGCGGGAAGCATCAGGAGGGGCGCGTCTAGGAGACCTGGGGGCAGGCGCCGAGCCGCCCGAGGAGCGGAGAGCGCGGCTGTGCGGGCCGCGGAGGCCCGGGCGACGCCGAGGGGGCCCGGGGACAGAGGGCTGGGGTGAGGGGCTCAGGGCGGGGCCGGCACGCGAGGTGGGGTGACCGGCGGGTGCACGGCGCACGTGGGTCCAAGGAGCCCCGAGGGCGGGCAGCCCGAGTCCCAGGCGCCAGGCGGGAGGCGCAGAGCCGAGCTCCATGCCGGGGTGAGGCCTGGAAGAGCACGGCCTGGGGCACTGGGCGGTGAAGGAGACGGGCCCCAGGGGGGCTGGCGGCACCCCGCGGCCAGCACTGGGGCACCAGGCCAGGGGCAGGCTGACGCACCGGAGTTGCCTGGCCTGGGGTGCGAGGTTAGGACTGCTGGACCTCTGCTGGCGTTTGGTAGGAGGGTCCTAGAGCCTGGGGCAGGCAGAGCACCCCTGGGAAAGCTGCAGAGCCTGGAGCCAGCCGGGCCTGCCGCAAACCCAGGGCTCCTGCTCCCCACTCTCTGCAGCCTAAGGCCCCCTCTCTGCTGGTTCCTTGGGGGCTGTGGCCCAGAGAGCCTGTGACCAGAGTCGGAGCCTGCACACCCCTCCCAGCCTCCAGAAGTGCTGTGCACCAAGGGGGGCCTGGGTGTGAAGGAGACGGAGGGGGGAGCCTGCGTGGCTCAGCGTCAGGCCGCTTCTCCGGAGAAGCTTCCTTCCACAGTGGCATCACGTCCCGCTGGGGCCGGTAAAAATAACCAGTTCTCACACGCTGAGCCGGGTGTGAGGCACCCGCCTGCCGGGCAAGGTGGAGGGCAAGGGCCCTGACTGGCTGCCTGTGACTCTGCCCACCCTGGGCCCCAACCTGGTGGAGGAGGAGAGTTTCCGGGAAATAAATAAGGTGAAAACCTGGGGAAGACAGAGGCGAAGTCCTCCACAGAAGAGCAGGTGTCCAGCAGCCCTCCTCCCACCCCACACCGCTCCCCCGATGGACTTGCTCAGAGGCAGTGAAGAAAAGAGAAGCTAAGAGTGTGCACACACACACGTGCACACACAGACACACACACGTGCACACACCGGTGACGGGAAACACGGCCAGATTAACTCCTGTGCACAGTACAAGGGCAGCCGTTGTGTTAGTCACACACTTTAGAATAATCTGGATGCATGGCTCCCATGTTGTCTGGAATTCTTTTAGTGCATATATTTTTAAAATTCTGTTGCAGAAATTTGCAAACAACTTAGACCAAGAAAAGCAAAACAAACATTTCTATTGTGTCCTTATCATGCGATCTCATCTAAACCCTTGGAACCACCCTAGAGAAACACTGTCACCATTTTACAGATTGGGAAACTGAGGCTCAGAAAGACTCTGAGGCAGAGCCAGGAACCTGGATCTCTCCACCTCTTTCCACTACAACACACCGCCTCCTGGGCAGAGAGCAGGTTTCCGCAGCACGTGTACGGAGACGTGCGCGTGCCCGAGGGAGACCCGGGCTCCCCGGAAGTGGGGAACGCACCATCCGGGCTGGCATCTCAGCTCCGCCCCTGCTGGCTGTGTGCCCTGGAGCCTCGGTCTCCCCATCTGTGAAAGGGTATGATAACAGAATCGACCTGGCCAGGCTGTGGTGAGGGGTCAGGGGGTTTGTGACACGTGACCATTAGCCTGGCACCGAGTACCCCGGGAGCATGCCCTGCTGTTGCCGTGGAGGAAATCTGAGCCCCGCCGGGGCAGCTGGCGCAGGAGGCCAGCGCTTTCCAGACTGGAAACAAGCCCGTGCAGTCTTGCCCAGGCTGCGTGGCTCCCCGGCTGCCTTCAGGGCTGACCCTGGGCCTCCCTCAGCTCTGTGTCATCTACAGCAGGGCTGCTGGGCGTGCCGGGTCTGGGAGTGTGGCCTCTGTGCTCCGGCTCACTGACGTATCAGACTGCACCTGTGTGTCGAGAGAGAAAAGAACCTAGGTCTTCCTCGAGGATGTCCCTGAGCTGACAGCACTGGCTGTGACCCACACACGCCAGTATTGCAGTGTCTTTCCTGAGCATCTCTTTATGTTAAGGGCTGTGCTGGGCCCAGGGGGGACAGGAAGTGGCAGGCAAAGGACTCTGGGTCAATTTGACAAAACCATCGTCAAAATCAACATGCTGAGTGGCCAATTTGCTGAATTTACCACATTTACCAATTTACTAAAATAGGCTTTCTCTAAAGCATTTGAAAAGTTTGTAGCAATCTGTATAGCAGCATCGTCATAGCAGCAATTTTTTAAAAAAAAGAATGATGAAATCATTGACTCTGTTAGCACTTGAGGGGCTCAGGCTTAGGCTGGGGTCAGACTGAGAGCTGTTTAGGCCCCACCAGCCGGGAAGGTCTGTGACCCTGAGGCCTCTGTCACACTGCCTTCCTTCCATATGTCCTGAGACGGTCAGAGAGGAAGCTCGTAGGGAAGACTGGGGAGGTCTTGTGGGAAGGCCCCTGGAGCCTGAGAGTGGGCCTGCCCATGCACAGACGGCCAGGGCCCGAGAGCTCTGTGCCACCCTTGAAGTCCAGCAGAATGACCTGACCCACAGTGAGAGACAGGTGGTGGAAGGGCACCGATTCCTCCCCACCATGGGGCTATCCTTATCTTCAGGGAGGGGCCCAGCCTGAAGGGACAAATGTCACCCACTGAGGACCACGAGTGTGATGACTCAAGGGTCTGGCAACTTTGGGTGGTACCAGGGTGGACCCAGGCAGGACACAAGGTCCAATACAGTGGACCCTGGAAGGGAGGAGGTAAAGAGGGTGCCCAGCCCATCCTGCCCAGTGGACCAATCAGAGGGGCTCAGATCAGTGGTCTTGCTCTTTGTGATTATATCTGTTAGCCATAGCTGCGTAACAAAGCAGTCCCAACTTTGGTGGCCCCAAACAACAAGTCTTTATTATTTTTCACGAGGCTGCAGGTCAGCCGGGCAGTTCTTCTCGTCTCGGCTGGGCTCATTCATTCCTCCCAAGGTAGAGAGGCAGTTCTGCTGACCTTGGCAGGGCTCTCTCACGTTTGGGGGTCAGTGGTCTGTACGCCTAGGGTGGCCTCAGTTGGCAGCTGGACTCTTCCACATGGTCTCTCATCCTCCAACAGGCTAGCCCAGACATGTTCCCCTGGGGCTGCAGGGCTCTGCTAGGTGAATGGAAGCACCTAAGGGCTCTGGAGGCCTCAGAACTGGCCCACCTTCATCTCCACCGCCTGCTAGTGGCCAAAGCAGGCCACCAGGCCAGCCCAGATGCTTCAAAGAGCAGGGAAACAGACCCACATCTTGATGGGAGAAGCTGCAAAGTCACATGTCAAAGGAGGAGTGGAGAATTGTGACCATATTTGCAATCAGTCAACCACAATATTTACTGTAGGAGCCAGAGAAGAGAGTCTTGGGGTCTGAGGGTGGGGACAGCGGTGGAGGGGAAGCAGTGGTTAGGAAATCCTGGTCTTCCATCAGAAATGGTGGGAAATTCTCACAACATGATATTAACAAAAAAGGGTAGTTTACACTGTGTATTACTATGATTATCACTATGGGAAGATGAAAGCACGTTCAAATAGGAAGAAAAAATGGAAAGAAATCCACTCCAATATTAGCATAAGACATGAGGCTATGGATGAATTATGATAAATAAATTTGTTTTTGGTACAGCTAGTGGTTATGTAGCAATTACTATGCAGCACTTACATCTGCTAATTCATTTAATCCTCACAATAATCCTAAGAGTTAGATACTATTACTATCCCTGTTTTTACAGATGAGGAGCCAAATCACAGAGAGGTTAAGTAATTTGTTGAAGGTCACACAGCTAGTAAGTAAGTAGAACTGAGCTTTGAATCCAAATAATCTGGCTTCAGATTCTCTGCTCTTAACTATCACACCACCTTGCATATGGTAATAATCTGGAAACAGAAGGAGAAAAAAGAATACTCTCATTACCATAACTTAACCCTTCTTATTCGTTTATGTTTCCTTCGTTTTTTTCATGCAAACATGTTTACCCAGTTTTATTTTTACTGTACCTTATTTTTTAATTTTTAAAATTAATATTACATTATAAGCATTTTTATTTGTGTTGCTACATAGCCTTTGCAATTGCAGGGTTTTATCACCATTAAACATTTCCTTCATCATGAGCACCATTACCAATTAACCATTTCTGTACTGTAGGATATTCAGATTGTTTCCAGAATTTTTTTTTCTGCCATTAAAAACAAAACTATGCAGAATAGCTTAATAGCTTAATAATCGTGTGGATTATTCCTCCCATAAATGGGACTGGTTTGTCAAAAGACGCAAACTTTAGCTTTGAGACACGTGCTGTGTGAGAGGAGCCAGCCTGAGGCATGTGAGGGCCTGCGAGTGCGTGCCGGCCGGGCCTCCCACCGCGGTATCAGAGACGGGCCTCCAGGCCCCTCAGCTCTGGTGGACTCTGCTCTGGTCAGAGCCGGAGCCGGGTTAGCAGGGAAGCCGCCTCCTCTCTGTCTTCTGCCCATAAATCAGGTTTCTCCCTGATGGGACTGAAACAGCCTGGGTTGGTCACGTTTGCCAGGAAAGGCCCCTTCTGGGCCTCCAGGAAGGAGGGTAAGATCTGACTTTTGCTTCGATTTTCAAAAAACCTTTGTGTCTGGAAATCAATCTTAATTGTGTTTCCCTCTCCCCACCCCTGGCTCTGCCTCCTTCTCTGCCTCTTGTCTTGCCTTTCTTGTCTTGTCGTGCCTGCTCATTGCCCCTTCCCAGGACGCCCCGTGAGGATCTGCAGACAGTGCAAGTTCAAGGCGCAGACCCGGGTTTGGGTGGTGCCTGGAGCACTCCCACAGGTGTAGTGCCCCCAGCACAAGGCTCCAGACAGCTGGGATCTGCATACCCAGTTTGTGAGGCACCCAGAAGCCTCAGCTTCCCCCAGGATGCTCCCCTCAAAGCTGGTGGCAAGGATCCCAAAGGCTCCGGCCAATAGAAGCCTCTGCCTATGAACCATTAGCTCCTCTGTTAAAGACACGACACTTCCTGCCTCCCATGTTGGATTGTGCTCATGCTGCCTTTTAGAAAAGCGTGAACCAGAATCTTCTGAAAACCACAACACAGATGCAAAGGTCACAGCTCTGGAATGCCTGTCTTGCTGTGTGGCCTTGGACAAGTAACTTAGCCCCTCTGGGCTCATGTTGGCTTCGGAGGTGTAAAATCCAGTAAGAAAAAAGATCCAGGGAAGGCCCTGGCACTAAGGGGCTTCACTCGCCCCTTTCAACTTTCATGGCAGTGAGCTGGGATGTTGGAGGACTCATCTCAGGCAGCGAGGGCCCTGGGACAGTTCCAGAACTCCACATCCTGCCCCAATCATACCACCAACCTTCAGAGTTGTTGTGAGCCAGGCTCAGCCCACCTGGCCTCAGTCCCCACCTGGCCCCTCCAGTCAAGATTTCACTGTGACCTGTGGCAGGTACAAATCCAGAGACTTCCGAGCCTGCCTGGGTGCGGGGTAACAGGCACCCAAGAGGGCCGACCAGCACTGCAGAGGCTCAGCCGTCCTGAGATACCTGGCCCCTAACCATCCGGCATCTGGTGGCCCTTGAAGGAACCCTCCCTGACTTCCTGATGTGATTCTGCTAGAAAGAACATTCAAACAGACAAACAATAAATAAACACACACACACAATGCGTGGCACATCCTTGTTTGAGAAGGTTGGTGACGGGCCTGAGCCCAACGTTTTGCTAGAGGAACCCCATGCCCGGAGCCCCCTGCAGGCCACCCCTTCCTCCCAGCACAGTCTAGCTGTGAGAAGCGGGGAGTGAGGAATGTGACAGTAGCAAGGGTCTCATCCTACACACAAGGACTCAAATCTCGTCCTGCCCAGGATTTTGTGTGACCTGGCGAGTCAGTTCCTTTTCTGCGAAGTGGAGAGCGCAGGACCTCTCCAGGGCCGGACACGAGGCTCCCGCACGTAGTTGGATGGCCAGTGCCCACGAAGGCCCGGCACACGCAGGGGCTTGGATCCGGGAGCCCCTGCCTTCCCTGCCCCCACGCCGGGGAGTGTTGATGCCCACAGTGAATGCAGGGTGCCAGAGCTGCGGCTCAGAGGGCACAGGTGGCCCGGTCTAAGGGGCTTATCTCTCAATAGAGCTCCCTTCTAATCGGATTTCCCCAGCAAGGTAAGAACCCCACATCATCCCCACGCCATGTCTGGGGATGCCAGGCCCACCAGGTGCGAGGCTGATGGGCAGGATTCCCTCACATGGGGCACTGGGGACAGGGGCCCCAGGACAAGCCAGAAGTCCTTGCCTTGTCGTAGGCCAGACCTTTCACTTCTTTCAGGAGCTTCATTCGTGGGCTCTCCCTCCCTCATCCGTGCCTGGTAGGAACTGGGCGGACCGTGCTGGGTTCTGAGGTTCAGAGACAAACAACCCAGGCCCTTAGGCTGACAGGCTTGTCACTGCACAGTCCTGAGCTCCAGGAGGGACAGAGGGCAGGCGCAGGAGAGGTGGTAACAGAGTCCTGAGCTCCAGGAGGGACAGAGGGCGGGTGCAGGAGAGGGGGTTAGAGATGAGGAGCCGACAGCTGAACTGAGTCACGGGGAGTCCCTGCTGGAGAAGGGCCGTGTGTGTATGTGTGTGTGTTGGGGTGCAGCAGGGGAGCAGCAAGGGCCAGGCAGGATGACTCGAATGCTTGAGGAGAATTCAGCAACTGGACAGCAAAATCAGGGGACAGAGGGGAAGCAGAGGACTCAGTCCGGGGCCGTGGGAGCCCCTGGGATGTAGTCAGATATTAGACTTTGTCCTGAGGACGATGAAGAGCCAGAGCAACTTGTAAGCAGGAGAGAATGCAGACAGGGAGGGCCATCAGGAGGAGACGGAATGAGCAGGGCCTGGGTGAGGCTCGGGGGGCCGGATCAGAGGGGTTTCCAGACAGCGGCAGAGGGGCCTGGTAGACCCGGTAGCTGGCTGGGCTGTGGGGACAAGCCCACGGCGAGCATTCCTGTGCTGTGTCAGACTCTCACCAGAAGCTCCCTCGGCAAGGGCTCCTCCCCTCCCAGCAGTGCGAGAGCTGGCTGTTCCAGGCCCTCCTCCCTCACCTCCTCCTCTCCTCTCTACCACTCCCACACCACGAAAAGGTCAAGAGAAGACTCACACGAAACTAAACCCGCATGCTCCAGAGTCAACCGGGAGGAGCAGTGCAAAGGTCACGTGCTCTGCCGCAGCACAGGGTCCCTCCTTATGCTCAGGGGACACAGGCCCCAGAAGCCTTGACTTCTCTGCGGGGCACAGCAGGGAAGACCAGTCATTGATGCACACAAGTAAGAGGGAGACAGCCTGGCCCCTGGAAAAGGAGGAGCATAGTCCCTGAGGGGCAGGAGGGCAGTGCCCGAAGCCCTGGGCCACTGGCCTGCAGGAGATAGTGCCACAGAGAGACCAGCCTCGGGCTGGATGGGCAGTGACCCAAAGGGGCCTTCCAGGGACACCAGCCCCTCAGAGCAGCCCAGTCCAAAGGTGGGAGGCACGAAAGGGAGCTGAGGACCCTGCACCTGCCCCACCTGTCCTTCCCCTGAGGCGTGAGGGAGCCTGAGACCAATTCCCAAGCGAAAAGAGATGCCCGCAGAGCTGGCGACTGGCCAATCACCAAAAACCTTCCTCCCCCGCTCACCCGTGGGAAGCCACCTCCAGAACCTGCAGTATGGGCTTTAAACTTGGTGGAAAGACTTCCCCTCAAAGGGTAGATGGAGTCTACGGGAAAGTCAGGTGAATGAGGCAGTTCAAGGCTATTGGGGGCCCTGTGAGGATACAAAGAAAACCCAAACATCTGGAAGTGACTTTAAGTCACAAAACTGGAATTCTTACGTTGCCCTAATTGACCCTTGAAGAACATAAACATGTCGGCAGGTTAGTGTGGTGTCATTAGAGAAAGTGTGCAATCTCCACGGCAACCAAAGGGGCCACGTTCCCTATATGGGTGGGACATCTGGTGTAGCTGACGGAGCACAAGCGTCACAGACAGACAAGGGTTCAAACGATGGCTCTGTGCCCACTGTGTGGTGTGACGTCAGGGAGGTCAGGTGGCCTCGCAGAGCCTCAGGGTCCTGGTCTGTGAACTGAGGCCTCACCTGCCCCAGAGGGCTGTTAGGGGAGCAGGGAGAAGGTGAGAAATGCCTGGCTCTGAAACAGCAGCCAAAGGCGCATCGCAGACCGTGCTTCCACCAAACTACATGGATGCAGGCCTTGCCCCTCTCACCCCCATTCAAGATGGGGTCCTCCTGGACCGAATTCATCCCAGCTGCACAGAACCTCCCGATGGGCACTACATGCACTTCACAGACCGGATGCCTACCACTCCGCTGATTCATCTCCAGGCTTATCTCTGGACAAACCGCCCAGGGTGAGCCGCTTTCTGGAACCCTGCAGAGGCCATGCCCTGGCGGGTTAATGTTCACTCGGGACCCCACACGTGACTCCCCTGAATGACTCCGTAGCCATATTTCCTGCCATGAAAACATCATAAAACTCCTAGGATATGGGTGTGTCCAGAGCTCTAGTCTGGTCTCCCAAGCGTGGCTGGACCTTGCCTGTTTACTGGCAGCCTGGTGACATGCAGGCAGCTCCAGAGGCAACTGGCAGACTTGCCATCAACAGCTCCATATCTGGAAAAGGTCTTTGGCTCCTCTGCTATTTAATGTGTCAAACTGCACTGCCCCTCAGGACTTGCGAAGTGTGAACCAGAAGGTGGGAGGTCTCAAATTACAAGATGTCAGAACTGAAAAGGTCCTTTTCCACATCAAAATGCAATCATTTTGCTTCATTCAACTCAACATTTAAATATGCTGTGGATGTGAACACTTATATATGCGCCATAGTTGCCACCACTCCTTAGTGCCTTTCACACAGCCATCTCACCCATTTCCATTCCCGCCTGGCTCAGCTGCCACTTCAGTTTATACATCTTGGCTACTCTAGTCTATAAATTTATGGATGGTTGGAGGGGGAAAGAGCATGTCAAAGGCATGCAGAGGGTGAGTTGTTGACTAGGACCAGAAACCAAGACTTATGACATTGTCAGGTGCCTCTTCATTCATTCATTTATTCAGTCATTCATTCAGCCAATCAACAACTTCCCATTGAGGACCTACTGTGTGATGGGCCCTGTGCTGATACTGAAGGAACCTATGCATGAAACACAGTCTCTTCACTGCACTCTGGGGCAGACATCAAAGCAGACAGATGACAGCGCTAACGTCTTTTAAGGACCCGGTTGAGGTCCCAAGTAGGGACCAGTCCTACTTGGCGGCAAAAGTATGCTAGAAAAACAAGCCTTCTGGAGGAGAAGACATTCTTTGGTGTCCCCCCTACCCGGGCTCAGAAATGTGGCAAGCTAAGATAGGAAAGGAGACGACTGTAGAGTGAAAACAGTCAGGGTCAGGGCTGGAGCTCTGGCCCACCCATGTGGACACCACTCTGCCCAAGAGCCAGCATTACAGCCCAGGAGTCCGAGCCAGTGGGTACTAGTACCAGCTCGATGGGTACTGGGGACAGGTGGCAGCCCCAGACTCCTGAGGAGTCCCTCAGTTGGGGGACAGGCAAGGCCTTAGACAGATAGGGGAGAGATCCCATCCCCATGACAGAGGAAACTGAGGCAGCCACCCTACACCTGGCCTGGACACAGCGAGGGTGCAAAGGGAGGCCACATTTCAGAGTAGCTGGGGTACAGGGCTCCCCAGGCCCACTGAGCCCACAGCTGAGCCACTAGTCCCAGAGCTCACTACAGGGGAGGGACTCCCAACTTCCTGCCAGGTGGGTACACCCTGGCCCAGACCTGCAGAGGACAGTCTGAGGGAACCTCACCTGTTGTGTCCTCACAGTGTGCCCAGAGAGGGTACCTCCAGGCCAGGTACATCCCCTGACCATGTGCCTTCATGCTCAGTCCCACATCCCGCCCTGGACCAGCACTTCTCTAGCATGAGCAGTTATTTTGTTGGAACTTGGCAACTGGACAGAACAGCTCAGGAGGCCAAGTACCGGGGCAGAGGTCAGTGTGCTGGATGGTCTCACTCAGACAGCTGGGCAGAAGCAGCCCTGGAGACCTGCCCTTTGCCCCTCCTGAGTCAGGGTCATCAGGAAGATGATCCTGAAAGCAGGCCCCTGGTGCTCATCGCCTCCTCAGCACCAGAAGGAGCCTGGAGAGCTCCTTGCCCCGCCTCTCTTGGTGCAGGTGTGCACACGTGCTGGGTGTGCGTTTTTATACGAGGAGATGTGAGCGGACTCACACGTAGATGGGTATGCAAGCATGTGTGTATAAATGAGTTGCAAATGAGACTAGAACTCTTGTGTGTTTGTGGCAGCTGTGTGACTGTGTGCTCGCAGCAGGGCACCATGGGTTAGCGCACTCAGATCAGACATGGGCAGAGTTGCAGAGCCCGGGCTGGCATCTTGGTAGGTGGAGCTAGAACACACACGCACCGCCAGGCTGGCAGCTGACACACCCACTTAGCTGGACCAGCTGTTGTAAACCTACCTGAGGAGGAGCTGTCGGAACCTGACCTAGAGATGACCTGAGTTGGTATTTCACCACAGGTGCCATGGCGAGGAAGCCCCGGGAGAGGGGGAGCTCCTCACCCTGCAGGGTCTGCCAGGCATGTGGAAGACGAGGTGACTGGTGTGCCCGAGGCTGCGAGGGTCTGCGGGTGAGGGTCAAGCTCCACGACTCACAGCAGGTGAGCCTCCCTTCCCAAAAAGACAAACTGAGCCCTCCAGGTAGCTTCCAGACCCTCCCTGCTGCAAGGTCAAGGTGAGGGTCCATGGTGAGAGCCTCCGCGAGGAGCTGCTGTTTTCCTGGGTTCTCAGGTGCTTTGAGGACTGGTGCCAGTCTGGGGTGACCAGCCCAGACCTTCCTGGTTTTAGCATCAAAAGTCCTGCAACCCTGGAAAGCCCCTCCGTCCCAGGCAAACCAGGATGGCTAGGCACCTAGCAGATCTGAACCTGTACAACTGAAGCGGGGTGGTGTCTTTAAGAAAAAGAACATAAACTACAAATACAAAATTAGGGCGATAGAAGGGACGTGTGAGCAAGGGGCTCGGGAGCTGAAGCTTCAGTAGCTTCACAGTCATCTTTCTCTGCCACAGAAAGACTTTCAACTTTTTTTAGAGCTAGCCCAAACTGGATGGGAATCCAGGTTCTGTTCCTCACTGGGTGTGTGAGCCCAGGCAAGTGACTTACCCTCTCTGTGCTTTAACTTCTTCCTTTCTAATAGAGCAGGGACAATCACACCAGGAGAGGCTGTGCTGGTTCCATGAGATAATAGTGGTGACAGTACACACACACACACACACACACACACACACACACAGCATGTGAGGTACTCCTCAACTGCTCTCCAGTGCAAGTCTGTTGACTGAGTGAACTGAGGAGAGAGGAGTCCAAGGCCCAGAACCACTTGATGGCAGTGGAGATGGACACGCGAGAGCTGGCTCGTGTCAGCACAGACCAGACATTTGCTCCAGGAATCCCTGGCTCTGCCTCCAGCTCACTGGTGATCTACAGAAGGCCTGGGTCTCACCCTCTCTTTATAGGACTTGTGGATGCTGGCCTTGGCTTTGTCCTAGCATTTCGTGACATGAAGATGCAGAAATATCTGTGCAATTCTAGGGGCATCTTTCTAGCGAAAGGGCCAAGCCCGAGGGGATTCAACAAGAAGGATTTTGGTTAATTGGGCCTGAAAATTGCTGAACTCTCTGGAACCACCGATTCATCTTCTTCTTGTCCTAAATCCCTAACTCTTGCTGACATTAGATCAAGGGGGGCGGGCCCGGGGGATGGGGGTGCTCTGCTCCTGGGGAGGCCCCCTGGGGAAGAACGTTGAGACTCCAGCGGTGGAAGCCTCTCCCAGGAGCACAAAGGGGTCTCCTCTGTCTGTGGACACACCCTCCCCAGGGCATCCTGGGGAGTGACCAAGCTTGGGCCTGAAGTGACCACCCTGTGCCCCCTGTGAGTAGAAGGGAGACAGGCTGCTTCTCCAACCAAACTCCAGCATCAGAGCAAGAGAACGAGGTCCAACCTGGGGAAATTTACCAGCTGCCAGAAAGGCTCCCGAGCTTACCTGCTTCTCCCAGTGGTAAGCATCCAGGGCCCCCAAAGCAGCACCTTGCTTTGCCTAAACGTCCTCCAGGGCTGGGGAGCTCACCCCTCCTGGGGCAGTCCATACCCGCGCTGGCCAGCTCTGTTAGCAAGTCTCGCCTAGAACAGGGCTTAAATCCGCCTTCCAACCAAAATATTCACCCTTCCTTGCAAGGCTTGAGTGGGTCTGCTGTTTCCCATGGTCACCCCCTGGACACTGGGGATGTGTGAGGGCAATCTCTGCCTCCCACCTTAGCAGAGACTTGTCTGCCCTCCCTGTTGCCGGCCACACATGTGGACCCCCACTAGTGACCCCATCCTCTGAGAGAGCCCGCCTGGCGGTCCTATAACCCCCACCATCTGCCCCTCTCGGGACCACAATCCTCCTCTTTGTCCTCCAATCTCACCCCCAAAGCCTTCAGGGACATTATCTCTGGAAGCTATTTGGATTTCTAGGGTCACACCCTCCCCTGAGCCCATTCACCCCTTTTCTCCCCAGCTCTTATTTCCCTAGAGACTAGAGGGAGGGATCCCTCTAGGCCTAGGCTGGGCTGTCTCCCTACCTCTGTTTCACAGACTGGAGTGCTCAGGCTCAGAGAGGGTGGCAAGCTCCCTGAAAGTCACAGAGGAGGTTCATAAAAAGGGGAAACTCTAGCGGAGCCCAGCCCTCCCAGGACTTGGGGACCCTGAGAAGCCCCACTTTTCCAGTGCCCTGCTCAGGGCAACCTGGGGGAAGGCACATCGCTCCCTGCACAGTGCTCCTATCCGCGGACCTAGGGGCTCCTGGCTCCTGCGCTCCGGACTTGGGCGAAGGGGGCGTGGTAGGAGAGGGGTTCCCTCGTCACGGCCCCCTCCCGCTGCTGGGAGCCGGGCCCCTCAGCTCTGCACCCACTAATTGGTCTCGTCAGGCGGCCGGCGGGCGCTCCAGCTGCGCAGATCCGAGCCGTGTCATCCGCTTAGAGCCCTCGCGCCACCCCGTGCTCCCGCCCCGCGGCACCCCCCACCCCGCATCCCCGCCGTCATCTCTGCCCTCGGCAGGGGATGCTCGGCGCCCTAGCGCCCGGCGAGCGACGCCACCCGCCCGCGGAGACATGAGGCGCGGCCCGCGGGCCGCCGCGGCCCTGGAGCTGCTGTTCCTCTGCCTGGGTGAGTGGGGGCGAGGGGGACGCCCGCGCTCCCTGGGGGGACACAGAGACACAGTTCTGACCGGTCACTTCCAGAGGGACCGGGACGGGGTGGGGGTGGCACGGGCGATTCTTCCAGCCGCCGGGCGCCGCGGGGCGGAGGGGCGCTGCCGGAGCACTTCTCCCGAGGCCAGACCTCCGGAGACCCGGGATTGGGAGCCAGGACCCTGGCTGCCCTCCGCTTCTTCAGAAGCAGGGTGGGAGATGTGGCGGCTGCTCTGACGGCTGCGTGGGGCAGAGGAGGGTGTCCCGCTCCTCGTGTGACCTTGGCCAGGACACTGCCCCTCTCTGGGCGAGAGTTCCCTGTCGGCCGGTTGATGGGGTTGAGATTGGCCGCTGCCTGGGTTCCCAGCGCCGCAGACGGTGCGTGTCCGACAAGCCCGCGCCCACAGCGGGTGGTGGCGGAGGGACCCTCTCCGCGGCGCCCCAGCTGAGCCAGTCGGTTGCCGGGGTGGGGAGGGGAGAGCCCGCCGGCCCACGAGTGGGGCCGGACGCGTGACCACGCCGGTGCGAAGCTGTCCCTCCGCATGTCCGGGTGTCCGTCTGATCTGTCTGCGCTCTGTTCCTAGCCCAGGCCAACTTCGCCCCCCACTTCTTCGACAACGGGGTCGACAGCACCAACGGAAACATGGCTCTGTTCAGCCTCCCGGAAGACACCCCCGTAGGTGAGTAGCCCTGGCACCGGCCCCGCGTTAGTCTCCCGGGGGGTCCCTCGAACACAGGGACAAACCTGTGACTACTCCGCGCCCGTGGAGATGCCAGTGCCAGGCTGCGGGCGCTCCCGGGGGGCGCCCTGTTTGCGCTCTGAATCCCCTGGGGCAGTTGCAGGAAAGGAGGTCACGGCTGCCATGGAGACGTAAGCCGGGCCAGTCCTGGAGACGGGGGGTGGGGGGGCCCCGGGCGGCAGGCAGGTGGCAGTCCGCAGCATGGTGGCTGCCGCTGGGCTTGGCCACGGTGCCGCCTCTTAACCACTGTGCGACCTTGAGCAAAGGTGCTTACCTCCCACAGTCTCGGGTCTCCAGGCTTTGAAACAGTCTGAGCACATCCAGCTCTCTGGGGTCTGCGGACAGAGGCTGAGAAGGAGAAAGAGGAGAGAGAGTGCATTTCCTCTCCCTCAGCCTGTCTGAGCGGGAACCTGAGCAATGGGATGGCAGTGTAAAGGGGTGCCTGCTCAGATCCCTGAGGAGCGAACCCAGGCATGCGGACATGTTGCGCAGGTCACCCCTCCCGCCTTATGGACCCTCCCTTGTTCCCCACCCCCCTCCCCAGGGAGCCCCCCATCTTGACTCCTGGGACAGGAGTCCTTACCAGGCAGAGACCCTCGAGTTAGGCACAGGAGACCTGAATCTCCTTTGTAGCCTGTATTACAGATCACAATCTGTAGAGTGGCAGACAATAACGTCTCGCAGATGTGTGAAGAAGAAAGAGAAACCCAGGGGAAGCAGGCTGCAGGGGGGAGGCCAGCAGTGGTGCTCTGTCAGGGCGGTATGTTTGGCACTGAATTGTGTGAACGGTTGAATCCTTGGTCCCAAGCAGCTGCCCCTTTTAGGAAAAGTCAGGTCCCAGATTTTAGGTCCCCGATGTCTCCTTCCAGGCTCTCATGTGTACACCCTGAATGGGACAGACCCGGACGGAGACCTTGTCTCCTACCACATCAGCTTTGACCCCAGCACTAGAAGTGTCTTTTCTGTTGACCCCAATTTTGGAAACGTCACTCTGATTGAAGAGCTGGACAGAGAGGTATGGGGAGGTGCAAGGAGGCCGGCCCTGCTGGCGGTGCAGACAAACCTCTGTGGTCTGGATGGTCCCCTAGAGGTGGTCCTTGGAGAGGTCCTGTAAGCCACAGAAAACTCAGACTGCAGATCGGGCTGGAAAGAGTGGTTTAGAGAGTGGGTCTGAGTTTGGTAAAACCCCACCCGTCTGTATCCTTCTGCAACCTGTGGGTGACAGAGCATGGGCTGTGTTTCCCTTTTGAGACCCTACACCAGGCTGGTGGGTCTATCTGGCCACATAACTAGACCTCAGCTGTGGGGCTGCTGTCAGCTCTGGTCCGATGGCAGACTCCACCAGCCACAGGCCAGAGTAGAGAAAGGAATGGGTGGGTCTCAGAGACTGTGCTGTCCCCCGGGGACCTGGTGACCTTGACACCCTTTCTCATTGAGGTCCCATCGTGTCCTGGGGAGTGCAGGAGACACCACAGACCAGGACCTCTGTAGACCATGGAATGTGGGGAGAGGCGTGGGAGGGAAAGGGGAGAAAAAGGAAAAGAAAAAAGGAATAACCCCCTCTTCCTGGGACCTCCAGCACATGGGGTTAGCGTCTCGCCTCATTTTCACAGGGGAACACTTTCGGTTGGCGCCTCAGCAATCCCTCTGGGTTTATGGGAACCCTTGATATGCTAAGCCCTGCAACAAGGTCTCAGGGGTGCCAGCTTTAGGGTGCCTCCCCCTGCTCTAGGGCTCCCTAAAAATGCCCAGGCCTCCTCTGATGGGCTCAGTGGGGCAGGGAGAGCTCCCCACCGCCTTGGGGGTCCCCATGGTGCTTCAGGCTCCTAGATGCTCACTTGGTCCTTGTGCTTCACAGAGGGAGGATGAGATTGAAGCCATCATTAGCATTTCCGACGGCCTGAATCTGGTGAGCGCACCCCCAAGCCAGCCCCCTGGCAGCACACAGCTCCCCAGCCTGAGCACCATTCCTCCCCCAGCCTCCTGGGGGGTCCCTGGCAAACCCAAGCGGAAGCCCAGCTAGATCTGCCCCAGCATGCCCACAGGAGAGAACTGCAGCTGGTGAGGCCAGTGGGGAAGGAAGGGAGGAGAGAGCAAGATCTGCCAGCTGCAAGTCTGATGGATCACACCCATATTCCTCAGCATCTCCTCAAACCTGCTTTCCCAGCTGCCTCCTCCGACCCCTCCAAGAGTTCTTGGCTCTGCCCCATCACCCAGACCCCTCCTTCTCTCTCACCTCCTTCCCCACAGCCCCCACTTTCCCTCAGCCCTCATCAGTGCTTCCCCAGATAATCGCGAAGGCTTCCCTCCCTCCAGACTCCCCTGATCCCAATCCACCTCTGAAGTTCAGCCAGAGCCATCGCTGTGGAACAGAGACCTGGCACTAACAGCTGGCCCCCATGACCCTGAGGATGAAATCCAAGCTTCAGTCCAGCATTCAGGGCCTCCCCATCGAGCACCACCTGCCTCACCCACCTTTTCTCCCACATTCACCCTGCCAACATCTAGCCATAAATCTACTTATGTTCTCTCCACTCCCCATGCATCTCCCTCCCCTTCACCTTTGCACATGTTGCTCCTTTTTCCTGGCCCACCTATGGCCTCTTTCCCTCTCACCTGGCAGTCTGCTGCAGAGCTTGGTTCCCACTCCTCTGGGAAACCCCCTGCAGTCCACTCCCACAGGCTGGGGTAGACACCTCTTCTTGAGGCCTCTGGATGCAGCCTCCTACACTGTGCAGCCACAGCCCTGAGGGTTGCATTTACCTCCAGCACGTTGTGCGTGGTGCCCCAGCATTTGCAGTGCAGGCGCCCTGCCCTCGGTGCCTGGCACGCCTCTGTTATTGCACTGAACGATCACCATAGGCTGATCTTTGCTCACCATCCCATCCCGCAAAATACACACCCATCGGACTGTGTCTTCTGTCTCCGCGATGGAACACAGTGCTTGGCACTGAGAATTTGCTTAATAATACTTGTTGCATGAATGAATAAAAGAGGGAAGGAAGGAAGGAGGAAGGGACAGAAGGGAGGGAGGGAGAGAAAGGGGAGGGGTGGGCAGAGACACACACCTGGGGCATTAGAGACCACCATCCCTTTATCACCTACAAGGTCTCACTGCCCCAACTCCTGTCCCCTTTGCCCCTTCTCAGGTTGCAGAAAAAGTTGTGATTCTGGTGACCGATGCCAATGACGAGGCACCCAGGTTCATCCAGGATCCCTACGTTGTCCAGGTCCCCGAGGTGAGCCAGGGGCTCTTGGCAGGGCCAGTGCACTCCCACCCCAGGCTGGGGGCCCGCCCTCTGGGCTGCCCTGTGACCTGGCCAAGGGGACCGGGCATTGGAGTGAAGAGCATCTCTTCATGGCTCACTGCCTGCTGGAGAGCATCCCCTCACTGTCCTCCCCCACTTCTGTTGCCATCTCTTCACACAGTCATTTTTATTCCAAAGTAATGTTCATTTACATTTTCCATTATATTCATAATGTATGTTTATTCACAGTTCATAACTGTGAAATATATAGAAAAGTAAGAAAAAAATGTTTCGAAACTCGTTTTCAATCCCTCCAACTTGGAATAACATTGTTAAATTTTGGTGTATTTCCTTCTAGTCATTTTTGGGATTATAGGTTCTTATTTTCTGTTTGTTTTACATAGTCGTGAGCATACTAAACATAGGCTTTCTGTGTCCTATTTTTCACTTGATTTATAGCTAAGCATCTTCCTCAGTAATTGTAAAGTTTGGGTAACTGTCATTTTAACAGCTTCCATTTAGTGCATATTCCATCATTTACTGAACTGTTCCTTTATGTTTGGATATTTAAGATGCTTTAAATTTTTGCTGTCGTAAGAAACATCGGTTTCTGAACATAAAAGTTCCTTTTCTCTAATTGGAATGCATTCCTTAAGACACAGTCCAGGATTTGGAATGGCTAGGTCGGAAGCATGAATGCCTGTGAGGTGTGGCCAGAGGCTTCCCTGGAATGGTGCCTATCTGCCCTTTCCCCTGGGATGTGGGAGAGGGTTCATCTCCCCATCCCTCGCCAATGCTGGGGATTTGCAAATTTGTAAATGTTTGCCAATTCCATGGCAGAAAGACATTTCCTTCTGGTTCTAATTGTATGCGTGTGATCCTTGGTGAAGCTGCAGATGTCCGTGTTTATCAACTGTTTTCCCATTTCATAGTCATTTTGTATTTGAACCCTTTCTCTATCTGGAGTCCTAGTTTTTCTTGGTCTCCCTGAGGCTATCCTTGGGGGAGATATCTGACTATTCCTCCTTTCCTTTTCCTTCTTTCCTGTGCCCACTCTGACTCGGGGTGTCCTCTCCCCTGTTAGGTGCTCCCTGGTCAGTCACCACCTCTTCACCTGTTTTTAGCCCTTCACTCCCCGGACCCCACCTTCCATGGCCCCAAGACCCCCAGTTCCCTGAGCATTCTGTCACTGCCCCAGCACTGACCCCCCTGTGGCTGTGACCCTTCAGGACACTCCTGCCGGGAGCAGTATCCTTAAGGTCCATGCAGTGGACAAGGACACAGGGTCTGGAGGGAGTGTCACCTACTTCCTGCAGGTAAGGTGGGGCACACAGGATGTAACCAGAGGCAGGGGCCAGAGGGGACACCTGGATGGCCCCCACCTCCATCACCAAGCCCTTACATCAGTGCCTCTCCCATTCCCAAAGATCGTCAGAGATGCCTCATCAGATCGCAGCGGGGTCTCAGTAAACAGGAGTGGGACGGACAGGTGGGGATGTGAGAGCCACATATCCAGGACCCTCTGCTCTTCAACCCCCACCCCTTCCGCAGGAGAAGGCCCCGGCACTTGGCACCCAAATGTGGTGAAGAAAACCTGTCTGGGCCTAGAATTGTCAATAGGAAAAAAGGCAGAGGCAATCCTCGGAAGGAGCAGAGCTATGACGCCCCACCCACCCGGTCCATCAGTCCCTCCCTGTCACAGGCGCAGCCCCTCCCTGGCCTCCCTGGGCTCCTCAGGAACCGGCCGCCCTTCTTTGTGGGGCTGCTCTTTCTGTGGCATTTCCTCTGCTCTCACATTTTGTCACTTGCTCTCAAGGCAGTACAGCATGGTGGCTAAAAACACAGGTTCTGGAGAATTCCCTGGCTCCGCGGGTACTGGAGAGACCCCACCACTTCCTTCGTGGGGCCTTCACCCGTCATCTAACTTTCCCAGCTGAGTTTCCTCACGTGTAAACTGGAAAGATGCAGGCACATCCTCACTGGGGTTTGTGAGGTTAAATACATGTGCAGCTCTGATGACAGCTCCTGAGACAAGGAACCCTTCCTCAGACTAAGGGCCATCTCCTGTCCCCATCCAACCCTACCCCCGCCCCCGCCCCCAGATGCTGCCTGGGACTGGCCCGCAGTCACTGCTTGGTCCCGGAGGTTCCTTCCGTCACTCTGGCTCCTGAGCCCCAGCCCCTCTGGTTAGAGCCCTCCGCTGACATTTCTCCCTGCTGGAACCCCGTTGTTTTCCAGCTGAACAGAGAGAAGAGCAAAGGCCCAGCTGGAAGGGAACTTCTCGGTTTTGACTGAAGGAGTGGGAGGGGAAGCCCAGAGCCCTAGGAAGGGGGACCCTGGGGGCCAGAAAGACTGAGTGCCCTGAAGTTTGAACCTCAGCCCTAGGCTGGAGTTCCTGTGACGAAGGAAGGTGAAGACCCCCTTTCAGTAAGCAGAGCAGGCATTCCTGGGGCCGGCCTGCGTCCCTCCCCAAGGCCCAGCCTGCCCCTCACTCTTACAGAATATGCGCTCCACCAAATTTGCCATGGACCGTCACAGCGGTGTGCTGCGCCTCCAGGCTGGGACCACCCTGGACTATGAGAAGACCCGGGCCCATTTCATCACCGTGGTTGCCAAGGTAACAGAGAGGGAGGATGGGGAGCAGCCAGTCTTCCCTCAGCCTTTGTCAGGGGAAGCCGTCCTGGGATCGGAGCAAAGGGAGGGTCTACGATGGAGTAGCGGCAGTTTGGAGAGTGAAGGTGTGATGGGGGCAGCGATGGGGATGCGGCTGCTCGGAATCTCTGTTGAGTGGACCCTGCACGGACATGGACATATTCTCCAGGGAGGCTGGTGTCTGTGGGCTGGAGAGGGTCTCTTCCCTTCTAGGAGAAGGTGTGTGCCCTCTCAAGACTCACAGGCCAGGTCCCCTCCATAGGACCAGGTGGCCGTGGTCAGCACCTCCATCTCTCCACCCAGGCCTGTTCGCCCCACCTCTTCCTCTCTTGGGACCAGTTACCTTCTCTGAGCCCCGGTGTCCTCGTCTGCCCACCCTTGCACTTAGCTAGACTCCGCATATTTCTAAAGTGCTGGTGTGGGGCCTGCAGCTCAGCCGGTGCCCAGCCAGAGCGGCTGTTCTCCCCCTGAGGGCAGGAAACCCCGGCCACCGCTCGAGGCCCGGCATTTTCTTCTCTAGGAAGAGAAAGACCCTTGCTGGTCACATACTGGCTATAGGCCATCCCACTCCAGACTGCACCCGGAGGCCCGGGGTGGCCCTGCCTGCCCGTTACTCCGCGGGCCTGCTCGGTGGGCACGCATCTCCGTTGTACACACTCGGGCACGGGCCCAAGTCGTGCTGTTAGCGGGTCCTCGGGGGGTGTCTGCCACTTGGGTCCTGGCTGGGCGGGGGAGTTCGGCTCTGAGCCCCTCCTGCTCTACCACTCGTTGGACGTGGTTTCCCGGGAGAGAGAACTAACCCTGCTTCTGAAGGAACACTTTTGAGTGCCTGCTGCATACCAGGCCTGACTGCAGACCTCTGTGCATCATCTCATTTAACTTGTCCAACACTCCTGTGAGGGAGGATTATCTCCGGGGCACACAGGAGCGAACAGAACTGAGAGGGGGCAGCTGGCACCGCGGCCAGTCAGTGGCAGGAGCCAGATTCCACCAGAGTCCGTCCGCCCGCAGAGCGCAACCTCCCTTCGTTCTCTGATTCTTCCCCAGGATGGCGGAGGGAGGCTTCGAGGGGCTGACGTGGTGTTCTCGGCCACCACCACGGTCACAGTCAACGTGGATGACGTGCAGGACATGGCCCCTGTCTTCGTAGGCACACCCTACTACGGCTATGTGTACGAGGACACGCTTCCGGTGGGTGGCCGTGCCCCTCAGCCCACTGTCCCCTCCAGACGCCTCCTGCCCTACCCTGCATGCTGCCCCAGACCCCCGCTGGGATGGCTGGGCTCGGCCCCGGTCATCCTCCCTACACAGAGGCTGGCTCTGGACTTGCTCAGGCTCAGGCCACGACCAGGTCCGCACACGCAAAAGCCTCGAGATGTATGGGGGAGAAGGTACTGGAGCTTGTGTGGAGCCACGGCTGTGCCAGGCCTTTCTGCACCCATTCAAACCTGCCCAGCCCAGCCACACGTGTCGGCCCCTCAAAAGGGCTAAGAAGAGAGGCTGGCAGGTGGCGATGGCCTTGGTTTGGGTGGGGCCTTTCCTACACCCTGTGGGGGCTGAGAGTCCTTGGTGCCCCCCAGCTCCCAGCCTGTACCCTGAGGCTCCTCAGACTGGTAGGTGGCCCACAGTTTGCTGCCGAACCACCACGACCCCTGTCAGACATCACGCACAGGCCCAGCTCACCTCAGCCTCCTCCTGCTTCAGTGCGATCTCGCCCCCTAAACTGCACGTGTCTCTCCACTCCGCCCCCATCCCTCTGCCTGAACCGTGCCCATGGGCCTGATGCCCCTGCCCTTCTCTCTTCCCCGCCTTCCCCGACATGTTTGTTCAGATGGGAGCCCCCTCTCTGCTCCCACACTCCGCACACCCCTCTGTGAGCACACCCCTCCTTGGGGGGCGCCCGTGTGTTTATATGCCCCCAGCCGGACCGTAAGCTCCCCGTGGGCAGACACCAGGCCGGAGCCAAGCCCCCCATGGCCACGGCTCAGGAACTCTCTGAGGAATTGAGTTCTACTCTCAATTTTCACTTCCCAGTTTCTGATTATCCTCGATTTTATAAAACAATGAAAACACTTACTGAGGGCCGTTCACATGCTGGGCCCAAGCTAACATACCAGCTGGCAGCCCAGGGGAGGTGATGAGCACAGAGCGAGGGAGCGAGGAACGCCGGCTGCCGCGGGCAGGGCGGGGCCCAGATGGTCCTGCCCGGGAGCTAAGGGCTAAGGGCGGGAGAGATGCGGAGGGGAGATGCGGAGGGGAGAGGCGGCCATCAAGCAGGCGGGGAGCAGCCGGGAGTGTGGAGAGGCCAGGAGAAGGGCCTGAGGAGGGCGCTCAGAGGCGGCACCCTGCCCTGCCCAAACCCTTGGAACGGCACCCCAGGGCCACAGGCACAGTCCTAGTTCCTGGACTGTGCATTGGTCCCCTCTGTGTCCTGCCTCCCACCTGTCTCTCCCGTCTCGCTCCGGGCACCTCTGTAGACAAAGATGGCCGAGGCAGCGGGCGTGGCTGGAGGGCGGCACGGGAGAGGCCGGGTGTGGTGTGTGGGAAAGGAGGCAGGGGAAGAGGTGTGCGGAGGAGGCCCAGGCAGAGGCCTGAGTGTCCCTGGGCCGCCCATGCCAAGCCGTGTGGATGAGGGAGCAGGGAGGCCAGGCTGTCCCTCCAGCCCTGGGAGGCCAGTGGGTGCTGCGAGCTCCCCGCAAAGCAGGGGTGGGGCCACACAGAGGCCTGGCTCTCTTCCTCGGCGGGGGTGGCACCCCCTCTGTGATGGGGCCAGTGTCTGGGGCGGGGAGAGCCCCTGCATCACCCATCGGCCTGAGGCAGCTGCTCCTGTTCCCAGGGCTCAGAGGTCCTGACGGTGGTGGCCATGGACGGAGATAGAGGCAGACCCAACCGCCTTGTCTACAGCCTCGTGAACGGTGAGTCTGGGGCACCTTTGGGGACAGGCGCATCGCTGGGCTGCAGCTCAACACCCTGGGCGACCACAGCAAGGTTTCCCAGCCTCTCTGGGTCCCAATTTCTCATCTGTAGGGCCAGAAGAACAAGACATATGGAGAGGAGAGGCTGGGTCCCTCCGGGAGGCGGCAAGTCTCCTTGGGCGTATGCTTATCATTATGCCCAGCGACAGGGAGAGAAGCATTGGGTGGGGGTCCTGAGTGCCACATGGGTGGCACAGATTCATTTCCCTGCACTCTGGGTATGTGCTCATTGATGGGAAGGGGGTGCCAACATTTTTACACTCTTTAAATTGCTATGTGTTTTCCTCATTCTTTTAAATTTCTGGCCTAGAGCGTATAGTTGAGTTAAATGAATTAAACGCAGCGATGATACAGCACTTCGCTAGTGCCAGCCCCATATATGGATGAGAAAACTGGGGATCGGAGTTCCCATTGGGTTTGAATTGAGGTCTGCTGGCTCCAGGGCCGTGCTCTTTCCACAACTGGGCAACAGCTGAGCAGGGGGAGCTGGCCCTGGGGTGGGCTCTGCAGCCCTCAGTAGCTGGTCCCCACGGGGTCAGGCCGCTTATGCACATGTCTGTATGCTCTCAGACACCATCACCTCCCCCGACCCTGTCCCTAGGACGTGCCGGCTCACACCCTCCCTGCAGCGGCTCACACACGCAGGACCGTGCCCACCATCACACCAGGCTCCTTTCCCCAGGCACACAGACCCTCGGCTGCCTTCCCTCCCAGCACCACTGCAAACCTTCACCCAGTCTCCAAGCACCCACCCCGCCCATCGCCGCTCCTCTCTTCTCCCCCAGTGGCTCTCCTCCTCCAGTCTCTTTCCTCTCCCTCTCTCCTGTGTCTCCCCTCCCTCTCTTCCCTTCTTTCCTTCTCTCTCTCCCCTTCCTTTTCTCCCTCCCTCTGTATCTCTTTCTGTCTCCCTTTCTCTTTTCATCACACACAGAGACACACACAGACACACACATACACACACACACTATGCATAAGAGAAGCAAAGTACTACTGAACCTGGGAGCCAGACAGAAGTGAGTTCAAGTCCCAGCTCTGCACTTAATGTGTCACCTTAGACAAGTTACTTAGCCCCTCTGAGACTCAATTTCCTCTCTGGCAAGACACAGATGATAGAATTCCATTCTATAGAAGAGACTGCAGTGAGAGAACGCGTGAGTAGCCTGTGGCACCCTGCCTGGAGCGACTCCCCTGCGCCCTCCTGTGGTCCTCGGCAGAACTGCAGGGCGCATCTCTCCTCTGTGACAGGGAGCGATGGAGCCTTTGAAATTAATGAGACGTCTGGAGCCATCTTTGTCACGCAGAGTCCTGCCCAGCTCCGGAGAGAGGTGTATGAGCTGCATGTACAGGTACCCTCCCTCTAGCTTGGACTTCTCCACCCACCGGCCCAGGAAGCTTCCGAAGGTGACGAGATCACCTCCCTCGCCCACCAGGGCTCACAGTCTGGGGAGGGAGCTAGATGTTGCTCCAAGGAGCGCCTACATCAGGTACCTGTGTGAAGGCTGCAGCGGATACGCACAAAGCCCCTGGCCAGAGGAACCGTGAATCCACAAGCAGAGTTGTGACAAGGCGGGAGGAGGGAGGACTGAGCAGCAGTGCCTTGAGCAGGGGTCGCCCGAGCAGGGGTCGACCCAACAGGTGGAGACTGGTGGAGGGGAGCATGGTTGGGGTGGGGGCAGAGTGGAGGCAGGGCGAGCTAGGAGAGCCCAGTGAGCCCAGGCTGGAGGTGAGAGCACGGGATGTACTGGGGGTGCAATGCAGAGTCCAGTGGGAGGGGAGCAGAGAGTCCACAGGCAGCATGTGGAAGGAGAAATGGTTGGATCTCAGGCTTGCGCCAGAGGAGGGAAGGCCCTGCCAGTGAGGTCTGGGTTTTCCCTGGAGCAAGGCCAGCTTTGTGGGAACATGCGCTGTGCAAGGACACAAGGACTGCGATTAGAAGGGTTTCATGCTGGGCTTAATGCTCTGCTCTTGCTGTCTTGAAATTCTTAGTAATTTTTTAACAAGGGGCCCCATATTTTCATTTCTCACTGGGCCTTCAAACTATGTAGCTAGTCCTACCCAAGAGCATGAAAGAACCATTGACAGGTTTGAACAGGATTGGAGTCCTGTTAAAAAGCTCACTCTAGCTGCTCACTAGACCAGTGGGGTTCCAGATTTGGAGTTTGACAAGCAAAGATTCCAGGACCCACTCCTGGGGATAGGAATCTAGAGTGTCTGGGGTAAACCCAGGACTCTGTGGATTTTGAGGTCCCAAATGATTCTGGCACCAGTCCCAGCCTGGCATTTGAGAACACTGGTCCCAACTCAGGTTTGGAGGGAACTGGATGAGAGGCAGGGAGGCAGAGCCATCAGCCAAGGTGATAGGCGAAGAGGGCCCATGTGGGTGAGGAGAGGTGGAATGGTAGAAATCAACAAATTGCAAAATATGAAGGAGGCGGACTCCACAGAACGTGGCTGTGAGGGCCGGGGGACAGGAGAGTGGTGGGTGAAGTCCAGGGTGGAACCCCGCCACTGCGAACACAGGAGAGGAGCCCAGTTAAGTGGGACGGGCATGATGAATTTGGGTGCTTCAGGGACATTCAAGTTGAAACATCCAAATGTGGGTATACAGGCTTGGAATTTAGGGGAGAGGGTACAAACATACAGGTAGCTCTGGAAGGATGGGAGGGAACAAGATCACCCAGAGATGGCTGTGGGGAGAGAGGAGCCACTGGCCAAGGGCACAGCTGTGGGAGCATCGAGGCTAGGAGTGAGGGGGGTGGAGCAGGTCAGGGAGAGATCAGAGAGGTCGAGGGGTCCTGCGGAGAGCAGAGTCACATTAGCTGAGGGAAAAGAGCACTCGCGAAGGTGAAAGGGGGCGGTGCGCATGCAACATGGAAGTCAGCAGGAAGTGGGAAGTAGGACACGCAGACAGCAGGTGTGGAAGTCTGAGAAGGGAGAGTTAGGGAGCAGCTAGGATGTGACGGAGTAGGGTTCAGGAGGGTTATTTTAGGATAGGTGACACCAGACACGCTTCTGGAACAAGGGGAAGGAGGCCCGTGAAGGGGCTCATATACTTGTCATGTGGTTCACGAGGTGCCTGTGGATTCTTGGCCCTGGCTTTGCAGCCTGTGTTCATTATCTGTTGCTACATCTCCACACCTCCCCTCCCTGCAGCCTCCCCCTGGCCAAAAGGACACAAGGGCAGAACGTGGCAGGGCTGGGGTTTGAGCCCATGTCTGGCTGCAGAGAGGGCACAGTGCGGTGAGGTGGAGAGAACACTGGCTAAGGAATGAGACACACCTGAGTTCTCCAGTCCAGCTCTGGCGCTCACTAGCTGTGTGGCCCCAGGTGACTGCCTCACCCCTCTGGGCCTCTTCTGTAAAATAGGATTAGTAATAGCACTGTGTTAGTTTCCTATGGCTGCTGTAACATATTACCACAAAATTAGTGGCTGAAAACTACCCACATTCACATCTCTCAGTTTCTGTGGGTCAGGTGTCCAGGCTCAGCTTGGCTGGGACCTCAGTCTCAAGGTCTCTCACATGGCTGCTATCAGATTGTCAGCCAGGACCGGGTTCTCATCTGAAGGCTCGGCTGGGGAAGGATCAGCTTCCAGGCTCACATGGTTATTGGCAGCATTTAGTTCCTCATGGGCTGTTGGCTAGAGGTCACGGTTAGTTCCTTGAAACCTGGGCCTCTCAACCTAGCTGCTTGCTTCATCAAAGCCAGCAACAGAGAATGTCCGCTAGAAGACAGAAGTCACATTCTCTTGTAGTCTAATCTCATCTCCTTTGCCATATTCTACCAGTCAGAAGCAAGTCACTAGGCCAGGCCACACTGAGGGGGAGGGGATTACACAGGGCATGAATACCAGGAGGTGGGGATCATTGGGGCCATCTTGAAGTCAGCCTGCCACACAGCCACAGCCACCTGTCCCCATCTCAGGTGACTGAGGTCAGCTCTGCAGGGAGCCCAGCTGCCCAGGCCATGGTCCCAGTCACCGTCAGGATTGTGGACCTCAACAACCATCCGCCGACCTTCTATGGAGAGAGTGGACCCCAGAACAGATTTGAGCTGTCCATGTACGAGCACCCGCCCCAGGGGGAGATCCTGCGGGGCCTTAAGATCACAGTCAATGACTCAGACCAGGTGTGTGCTCCTGCCCTCCACCCCAGGGTCCTGCAAACGGCATGGGGCCCAGGTCCCAAAGCTGAGCGTGCATCAGCCTTCACGGCTTATGTCACAGGGGCTGGCGGGTCACGATATGAATGAAACCAGAGGGTGTAACCAGGAGAAGAGTGGGACAGGAGCTAATGGAGACTATCTGTGTGGCCTGAGGACGTTCACAATCAATTAAAAAGTAAAGCCAGTCAAACAAAACACCCCTGCATCCAACCCACCAGCCCTATCACCCACTCTGGCCAGCACAGGGCCAGGCCTGTGCTTGTTACCTTGCTTGGTCCTCATAGCCCGCTAAGTCCTGCTGATTGTTGATTGCCTCCCCTACAGAAGGAAGTGGAATACCCACCTCCCAAGGTGAAGGGTGTATGAAGGCTCCTCGCTTAGCAGGAATAGAGGATGAGTTTCCATTCTCGTTCGTCTTCCCTGTCTCCTCTCTCCAAACTCTATTGCCCAGGGAGCCAATGCCAGATTCAACCTGCGGCTGGTGGGCCCCGGAGGCATCTTCCGAGTGGTCCCGCAGACAGTCCTGAATGAAGCCCAGGTCACCGTCATTGTGGAGAACTCAGCCGCCATTGACTTTGAAAAGTCCAAAGTGCTAACCTTCAAGGTAGGTGGTGCTTGTGCTGCCCCGAATGGGGGGATACCAGGAACTCACAGTGCCTGTGAGAACGGCTCCCAGGAGCTCACGGCAGCACCTGGATTCCTTCCCGAGGGCTCGCTTGTCCCTCCCGCCCCTCCTGGCCCTTCTCCTTCCTCTCAGTCCCTCTGCCTCTCCTGCTGCTTTGGAGGCCGTTGGGGCAGGAGAAGGAGAGAGACACGAGAGCCGTCTCCTGCTCACACAGCCTCCGGCTGCTAACCTATCACCGTCCCCAGGAATGCAAGAGCTTCCAAGCGGCACGACCCACACCAGGTGCCATGTGCATAGGTGGAGAGAGAACAGCCATTTGCTGGCCAAGAGAGAGGTTTTCCTCTGTGCATTTGACATGTCATCTGTTCTGATAAAAACTTTAGCAGAAGATGACAAAAATACTCCTCGGTATTTGTAATTGTTTAAAATTATGAACATTTGTAAGTAATGCATATTATACATAAACATATAAACAACATATAGTAATAAAAAGGAAAAATAAATACTTCATCGATATTATTTAAATTGGCATAATTATTTCTAATTATACATGCATACACACCGATAGCTGACATCATGCTTACAAGTGAAATTCTAGAAGCAGTCTATGAAGTCAGGAGCAGAATGTGGATGCCTGCTGGCACACTGTAATTTAACACCATTCCTGAAAAAACGTTATTCTTGGATAAAGCAAGGAAATAAGAAGTACAAACATCAGAAAGGAAGAGACGAAATTATCATCATTTGTAGGTGATGTGATTGTTTGCTTAGAAACATCTAAGAGAAATGATCGAAAAACTGTTAGAAACACAGCAAAGTTGCTAACACGATTGATTACAAAGTTAATATGCAAAATCCAATAGTTTTCCTACATATGAGATATAGCAATGAACATAATGGAACAAAAGGTTCTCTTTTACAATAAAAACTAAAAGATAAAATTCCTAGGAATTATGATAACAAGAAATATGCAGTATCTGAATGACAAAAAAATGCAAAAATTTCACAAACGGATATAAAGAAGTCAGGAAATGTAAAGCCGTACCTTGTTTTAAAAAATGCAAATTCTCCTTAAGTTAATACAGAATCCAGTGCCATCTCAATGAAGTCTTTCCTAGAAGTTCCTTTGGGGAGGTGGTGAGGGGACTCGACACAATTACACTGGTTTTAATCTGGAGAAATAGACCTATAAGTATAGTTAGGAAAATTCAGAAAAAAGAATATGAGGCAGGAACTTGCTCTAACAAATATTAAATTATATTATTGAGCAAAATAATTTAAAAAATTGGAAATAAAAAAGAATATGCAAATCTGTGGAACAAAGAAATTGCCTGAAATACAAATGGATGCTCTGAGAAAGCGGACATTGCAGGTCGGTGGGAGACGGTGTGTGCCTTACCCACGCCCTTGCAGGTAGGGGTGGGAGAGCTGGCTGGCAGCTGAGAGCAAGAACGAGGACAGGTGGGTGGGGGCTGGACGGATGCAGGGACAGGAATCGGGGGCTCTCTGCAGGTGACTGCCACCGCACAGTCCTGGTTTCCTTCCTTCCCCAGCTCCTGGCCGTTGAAGTGAACACCCTGGAGAAGTTCAGCTCCACAGCGGATGTAGTGATCGAGCTCCTGGACACCAACGACAACGCCCCCAAGTTCACCTCCCACTACTACATTGCCAGGGTCCCCGAGAATGCCCCAGGGGGCTCCAACGTGGTGGCCGTCACAGTGGGTTGGGGACCGGCCCTGGGACTGGGGGTGGGATGGGAGCTGCACTGAAGGGGGCCTGATGATGTCAGACAAACCCGGGCTCCAGTTTGAATCGCAAAGCCCCACTCATTAGCTGTGTCCTTGGACAAGTTACCTGGCCTCTCTGAGCCTCAGTTTCTTCTTCTATACAGTGGGGATAACAACACCTCACAGGCTATACGGAGGACATAAGTGTAATCCCCAAGCTCGGAGCAAAGGACTCATCTCTTTTTCCTTCCTCATTTACAAAGAAGGAATAAATACCTTCCAGATGTAAACCTTTTGGTTCCTCCAACCCTTGAGACCTCCTGGGCAGAAAACTAGGGCCCCAGAGCAGGCCTCCAGATCACTTTCTCTCCAGTTGGGCAAACCCCAAATCCCCTTGTCTTGCTATTGAAAACAACCCTCAGACACGTGAGCTGCCAACGTGCCCTGACAAAGTGGCAGGTGCCACTGGGAGCTTTCTCTCTTCCAGGCTGTGGATCCAGACACAGGACCCTGGGGTGAAGTCAAATACTCCATCTATGGGTCCGGGGCAGACCTGTAAGTAAATCCAGAATCCCAGACAGGGCCTGAGACAAGGGCTTTGGGAAGCTGAGGGTGGACGGGGTCTGTGCCAAAGGCAGGAGGAACCTGGAAAGGATAGGAGCCGGGTTGGGGAGCGCAGCATGGGGGCGAGGAGTGGAGGGCAGCAGGGAAGCCTGAGGCAGAGATGTGGGGACACACGCAGTGAGGTGCTGGGAGTCTGAGAGAAGAAGGGTCGTCATCACGGCCTGGAGCTAGGGCTCATGGCCTCTGGAGCCAGGCAAGCAGTGCTGGGTTAGGGAGCGGGCAGGCCATGGAAGGAGAGGGAAGGGCTGTGACTCTGATTGTTCAGTTCAATATTGATGGATGGGTGAGTAGATGGGTCAGACTGCCTCCCTCAGTCAGACTGCAAGAGCGAGAAGCAGACAGATGGAGAGAGGAGCAGGAGGGACACCTTGGAGAAGCTGCATAATGCTTTACTACTGCTTCCCAGAGGCAGCTCATCACTGCAGATGCGCGTGTGTCAATGTGTGTGTGCACACATGTGCATGTGTATGTGCTTTGCACACCCATGCCTGCGCTCTGTGCCCGGCAGCTTCCTGATCCACCCATCCACTGGGATCATCTACACCCAGCCCTGGGCTACCCTCGACGCTGAGGCCACTGCCAGGTACAACTTCTACGTGAAGGCAGAGGACATGGAGGGCAGGTACAGCCTGGCTGAGGTCTTCGTCACTCTGCTGGATGTCAATGACCACTACCCCCAGTTTGGAAAGAGCTTCCAGGAGAAGACGATGGTGCTGGGGACCCCGGTGAAAATTGAGGTGGGCTTCAGACGCAACTGAGCTCCCTAAAAGCCTTGTTCCAGCAGCTGCAAGAGGCCCTGTGGCATAAGAATTCATTTTAGAATAAAATGTATTGGATTCCCACTATAGGCGAGGGACTTTAAGGTATGTGATATATTCCCATCTCAACCCAGAAACAACCTCTGAGAAAGAAAACATTATTGCCACTTTACAAATAAAATTGAGATTCAGACAGGTGAAGTGTTTGGCTTGCCTTAGTTCACACGGCTAGTCTGCTGCTTCCGAAGCTACGCTTTCCCACTGCACTGCACGTCTTCCAGTGTGGGCAAAGCACGAACCTGAACCCCAACAGCCTTGGCTTTGAATCCCAGCTCCCCTCCTTCTACCTATCCTGAGATAAGTCACCCAGCACCCAAGCTCCTATTTTTTAACGACAGCTGCTTCCTAGACTTGCTGAGAGGGGAACGGCATGACATGTAAAGGCCCAGCATAGACCCTGGCTCATTCGATTCCTCTCCCAATTCCAGTCCACTCAAAGTGGGGTTAGGACCAACCCCATCAACCCAGTGATCCACATATGACATGTTGGTTTAGCCAGGGCACACACGTATCATCCTCAAAGCCCAGCTCTATCTATCCCTCCCGTGCGCAGGCCACAGACCAGGATGCAGAGGAGCCCAACAACCTGGTGGACTATTCCATCACCCACGCAGAGCCGGTCAACGTGTTTGACATCGATGCACACACCGGGGAGATCTGGCTCAAGAACTCCATCCGCTCCCTGGATGCCCTGCACAACATGACACCCCACGGGGACTGCACATGGTCCCTAGAGGTGCAGGCCAAGGACCGCGGCTCCCCATCCTTCAGCACCACAGCCCTACTCAAGATTGACATCACAGACACTGAGGTGGGTACGAAGCCCGTGTCGGGGAAAGGGTCAGAGGGCCAGCTCAGGCCTCCCTGCAACATGGCCAGAGGGAGAAAGACCATCTCCAGCCTTCCTCCAAAAGCCACTCAGTGCTGGCAAGGGCTGCCTGTGCTGTCAAACACAAAGCTTTGAATCAGGTTGAAATCCTCATTTCAACACTTATTAATGATGGGACTTTGGGCCTTGCTGGGCCTCCACTTCTTTTCCTGTAAAATGGGAGTAATAATGCCTCCTTCACATGGGTGTTGAAAGGCAGAAGTAAAATCATTCTATGTAGTTCTCAGCTCAGTGTCTGGCAGAAAGTCATCACTTAAGGGGTTTCTGAGACCTCTGGGAAGACGTGGCCCCCCCATAATCGAAGGTAAACAATGTCCTGCTATCTCGAGAACAGAGTGCAGCTAATGCAGGAGTTCGTAATCAAACCTGGTTGCTTGCATCGTGCTCTCTCTGTGTGCATTTTTCCGGAGAGCTGCACGCATTCTGTTTTCTCTGTGTGCATATTTTTTTTGGAATGAAGCCCACAGTGCTCATCAGATTCTCAAGGGAGGGTGACCCCAGAAAGTTTAAAAACCATCAGGCTTGAGGGAGCTCCTGACGCCCCCAGGGAGCAGGCAGGAGCAGCTGAATGCAGGGAGGTGGCTCTCTCTTCCAGACGCTGTCCCGAGGCCCCATGGCCGCCTTCCTAATGCAGACCAAAGACAACCCCATGAAGGCCGTGGGTGTGCTGGCCGGCATCATGGCCATCATCGTGGCCATAACCGTCCTCATCTCCACTGCCACCTTCTGGCGCAACAAGAAGTCCAACAAGGTCCTGCCCGTGCGGCGTGTGCTCCGCAGGCGGCCCAGCCCCACACCCCGCACCGTCCGCATCCAGTGGCTCAAGTTCGGACGGACCAAGGCCGCTGCCAAGTTCGTGCTCAAAGAGGACGTTCCCAATGAGAACTGCAACAACAGCAGCCTAGGAAGCTCACTGCCCCCGGGAGCCCCAGCTCCCCCTCCACCACCCAGCATGGCGCCCACCACGGGCACAGCCCACTGGACTGTGCCTACAGTCTCTGGCTCACTCACTCCTCAGCAACCCCAATGGTCACCAAAACCCAAGGCCCCAGGAAGCCCCATCCAGTCAGCTCTGGTCTCTGAGCTCAGGGAGAAGTTTGAGAAGAAGAATATAGATAAAAAAGCTTACTTTTAAAGCGTGTCCTCTGGCCCCTCTCTCCCCCACCCCAACTGCTCTGCTCCTTGGACCCTGCTCCCCATCTCTGCTCCTTAGGATCACCCCTGTTTTGTACAATGGTGTAATCCCCATATCCAGGGCTGTGACCAGCACCTCGGGCAAGGGATGTCTCTGGTTATGGGAGGCAACTGGCGAATACTTCCCCATCACCCGGATTCTCGACACAGCTACCATGCTTTCTGTTCTGCAGAGGCTGGGAACCGACAAGAGGCCAGCTCTATGTGTCCTCTAGTCACCAACACCAGACCTCACAGCCCCTTGGGTCCTCCTGGAGCCTCAGCATCCTTAGTTGAGGAGCAGGGCCCTGGCCACAGGTGACCAGGCTGACTAGAACCTGGATCCTGAAACCTTCTGCTAAGAGCAGAAGCAGGAAAAGGAGGTTCAGTCCTGGTGAAGGTTGGGGCTCAGTGAACCTTGCAGGCTGGAGGAGAGCGAATGCATCAGGGGAGGGCAAAGATGCACTGAAGACTCTCATTGACTAGGGACCTGTGCCTGACGGCCACTGGGAAGATGGAGGATGGTGTCTGGGCAGAGACTGTGGGCCCCTGCTATGCTCACCTGGGACCAGGGACACAGAGGTGTAAGATGGGCCTTTCAGGAGTGAGGGCAGAGCCCCAGCCAGAGCCGCCCTGAGCCTGGAAAGCTGGGGCCACTGTGGTAACCTTAGAGGCATCCGGAAGAATGTCAACTCCCCTCTTTAAGGAGCTGCCCCACCAGAAGTCCTTGAAGAGAGTGCAGGGCTGAGATCTGGAGAGATCCATTTTTCTCCAGCTCTTCTGCTCACATGGTGTAACATTGGAAGGCTGTTTAAACTCCCCGATTACCCTCTTCCTCGTCTGTAAAATGGAGAAAGTAAGTCATTCCTGGCTGCCTCACTCATAGGTCTTGGGTGAAGATCAAAATAAATAGTGGTGACAAGGACTTTAACCAAGTGCAAAGCAGCACAAACATAAAGTATTTTTCAGCAGGCCAATTCTCTGGTGTGGGGGGTGGAGGGGGGACGACACACATGACTCTTCCGGAAGTTTATTAGGAACCTCTCGGCTACTCAGCCAAGCACCCCCAGGAGGTGCTGTGCTGGGTGTGGGTGCTGCCACTGGTCCAGGGCAGCCAGAGCTGGATGATGGCTTTGCCCTTGACTCACACATCCTCCTCCGTTCTCCCCCCACCATGTCCCCCTCGTGGCCCTGGCTGGTCACCGTCAGAAAGGACAACCCAGCCCAAGCCTCTATTTTGTTGAGATGAAGAAAGTGAGTTCCTAAGAGAGGATCACCTGAGACCACACAGCGGTTGTAGCAGGGACCTGGTCTGAGGGCTCCCGGTTCCTCAGCATTTCCCTCCAGCTGGGGCACACACCTCGTCAGCTTGTGACAACCTCCCTTGGAGAGAAGACACGCAGGCCCCTGTGGTTAATGCACAGAAGCTCTGCCGAACTTCAAGGAAGGCATGCTCTATAAGGAAGTTGAGATGTGTACAGAGAGTGTAGAGCAGTTCTTGGCATTTCGCTCCACTCATTAATAACCCTCTAGAACATGTCAGCGACTTTATTTATAATTTTATTTATTTATTTATTTTTCCCCCAAAGCCCCAGTAGATAGTTGTATGTCATAGCTGCACATCCTTCTAGTTGCTGTATGTGGGCCGTGGCCTCAGCATGACCGGAGAAGCGGAGCGTCACTGCACGCCCGGGATCCGAACCCAAGCCGCCAACAGCGGAGCGCGCGCACTTAACCGCTAAGCCACGGGGCCGGCCCTCAGCGACTTTATTTAAACCGAGTATGTGCACATGCGGTTTTTCCTTATTTCTGAGTCTGTGTTTCGAGGTGTTCCTCGGATGTGCTGGTGTGCAGGCTCCTTGCCGGGGTTTCTGCAGGCCCCACCCCCCTGCCCCTGCCCAGAGAATAATAAGAGGTGGGCTCTCACAAGCCCGGAGCCCAGACTGAGCAAACAGCTACTTTGCAGCCCAGGTTTCAGGAGAGGGCTGCGCTGGACCCTGCTTGCCCCCCACAGGGAATATGGCACCCTTACCATCTGCGTGCAGTCAACCTCTTTTGTAAATAACATCTGTCAACTGAAGGCCGAGCTGGCCTCCTCCTTCCTGCTTATGTTCACGTTAGCTGACTCATAGAGACCAGTCTTCCTGACACACACCCAAGCTCAGCCTGCCTCCTAGCTCCTTCGGTGGCTGGATCCATCCCTCGGCACCCCGATCTGACTCTGTGGGAGGCTGCAAAATTTTGTCCAAATTGCCATGCATACGCCGCTAACAGTAGCATGTCTGCAGAGTGTGGCCCAGCATGGGCCTGGACTGAGCTCTTCTCCCGAGCATGACAAGCCCCTGCGGGGCTTCCTGGGGAGGAATGGGATCTGAAGCCAGAACTAATGAGCCCCCAACCCAGCCCAGCGAGGGCAGAAATTGGGAGGCCTGGCATGGGCATGGAAGCCTGGGAAGCAGTGTCGTCTCTGGGACAGTGGTCATGAGGCCCCTGGGCTGGGAGCTCAGGCCAGCATCTGAGCCCTGGGGGAGAGGTAGGCTCCTGCACAAGCCCAGGCACTGGAAGCAAGCAAAGGCAATCTTGGAGACCCGGCGTGTGGGCAGCTTTTGCGCTGAAGTATGGGGAAGTTGCCTAGCTGCCAGCATAAGCCATCCTGAGAAACAGAAGGAGGGGACCGCCAAACCCGAGGACCAGCAGCTGTGTTCGCCATTGGAGGAGACCCCAGGGCTGTGGGGTGAGGCCGGGCCAATTCCACTGCATTAGGGAATTGGGGGGCGAGGGACTGCCTTCTCAGTCACAGTGGGACAGATAGGCCTGGACTACAAGCTGGCACAATGTTAGGCCTCAAGGTAGAGCGCTGGGAGGCAGAGGGGACAGATTGGGCAGGCTCTCCCACTCCTGGACCCTATGAATGGGTGGACAATTCACAGATGTAACTCCAAGAAATCTGCAGAACGGTGTGTGTTTTTTCCTGTGGCTGAGCTCAGATTTTCTAATTATATAAAATAACATAGTGTTTTACAGTCTGACAGCCCCTGGTCTGAATCCTGTTTCTGCCACTTAAGTGTGACTTTGGGCAGGGGACCAAGCCCCCCAGGCCTCACTTTCCTCATCAATACCCAGTGCAGAGAAGCGTTGCTATGAGGATGACAAGAGCTAATCCACGTGAAGCACCTGCCACCAGCTTTGTGTCTGCTGATAGGCTCAGGAGACAGTTGCTATTCTCAGTTGTACAGAGGGCATCTGAGGGTGGCTGACGGCCCACGTGCTACAGCAGCATATGCTGGAGGAAAGGACCCCTCCATGACCCTCACCTCCAGGAGGTTCCCCTACTGACAGGCCTGGGAGCCTTTCCTTTGTAGGAGAAGAGAGGAGAGTGGACTGAGAGGGAAGTAGAGGAGGACTAGGCAGACGCCCAGCATCTGTGACCTGTGCAGCCCCGCAGCCTGTGTTGAGCATCTGTACTCCAAAGGAGTTAGGAACTTATGAGACTGTCCCTAAGAGAACCTGTGGGACTCAGAGCCCAGCTGGCAAAGTGTGGCAAGGGCTGGCAAGGAGCCAGGGTCTCCAGCTTCTTCAAGAACTTCAGGAATTCTGTCACTCTGAGGACTGGAAGCTCTGAGAGGACCCCGGGTCAGCACACCTGGCATGGAGGTTGGCATCTGTGCGCAGGCAGTAATGCTTCCCTGACAGTCTTCAAGGGCCCTGGCTTTGGGAGGATGGACAGGGAGAAAGGGGAAGATGCTGCATGAGGACTAAGACCGCCAGACTGCCGAGTGGACACAGGGAGGACCCTTAGGAGATACACAGAAATAACGAGGCGGGGAGGTGCTCTGAAAGACCTGGTTTCCAGAGTGAGGTGGTGATGGCTTAAGCAACCATAATTTGATCAATAAAGTAAGTGACCTTATTTTGTAGCAACAGGCTGATGATGTTGGGGACATCTGCATGACATTATGAAATCATACAAATGCACCTCTTTGGCTGAATGAGGTCCAGTCCTTTATTCATTAATCAATCACTTTTTCAACAACACCTGTTGTGAGTATGTCATCTGTGCCAGGCCCTCTTTGGGGTGTTAGGGATACAGGCTTTAACAAGGCAGAAGAAAAGAGAAAAAGGACAAAATTCCTCCCTCAAGTTGCTAATATTAGAGGCCCGCGACTAGCGATGGCTTCATTCTAAAAGCAAATAGCCCTGCTTACAAATGTCTCCTGAATCAAAGGCACTCGCCTTAAAATTGTGTGGTCTCAGCTCTAAACTGATAAGCTTCCCAACAGCATGACTGAATCTAAAACTATAGCATCTTTTAAACATTAATTAAATGGAATATGTGCATGATATTAGCATAGATACCATGTCATTACTTGTATATTTATAGACATACACACATATGTAATCCTAATAAGATCTGATGTTCCAAATGGCCCAGTCTGTATGCTGAGTCACTCTCAAAGAAAACATGAGCTGGCACAGATGCCTTAGATGGTGACAATGTTTATTGTGGTAACACTTACTGAGGGCGTACTATGTGGCAGGCATTGTTCTGAGATTTTTGCATGTAAAAACTCATATCATCATCAGGAAAACCCTATGAGGCTGGTACTATTATTACCCCCATTTTACAGATGAGGGAATTAAGGCACAGAAAAATAAGAGTAACCTGCCTGATGTCACAGAGCCGGTAAGAGGCAAAACCAAAATTTAAGCCCAGGAAACTGGGCTTCTGAGTCTATGCTCTTATCCCTACTGTCATATTGCCTAAACAATCTGAGTAATGTGCATCTGTACTCTAGGATGTGTTTAAGGGCAGTCCAAGGGGCTTAAAATATCAGATCCCCAGAAATCCTCCCTAGACCTGTTTCTTCTCCCTAAATTTCCATGTTCACAGAAGCAGCCGAACACTGCCCTGCTCATCAACATGCTCCTCGCTCTCACTGCTATGCTATGCTCCGCTTCCATGGCCCCTTCCCCTCCTTCTGTCCCCTCTGTCCCATGCCCACCACAAAGCTTTGCCAGAAGTGGAGACCAGAATATCCACTCCTGCCTCCATGGCTTCACTATGGCTGCACCACCAAGACCATGGACAGCCCTGGATGCCACGGAAGGAGGTACGCAGAGGCCAATAGAAGTACAATTTCTTGCCTTGTTCCAGCCACTTTTCTGCAAACTTTATCCTGGGAAATTTCTCGTGAACAATTTCTCTGCTACATTACATATATGTAAGTGTTTGTACACATGTGCATATATAACTATATATATGTACATATAATTTAAAAATACATGTTCTTAGGTGTGATAATGGCATTGTGCTTATGTTTTTTAAAACTTCGTTATCTATTAGGGATAAAACTAAAATATTTACAGGTAAACTGTGGAGCTTTGTATTTGCCTTAAAATACTCCAGTTTAAAAAAAAAATTGATGGCAAGGACTAGATGAAATTAGACTGGAAAATGCTAAAAATTATTGAAGCTGACTGAAGGAGAGGAATGAGATTCTGTTTTCAGTATGTTGGAAAATTTCCATGAAAAATGTTTTTTCTTCTAATGCTCAGAAGAAAATAAATGAAGAGAACTTGAAGAAATGAGGAAACAATTGGTCTGAATATGAGAGCTGTCTTCAATTTTTAAAAATTCATTTCAGCCCACACTGATTATCAGCACAATCCAGGTGCTGGATGAGCCCAGGAGCTGCAGCGAGAGAGACCCTCTCCGCCCCAGAGGGCCCGCAGCCAGCGCAAACATCGCACATCGTGCTCAATACAGTGCTTCTTTTCCCCAGAGACGTGAAGTCAAGGAAGGCTGACTGGAGGACGTGATACTTGAGATGGGCCTGGAAGGATGAGTTGGGCTTGGTAAGGAAGGCGGGAAGGAGGAAGAAAACGTTTGGAGGACGTCACAAGGAGGCGAGCTTACACCCAGCAGTCGTCAGGGGATTTCCTGTGGTGGCGGGAGAAGCTGCAGGGAGACAGGTGTGGGTTTAATCCTGGGAAATGTCTCCACCAGCAGGGCTGCCCAGAAGGACGATGAGCTGTCCCGGGGTTTGTGAGGACCCCTCCATTCCACGTGAGCCCAGATGAGAAGCAATGACCACCTCTCAGGGATTTCATAGCAAACACTGACCGGGGGAAGCCAGCGGGATTATATCCCCACTCACATAACAAACAGTTGTCATGCTCATCTCTGAGACGCTATGGACACAGGGCTGAAAAAATAGCGCGAAGCTCACAGTCTCATGGGACTAGGTGAGACTCGGGACTGTGTAGCTTCCTTTGTGCAAAAGAAGACTAAAGAGAGTCGTGTGATTTTATATAGATCCCAACAATCGCTGGAGTACGAGCCCTGGGCAGCAACCAATCCCCTGCTCCTCGGGCTCATGGCACCAGGCCTTCGGGAGCACCAAGAAGTGCTCACAGGGCACAGATATCCACAAACAGAGACTCTCATCACCCCAAAGGGCAGCTCTTTGGAATATTAAACTTATGCGACCTCATTGGGAGTCTGCCATTAAGAGGAAGAATAGCACTTTCTGAACAATGGGAGACACAAGAATACTGAAAAGCAGACATTTAGAGGAAACAATGGAATTAGAACCTGTTTTGAGAGGTGCCTCCACCGCCTGCTAGACAGTGACATTGGGCAAGTCATTGTAACTTTCTGGGCTTCAGTTTCTTCACCTATAAAAAGGGGTAGAATTCTACCTTTCTCCAATAGGATAACACACATGAAATATCTATGTGAACGTTACCTGTAAACTTGTAAATGTTATAGAGCTATGTATGTGGAAGGAGTAACATTCACTAATTTTCAGCCACCATGTATAATGAAACAAATAATTGGACAGGACAAAGATCCATTGGCATCAGCTCCATGAAGATAAGAATTGTCTCTCCTTGATCACTATGCTAAGTTCAGTGCCTGGAACACAGTAGGTGTTCAATAAATACTTGTTGAATAAATGGATCAAGCCAAGCTGAGCTGCTGAGGGTTAGTTTAGGGGCTAGAGGCCCACTGTGTTGCCCCCTGGCCCGAGTTGTTCAGCCAATCTCTCCCTCTCATCTTCCTCGTCCCCCTCAGCATCTCTGTGCTCCACGCTGTCCTCACAGACAGCTGTGTGGTCTCTATAGGAGCTGTCCCCACGCTGTGGGGCTGCGCGGGGACACCTGGGGGCTTTCTTGTGATGAGGACAGCAGCACAGGCCCCACTCCCTGCAGCTGCAGGGGGCCTGGGCTGCCCAGACGTAGGTGCCCACAGGCAGTGCCAGCAGCAGCGCACACAGGACCACTGTGACGTGCAGAAGGCGCTCTCGTTTCCCCAGCCCATCACGGTCTCTGCCTGTCACAAAGACCACACACTGGCCCTGCCGTGGGGGCTGGCCCCCCAGGCTGAGGCATGCCTCATATTTTGTGCCAGGGAGGAGGTCATCCATGGCATATGTGTTGATCCCGGGGCCAATGTGGACCACCTCCTTCCTGAGGACTTCCTCCAACGCAATGTGGAGGGTGACCCATTTCTCCACAGGGGTGTCGGCCACCGCAAACCACTCCAGCAGGATCCCATGCACTGTCTGCTTGACGACCTGCAGGTCAACGTAGGCATTGCTTTCCAAGGGGGAGAAAGGAGAATGGGGTGCAGGCAGGGCCTGGGCAGGCAGAACGTGGAAGGAGATGTCAAGGGCGCTACTGCCAGTGGAGTTGGAGGCCACACAGGTGTAATTGCCCCTGTCCACCAGATGGGCAGCGGGTATGACCAGCTCTGACAGAGCAGCATCTTCTGCAGTAGATGAAGTCAACACTGGATGGAGAGACAGCAAAAGAGCTCTGATGGCATTTCTCTGATAGACAGCTGGAGAGTGTCCAGCAAGGCTAGGTTTTTGTTAAAGGGTGGTGGTGACCATTATTAAGCATGGACTTGAGTGCCACATGTTTGCCTCTCAGCAACCCTCTAAGGTAAATACCCAATTTCTACACATAGGAAGTTGAGGATTGAAGCAGTTAAGCAACTTGCCCATAGTGAGGGTTGTTCAGAGGCAGTGATTGATCTGGAAACTCGTTCTTCTGTCTATGAATACCACACTTTTTCAACTTCACTAGCTGCTCACACCAAACTGTCTTAGCCTTGCTGAGCTAACACCGTGGTTTCCAGGAGATCGCTCACAACTGCAAGACTGTGCGATATCGTGAGCTTCAAGAAGTGTGCTCTTCCCTCCTGGATGTGGAGTGGCTCAGAGCCTGAAGCCAAATGCCTGGGTTCTATCTCTTGCTAGGTATATGGTCTTGGAAAAGTTGCTTAGATTCTCTTGGCTTCAATGTCCTCATCAATAAAATGGGATGATAACGGTACTCACTCATAAGTTTGGTAGTAAGTGCTCAGTGAGTGTGAGCAGTTATTATTACTGAGAGAATAGATATAATGTGGTGTCAAAGAGACTGATTACAGAGCATCGCAAAAGACAAGATCGGGATGCATTTCACTGTTCTCAAAGAGGCCACAATAAACTCTACATTTCTCCTTCATTGAGGTATTTAACCTCAAGCCAATAAGATGTGAGCAAAATGATAGGAAAAAGTCAAAATTTCAGTTAATTAGCTATTTTTTAATCATCCAGAGTTTTGTCACCATGTATAACAAATATCAAGATGACTGACTGTATTTCTCAAGTTTTACTCGGATATTTCCAGTTGTCTTCTAGACACCTTCAAGATACCCTGGAGGAGGCCATCCCCGGCTTTGTGACGTGCCCCACCCTGCAGGGTGGCACTAAAGGTGATTCCAGCTGAGGTATGAAAGCAGAGCACAGAGCTCTGGGAAGTGAAGGCAGGTCTGAATCCCAGTTGTGGGGCTCACAGAGGTCACTTCCTCTCCCTGGTCCCAGTGTTATAACTTCAAGCCAATAATGTCTGATCAACACAGCGGTGGGAAGTGTAAAATTAGGTCAATATCTAGAACTTCTCAACCTTGCCTGATGGTAAGAATTAGCTGGGGATGAGGGATGGGGGTGGTGAGGAGAAACACCTGTTAAAATACACACTCTCAGGCCCTCCCCTGGACTCGCTGAATCCAAATCTCCAGGGCAGAGGCCAGAAAATCTTGTTTCAAACAAGCACCCCAGGCGAGTCTGCTCAGGCAAGTTTAGGAAATAAGTAATAGATCATCCCTAGAATCGGTCCTAGTCAGAAATTCTATGATTTAAAAATACACAGTATAGTGTTTTGCATCTAGAAGGCTCTCAAAGAATATATTTGTTCATATACAATTCTACAATATTTGTACAATATGTTGTCAACTCCAATATATATATTTACATATGTGTCTATATATATCCTATAGAGATCTGGATGCAACCATTTAAAATAATGCCAATAGTGGAATACTATCTTGAAAGCTTTCCTATTGTGGTGAATATAAGTCAGGCCTTCCCAATCTTTCCTGTACCCTTCCTTCATGACTGACCCAGTCTAGAGCCTCTCTATTGAAGACAGGGTTGCTACAGACCTCCCCATTCCCCCAGATATGTTGACAGGCTGCATGTGGCTTACCATAAAATTCCCTCCACATGCTCAGGGGATAAGTCTATGCAATGGTTGGTGAGGCATTGGCCCGTGACAGGCATTGCAAGGTCACATTCTGTCCCTCCCAGATGGTGACATTGGCACTGGGGGTTGAGATCTGTGGCTTCATGCGGTCACAAAGTTCAGTTTCATGAAAAAGCTGCCCTGTCTTGGAGAGAGGGCCACAGCACATCAGGTAGGGATTCACCAGGATGACTGGGAGGCTAACGGACTTTACAAACTGGACAAGTTCCCTTAGGCGACAGTCACATAGCCAGGGGTTGTTGTGCCGCGCCAGCCCCGTGCTGGAGAGAATCTTGGCTCCACAGCCAGGCTGCTGGTGTTTCTGGTAGGCCGGCCAGTTCAAGAAGACATTCTTGGATACAACTGTAAGCCTATTGGAAGATAGGTCAAGGTAGGTCAGGTTGATCAAGAACTGAAGAGCCAGCTCAGGGAGTACTTCAATCCTGTCGTGTTTGAGATCCGAGGCGCTCAGAGGCGGAGTGGTGTGGAACGCTGTCCATGGTACTGAACAGAGTTTGCTCCCCTCCAGTCTCAGCTCTTTCAGTTCTGACAGGTGCTGCAGGGCTCCTAGGTGGATCACAGTGACACTGTTAAAATTGAGCCAAAGGTATTCCAAGCTGCTCATGTTGATGAAAGACCCTCGGGACAGTTCAAATAAGGGTGAATTTTCAATTCTCACTTGCTTGAACTCGTCAGGAAGCTTCCCTGGGATCTCTCCCAAAGAGATGGACATGCACTGTAGAGTCCTGCACAAGAAACTAGAAAGCCTTAAGAAGAACATCAGGGAACTGGGAAGTGGGATCAGGCTTATCTTGGCATTAGATGTATGAATTAGAAGAAAAATATATTATTCATTCGAAATAAACAAGTTAGACCCGTTTTGGTAAAAGTGCACAGTTCACCAAAGTTCAGCACCAACTAGAATGAGTCTCACAGAGATTTGGCTGATTTCCTGCCAAATCTAAGCTTCCTCCCACACCACATCATGCCCAAAGAAAGCCCATCCCCTACAACGTTCTGGCATCTTGCTAGCACAGCGCACCTTCCCAAACTCTCTTCGGGGCAGGTTTATCCTGGCAGACAGGATGGCTGAGCTTCATGTGAATCCAGAAAGATCAGAACTACTAGGAAATAGTGAGAAACTGAAGCCATATTGTTCTGTAAGAAAATTACCTTGCAAGTTTTCAATAAGTATAGTCCAAGCTTCCAAGTGGCAAATCCTATTATTGGTAATCCATGGTGATGTAGGTCAGCACAGCACTGGCAAAGCCCCTGGGCACTCTGAGGTCTGCTATGGCCCAGATCATAAGCTCAGTAAAAAAAACATGAAAATGGAGCTATGTCTCTTAACTAAGGTCAGAAAATTCACCCTTTGTCTGGTTCTTGAGTCTGGAATGCAAACTCTAAGCCAGATGTCCCATTCAGATACTGAATTCAGATAGTGCCAGATACTGTCTTCCCTTAGCCTCTTAGCAAGTAATGCCATTCTGAGCACCATGGTTCAGGTGATTTGACCAGATCACCTAACATTTCATCAATCACAATTGGCTCCTGAAACCTAGAATTTTCAACCATTCCCTAAAAGTGAGTGCAGATGGTGGGTAACAAAGTAGTTCTGTGACCACTCCTAGAAATGGTTCTCTCCTCAACACCTGTGTGGCAGATTCACGCCTCTACTGCATTAAGACAGCTGCATCTGCTGCTAGAACGACCAGAGTCAGAGAAGCATCACAGTGCAGGGGTTAAACCACAAGACTGTGCTTTCTGATTAAACCAAAGCGTGTTTCTTATCACGGATCTCACAACTTTTCCTGAATGCTGTGTATTTCACACGATAAAAATGAAAGGCTTACATTTTAAAGTAAGATATATGTGATTTTAGATACTTGCTCTGCCACTCTTCATTCATTCAACCAATATTTATTGGTCATCTGCCCTAAACCACACACTTGTTAGGTGCAAGGAACACAGTGGTAAGCAAGACTGTTATAGACCCTGTCCCATCAGGGTCTTCTTTCTAGCTTATGCTTCCTAGTCTTGAGATCTTTGGAAACTCATTTAACTTCTATGAGCCTCAGTTTCTCCTCTGCAAAGCAAGTATATTAATAAATACTTCATAGTATTTCCAGGAAATTTTGAGATTGTGTAAAATAATTAATTTAACATACAGTAGGTGCCCAATCAATTTTAATTCACCTCTCACACCAACAGACTCTTGAAGAGCAGCAAAGTCCGCTTCCCCATTACTTGCAGTACTTCCTGATGAATATTGAAATTCCATGGGTTCCCCCAAGACCGATGATATACATTATACCCTAGAAAAGGCCTCAGGGAAGAAAATCCGCTTAGTAGCTAACCAGTGAGGGGGGAAATGGGTCACCAACTAAGCTGATTATACTCCAGCTTTTCATCCAAGCCAGATATATTTTCTAGAGTTTCCAGACAGTGTAACTCTACAATCTGGCTAGATCTCTGGAGTTTATATCAAGGTGAAAATCAAAACAAGGAGAGAGCTATGGACACAAAGCTTGTGGTAGACGTGGAGATGTGCTGCCTAGATCCCCTTCAAGGAATGAGTTGATTCTCAGCTGCAAGGAGTGCTTGCATGAGGTCATGCCCTTCCCAAGGCAGCCCACATGCAGTGACTGAGGGTAGTGAGGGCACAAGGGCCCGGCGAGTTAGGCCTGATGGGGGATGACTCTGATGGGTGATTCTCGTTTCAGAGGCCCCTACCAGGCTGGCCAAGATTTTGTCATGCGTGCTTCATGGAAAAATGTGATTTAATCCATGGGCATCACAAACCCACTAGGGAATTCTTTTCTTACTCCAAAACACAAAGGCCTAAAGAGCCCTCATCCCCCACAATTTCTTCTCTGTTCATCCCATGCTAGCCTCTTCAAATGTATCCAGCTCAACTCCACCTTCCAGTAGTTTGCTGAAAGCTTGAGAAGAACACCCACTGGCATGTCATCTTTGGAATCATCCAGGCCACTTCTGCCCTGCCCCTTCTCCTCTCCTGGCTGCCTCATCTTCTGGTTTCCTCATTGGGCATATGAAGTAGCTATGTTGTCAGTTAAGGCAGAAGACTAGGATAATTAAAGTTAGCTTGGATCATGTCATTTATATTAAATAACTAGTGGTTAAGTGGTGTTCCTAAACTCAAGAGATTTAACAACAAAGAGAAGTGAACAGAGAATATTACATCCCTGCCTACAGGATGCTTTTAGGAACTTGGCTCTTAGAGTTATTGGTAGAGACAGAGTCATGGGAGAGGAGTTACTCTGTGTTTATGAAATAATTAGATGTAAATGGCTTCTGGGTGGCATTTGACCCTCCTTGTCTTAATAAAATCTTAATAAGAGATTTTCTTATCTATTCAATAGGAAAATGCCACACCAATATTAGCAGAACTTTGAGATAGCTCAGACAGAGAACCAGGTGACCTACCAAGAAGCAGACATGCTGTCCTTCCTCTTTCTCAAACTGGTGCTCTTCCCTCATTCCTCCATCTGCTGTCAACCACGTCTGAGATGGTCCCTTTGGCTACCCATGCTCTGTGGCATGCCTCTGATAGACACACAGAAGGCTACATTCCCAAGCCTCTTTGAAATAGGTGAGCTATGTGACAAATATTCTGGCTAATGAAATGTTAGAGGAAATAAGGTTTTAAAAGCCCCTATATGATTCTCCACTTTCTCTTTTCCCTTGTTGCAGCAACTGTCGACATTCAAGGTGGTGGAGTCTTCATCAGCCTGGATCCCTGAGTGAATAAGTGGAACAGAGCCGTCCCTCCATCCACATTTCCCAGTCACTCGAGTAGACTCTGGGAGAGCAGCACTAAATTTTTCTATGTTAAGCCACTGAAATTTTGGAGTTGTTGGCACAGCACAAGCCTAACCTATCATGACTACAATGCCCTTGCAATCAAATAAAATACGCTCAAGTACTTGTAAGTTGATTTTTGTCTCTACTGGATTATATGATAGTTAAAACAAAAATTTTGAGCTCTAGTCCACTAAGCACACTGCTCACTGAGTCTCCTTGATTGATAGCCTAGTTTTAATATCCCACATCCATTTCCCAGGATAGAATTCCTGTTATTTGCCTTTTTGTAGCCTGCAACTTAGACATGCAACTACAGATAAGTGACATCAGACATACCCTCTTCCTAGGTCAAAAGAAATATGACCACGTTGCAGTCAGAAAAAGACATGATGGAGATGCCATGATTTCAACCAACCTCCAAACAAGGCTGCCAAGGGCAGCATGCTGTGGGATTATCATAGTACAGGCTGGTCTTCAGCAGGGAGAGGCAAGAAATTCTTTTTCCAGGACTCTCAGAAGACATTAGGTTTTCAGTTAGTGACTCATACTAACCAGACTCATATACCAAAAGACTAACATATAAACTACACATCATTTTATTTTTTACAATGAGAATTTGTTTTTTCCAGTGCCTTGAAAATTGATGAGCACAATCCAGGATGATTCTTCTCTACAAGGGCAAATCAGAGAAGATAGAACATACAAAGGAAGGCTGATAGATGGGTATTGGGAGACTGACCATTTGGGGGCCATTCCATCCAGACCACCAAGGTAGGTCTTAATGAATCATGGGAAAGTTTGAATCTCCTCTCTCTCTCACTCTCTCTCTTTTACACACACACTCACACACACACACACAATATTGGATAAATACTAACAAATTCTTGCTTTCAAGTTCCTGAATTTTCTTCAAAGTTCAATAAAACTGACTGTTAGTTGTCTTTGGGCCAATAATTGTTCAATCTTCATTGGCTCAGTCAATCATTTAGAGAAAGCCTCTTTCTCATTTCAACAGATGGTTGCTTTCATCCATTGCCCTTATATTTGTTCTAATTTTAGGAATGCCTGTCAATCTCTATATCAAACACTCAGAATTGAATCTGGGTCTCCCAAGACACAGCAGAAATGCCTTTATAAATCTAGACCAAGAGTTGGTGAACTGCAGCCTGGGAGCCAAATCCAGTGTGCCACCTGTTTTTGCAAATAACATTTTATTGGAACACATTCATGCCCATTAACTAACATATTATCTATGGCTGCTTTCGTACTACATCAGCAGACTTGGGCAGTAGCAACAGACGCCAAAATATTTACTATCTGGCTTTAGCAACAGACCCCAAAATATTTACTATCTGGCTTTCTTTAAAGAAAAAAGTGCTGACCCATGATGCAGACAGTGGTTTTGTCATCTTCCAACCAAATAATTTCTCTTACCAATGGCTATGGCCCACTAGTTATAGTCAGGTGCACCCTCCAGGTGATGGGCAGAAAATATCCACGTATGGAAATACTGGCGCTCTCAAGGTTTTGAGCCCAGGTTTCGGTTGCTTGAAAAAATCCATAGTGAACCTGCTGTGTATTACACTGCAGAGATCAACACTGAATAAAGACCCTCAGCCTGGCCAGAAAGTTATCACAGACCAGGATCCTCCAAGAAAATCCATGAGCAGCCTCCATAAATTATTCAACTCTTTGGGCATCTGTTTCCTCATCTGTAAAATCAAGTAGCCCAGCCTCTATAATGCAATGTTATGAGGATCAAATGAGAGAAAATAGGAAAATATGTTGTAAGGTCATAGGTTATAAGGTCTTTTGTAAATGCAAGGGGGAGTACAGTAACTTTAGAAATCACTGCATCACACTAGCCTACATCTAGCAAATGCCCAACACAACACAGAGTCTCTTAGGTGATACTAGCAAAATCGTTCCTTTGGATCACTTGCTGTCCCCAAATTTCCTCAGTTGTTACCCAAAGGCCTTGGCACCAACCTGCCCTTGACACTCCCCTCATTAGAGCTCAGTCCTGCAGACAAAACACAACATCGGCCCTTCTGCTGGGGACGTCTGCCTTCTCCTGTGCACAGAGATGACATCTCAGACCTTTCCCAGCTTTCAGCCAACTGAAGAGTAATCCCCTTTGAAGTGGCTTAGGGTGACCAGGAAGGCTCTGAGACACCCTCAGGAACCCAGGTAAGTTTCATAAGAATCACAAAGGCTGCTCCTTGGGGACAGAGGTGAGCTCTGTGCCAGACAGCATCGGTGCACTGTACCACCCACCACGGAGGGTCTGTCAGATCCCTCCAGCCTGACATTCTGAGAGTAATTGAGCAGTAGTCTCTTGGGGATCATCCAAACCTCTAGAATTTATTGAAGATCAAATGATTATCTCTAGGCAGAATGGCACCCAGAGAAAAAATGTTAGAATCTGTGAGCGTGCACAGTGAGGGCACGCTGCATGTCTCTGTGTGTACGCATGTGACCGTATGCACGTGACTAACGCATAAAGAGACTGTGTGTGCGAGTGCCTATGAGTCAGCACAAATGTGATCGAGATGCAGTGTAGGAGAGCGGTAAGGACTAGCAACTCTGTGATCAGTTGCCTGGTCCAAATTCCAGAGCTGCCACTTTCTAGCTGTGTCCTTGTGGGCAATATGGTAGAAGAGAATCACTGCCCAACAAAATATTCCCTGCCCCACATCACCTCCATTGGAGAACTGTCCTCTCCTGCCCCATTAAAGTTGTGTTTGGCCATGGGATTGCTCTGACAGATAGAACATGGGCAGACGTGGCCGTGTGCTAGTTCTAAGCCAAGAGCTTAAGAGGCATCGCATGTTTTTGCTCATTCCTCTGATATTGTCTGACCTCTCCATGAAAGAAGCCTGCCCCAGGTGGCCACTGACCCTCCATCCTGGGCCCCACGTAGGACACATGGAGCAGAGTCACCCCAGTCAACCCACAGACCCGTGGGTTGTGTGAAAATGAGTTCTTGTTGCTGTATACCACTGATATTTTGCTTTTATTTGTTATGCAGCAAAAACTTACTGACATGGGCAAGTTACTTAACCCCCTCTTTCTTCTCTAGGAAAATGGGGAGAATAGTAATGCCTGCTGCAGAGTTGTTAGAAGAATTAAATGAGTTAATGCATATAAAGCACTAAGAACACTTCTGGGCACAAAGTAAGTGCTTAATAAGTGTTAGCTGCTGTTGTTGTGTGTGACTGTATGAGTAAGCAGGTACCCAAGTGGGTAAGAGTGGCTCAGCAAGGACTCAGGTGTCAGAGTGAGGGTGAGGGAGTAGAAGAGGGAGACTGGAGGACGGGAGCAGGTGTGTGGGCATCTGTGTGCGTGGGGGGAGCGTGCCCCTCAGCAGAAGTACTCATTGATCCGTCTGCTCACCCTGACCCCCAGGGCCTGAGAGTCCAGGCTGGAACGGGCTGAGAGGAGCCTGTCGACCTCGCTGAGGCTGTGCCGGGACAGCTCCTCCGAGCCGTCCTCGCTGTGGCCGAGCCTCTCCAGGTTGACGTAGGCACCCGTGGCCTCGGCGGTGCCCCCGGTGTGGCACTTGCGGCAGCGCCTCTGGACAGCGCTGCAGCAGACGAGTAGCGTGAGGGGCAGGGCAATGACGGTGGCCACACTGATCACTACCACGTTGATGAGCCGCTGGGTGGCCTCGGCGTCCACCACCTCATCAGTGGAGAAGATGACACACTGCTCCTTCCGGGGCCCGAAGCCCCTCACGCAGACACACGCCACGTACTTGGTCTTGGGCTCCAGCCCGTGGATGGTGATGCTGGTCTTCCCGGGCTGCACCATCACCCGGCGCATGTCACGCTGCCCAAAGACGGCATAGAGGACACTGAACATAGTTGTGTTCCTGGCCTGGGGGGCCTTCCACACCAAGGTCACACTGTGGTAAGTGTCTCCCACCACCTTGAGATACGTCACCATTCGGGCCTCCTGGAGTCCCGCCTGCCCCTCTGAGCGCTCTCCTGGGGCACCCATCTGGAAGTGCTGGAGGGCCAGCTCCTCCTTCATGTTGGGCACAGGGGGTCCCGTGGCCAGGACAGCAAGCTCGGGGATGTGGGGGACATGCCTGGCTACCAGCTTGTTGTTGTACGCAGCAGCTTCCGCCCCCTCGCCTGTCCACAGTGCCCCCTGGGTTCCACCACGTTCTGTGGAAGTCTGGGGCTCGGTGACAACCAGGGAGATGAGAGTCTCAGAGGCTCCCAGGAAGTTCTTGGCCTGGCAAACGTAGTCTCCAGAGTCAACATGTGAGACCGCAGGCAGGCCCAGCAGCGTCCAGCTCGTGCCATCACTGGAGACTTCCTGGTGCACTGTGGGGAAAGAGGCACACGTGGGAGAAGGAACGGGCCCACCTGCCCCAGGCTTCCTTTCAGGGCCAAGTTCCCAGCCCCTGGGCTGTGCACACTCTGCTGAAGACCCTGTTATCCCGAGAACACATGGGAGTCATTCAACTTTTCTTCAACTAGCCCAAGGGATCGAGATCTCCTGGGCTCAAATTTGGGGCCTCCCTGGAGCCCCAGGCTGAAGCAGAGCCTAAAGATGATCTGCCTCCTAAATTGAAATGTTCAAGTTCTGTTCTGCTGGCCCTGCAATTCCTCAGAGCTGACCCCTAGGGGCGGCGGGCAGGTGCCTTGGGGGTAAGGTGGGTCAGGGGGTGAACATGAGGCAGGGGCCCAGCTAGAAGTGCTCTCCCCTCCCCTGCCCAGCACCACTGCCACATCAATCAGAGCATCTTCACTTTCTGTCTTACGTATGGAGCTCCTTATACAATTTTGTTTGTGAGTTGATTTCAAACAAGTCCTAGAGCAACAGCTGCCGACCAAGTTGAGGGAGACACAGAAGAAAGGTGGGAGGGACGTAAGCTTTTCTGGTCAGGTGTAAGAAACGATTCCTCCTTGACCCCTTTCTGCATGTTGGTGGGCCACGGCTCTTGCAACTCCCACCCACCCCCTTCCAGTGCCAGAGATGAACCATCTCTGTCTACAGAGCGTGGCAAAAAGAGCGCACGCTGTGGAGTCGGCCAGGCTGCACTGGACTCCCAGCTCCTCCTTGTACCAGCGTGTGATGTAGGCTGAGCACTTAGCCTCTCAGAGCCTCAGGTTACTTATATGCAAAATAAGCAGGAGAATCAGGTTGCTCTTTAAAGTTCAAGGGCATCATGTGCACAATACACAACACACGAAGAGCCCAACAGATCATCAACTACTCCCAGTGATACTGGCTTCATATTTACAACTGGGAAACTTACTATGAACATTAAACACACTAAGAGAGTTAAACACACTAAGAGAGTATCTTTTACCAAAAGCCAGTATTTTGTTCCTCTCAGGGTGGGCCCTGAGTCTGTGAAGAGCGGCTGGTGGGCTCTGATAGGACAGGTTGAGAGCCATCATCATCACTGAAGCCACTCTCCCCACGCAGTGCCTCTGGGCAGAGCCTGTCCAACTCCACTCAAATGGAAGGGGAGTAAACAGCCTTGCTCAGCCCACCTCCCTCTCCGTAGCAAACCTGACCCTGGCGACCAGGGATGCCGACCACTTGCCCCGTCTGGGATCTCAGCACAGCCCCCTCTGTCGCTCACACACCTGTGCCATTGAGTGGGTGCCCGCTGGCCCTCCTCCAGCTCATCTCGGGCCCAGGGACCCCGGTGGCCCCACAACGTAGCAATACTGTGCTGCCCAAAGGGGACCTGATGTTGTTCACCCCTGGACGGAGCTGTGGGCTCTGGCACTTCCTCAGTTCCAGTTGGCTGAAGGCCACTCCGGCCAGGCTGCGAGGACTGGCGCACCTCAGCCTGGCCTCTATGAAGGCCAGGTTTGGGGCCCAGACTTCCAGGAAACGGACCAGGTCATGGAGTCGGCAGTCACACACCCAGGGGTTGTCCTGCAGCCCTGCAAGGCGAGAGGAGAGGCAAAAGGTGAGGCCTCGCTATGCAGATCCCCAGGCCCAGCTCCCAGTCCCCTCGGGGAGGGAGGACAAGGCGGGTCCTGAGCTCAGAGTCAGCAGAACTGGCCTCCAGGCCCAGCTCCTGTCCAGCTCGCTGGTTCTTCATCTTGAATGACAGTATTACTTCCCTTTCAGGGTTGCTATAAGCAGAAATGAAGATAAGTCATATTAAGCACTGGGTAGGCCATACAGCATACCGACACGATTGGCAATCACTCCTCCCGTTCTTGGACTGATCCTTTCAGGCTACTGACCAGGCAGTGAGTATTTCAGCAATAATTGCAATGCCAAAATCCATTTCTAGAAATGCTTCATGATCCCTGACCCTTGACCCCTGTCCTTTCAGTATAAATGACACTTTCAGCATCACCCCAGCAATGAGGGTGGTTGTTCTGAGCCATGGTCCCTTGGACACAGGCTCAAAAGGAGAGGAGTGAGGTGGCCAGAAAATCAAATCCTGTGTCACATCCCCAGCCCTCTTTGCTTTAAAACTGAACATCTTTATAGAGCTGAAAGCAGGTCACGGCACCCACCCTGTCAAAGAGGCTTCAATAGATAGAGGGGGATCGTGTGTCCCCAATTCTAAGGCACAATTCCTTTTTATGTGTTTGCATTTCTGAAATACAAAATAAATGCATTTAATATGATGCCCCTTTTATCCCCCAAAGATTGTTACTAAATTTGATACTGTGTCTAATAATCAATGGCATATTACATCTTTACATACTTATATTGGATATATTTGGAAGGGGAAATGTCCAGGGTTGGGAAGGGTGCATTCAGATGTGCTTGGACATCCATGACTCTGAGGCCCCTTTGAGCACTAGCTGGGAGGGTGCCAGTCCCTTCTCCCACCCACCCCCTCACCCATCCCACCGGGGGCTGCTACCCTGTGTCACTGGTTCAATGCATTTAATGACACATCCGCCCCCCAAGGGTCATCACTGCCCAGCTCTGGTGGTGAGCTATCTGGCTTTCACCGTGACAACAGAGTCCCCAAAGAACTCATGCAGATGGCAAAGTTAAACCACAGTGAAACTTGTACCTGTCAGATCGGCGAAAGCTAAACATTCTGGCTGTTTTAATTATTAGCTTTATGAAGGAATAATTTTCATCTGCCTTGTCCTCTGCTGTATCCTAAGCACCTAGAATTGAGCCCACACACTGGCAGGCATGCAAATAAACTTGCAGAGTGAACACTCATGTGGGTGGTCTCACACACCATGGTGGGAGGTGAGAATCGGCTCAGCCACTTGAGAGACCATCAGACTGATATTAAAACGTCCGGCGTGCACACTCCAGGACCTCGCAATTCCACTCTCGGTTCCTCTCCTAGAGAAACATGTCTGCGCGCACAAGGATGCATTGTCAGGAATGTTCTCTGTGGCATCATAGGTGTTAACAAAATACTGGAAACAATTTAAAGGTCCGTTCAAGGGGAAATGGCTAAATAAACTATAGTATAGCTATACTATGGAATATTATGCAGGAGTTTAAAAAAATGAAGTCGATCCATTTGCAGTAACTTACAAAGATCTCCAAGACCTATTGCTGGATGAAAGAGTTGATGCTGGTTTATATGTACAATATGATGAAATTTTATATAAAACACACAGATACGACTTCTATGTGCATGTATGTATATGTATGTATACATGTATGTGTATGTAAAAGTACTGTGAAAGACAGGGAACACGCAAATAAACATAATCCTGGCTACCTGTGAGGAGGGAGAGGAGGAACTGGAAATGGAAGAAGAGACAAAAGGGTCTTGAGCCTTTTCTGTAACATTTTAAATATTACATATATTCATGAATAAGTTGTGCAATTAAAACCAAAATTAATTTTCCAGAATGAGTTATGCCCCCACCTGTCACCCTCCAGCAGGTGCCTTGGGCAGGAAAGGAGATCTGGTTCCCCTCAGAAGCCACTGGTTTGCTAGAAACAGGAAGGAATCAATGAAAGAAAGAGGCCAGCTGGGTAACCCGTTTAACTCTGATTTGGGCAACTGAGTCTCAGGGTACCGTCTCTGGGCCCTCATTTTCCTTACTTGCAACAACGCTAGGTCAACACCGGTTGCCCTGGCTGCCTGACATGGTTGTGGGAATAGAGTTACCAGATTTAGAAAAAAAAGGGACACTCAGTGAACTCTGATTTTCAAATAAACAACAATTTTTTCCATATAAGTACTACCCTATACCATGTCCTTTATCAGCTGAGAAAGTCTATCCAGGGTGGATGGAGCTGGAACGGGGCCTGCTGTTCCCCGGCCTGCTTCCAGGAAGTGAGGCATCCAGACAGTCCCTCCCAGGAGGTGAGGTCTCTCTTCTGATTCTACCCACCCACCACTGCCCACCCTGCCCTCCAGGACCCCACTGTGGTTCCTGCCCTCATGGACGGGGGAAAGAGAAGCAGCCTGTGTGACAGGAGCCCTAGGCCCAAACCCACACTGACTCACCCCAGGTTACGTTGGTTCATCTGCAAAACAAAGCTCACTGTACTGGCACCATCTACCCCTGGGACGTGGGGAGGGTCAAGTTCTATGAGGAAGCTAGAAGTTTAGGGAAACCTCAGTGCCACACTAATACCAATGCATTAGTAAGGATGTAAGGACGGACCAGTTAGCAAAGAGTGCGACCACCTTCCATGTAAGAATACCTGGTGCTCAGAGGAGACTCGCAAGGGGGAGGGGGATTCACGTGCTTGGAAGACTGTTGAAAGCTGGACTGGAAGCCGACTCAGAGAAGATTAGTACGCAGGCTGTTTATTGAGGGAGAAAGGAAGGAAGCAGGAGGAGACCGGAGCTGTGATGCAATGCGGGCCTAGTGAACCCCGGGGCTCTGGAGCTGGAAGAGCCCCTCAGAGTCGTCCCAAGTGGCTGGGCAGTTGGGCTCCCACCGGACAGGTTTTTGGATGAGGGCCGTCTGCAGAAAGGGTATGTGGCCTTGTGGAGGCTGCTCTGCGGCTGAGGCTGCCTCTGAGGGGGCTGACTGCTGAAGGCAGCTTCCAACAGCATACCAGAAACTGGGCAGCCAGTCCCACCTTGATGGGCATCTGGATGGCACATCACCTACCTGCCACAAGCACCTACTGCGTGCTAAGCTCTTTTTACCCACACTAACCATTTGAGACAGATATTATCATCATCTCTTTACAGAAGGTAACCAAGGCACAGAGAAGCTAAGTAACTTGCCCCAGGACGCACAGCTAGTCAGAGGCAGAGCTAGGATTTGAGCTGCGGCAGTCTGACTTGGAGCTGGAGCTCCTAAACCGGCCCAGGTGTGCCTCTCACTCAATCTTCACTCAAACCCAGAAGGCAGGGATGGTTTCTATTTTCCAGACAAAGAATCCAGATTCAGACAGGCTTGGAAACTTGCCTAAGACCCCAAGACTCACCAAGGTGGTTCTAAGGGGAGGATGCCATCTCTTACCTAGGACCAGCCTGGCGCGGTGGCCGGGAAGGGAGGGCCCGGTCTGCAGGGGAGCCCAGGCGGCGAGCAGCTCCTGCGGGAGCCTCAGCAGCTGGTTGCTGGAGAGGTCGAGGAAGGTGAGGTTGCGCAGGAAGCGCGCGGCCTCGGGCGGCACGGCGGCGAGGCAGTTGGCCTGCAGGTCCAGCAGCCGCAGCTGGGGGGCGTCCCTGAGCGCCGCCCAGGGGAAGGCGGCCAGGCGGTTCCCGGGCAGGCGCAGCTCGCGCAGGCGCCGCAGGCCGCGCAGCACGAGGGCGCCCAGCTCGCCCAGCGCGTTGTAGGGCAGCCACAGCTGCTCCAGGCGGCCGAGCGGCCGGAAGGGCTCGCCGGGCAGCCTGCGGATGGCCGTGCGCTCCAGGCGCAGTCGGGAGGTGTCCGGAGGGACGGCCGCGGGCGGCAGCGTCATGTCAGGGTCGCTGCACACCACCGTCCTGGTCACAGAAATGGGGAGAGTTGAGCGAGCGTCCCGTGGGGTCGGAGAGCCTCCCCTGCCCTCCCTCCCTCCGAGAGGCCTCCCGGTCTGCACGGAACGCGGGACCCCAAACCCAGGCTCCAAGCTGTGGTGGGCCCTGGAGACGGGCGGAAACAAGCAGCCTCCGCTGTTTTCTTTGCGGGGGTCTTGCTTTCAGAGCCTTCCACAGGGGTCCCAGGAGGGCCGTTTGGTCCCGACCACTGGCCTGAAGGACCTCAAGCTTGAACCGTCATGTCCTTTCCAGCCCACACCCCCTGCAGTGCAGTAAGAACCAACAGTGTTGGCAAGTCCGAGACCAGTTTGTGCATCGCCGCATTGCGTATGTGTGATACACGCCTTCGGTTGTTAAATTAGACCTCAGTTTTTGTAACCATTTTGGCCTTTCTTCATTTTTCAAAAAATACACCAAGGGCATCAGAAACGGAAGCACCTCAGCCTCTCCTGACTCTGAGGGACCAGGAAATGATCACGGTGTGTAGGAGCTGGGACTTCGCAGCCCGCGGTTGGATCCACATCTGGGCTCTTGGCTTGCTGGCTGTGTCCCCATGAGTTTATTACCTAACCTCTCTTTGCCTCAGTTTCCCCATAATAGTAGACTCCACCTCACAGGGAGGTTTCGGAGTGTAAATGAGGCGATGTGTGTCCCAGCCCTACGTGCCTGTCACCCTAGGACCCAGTGCTTGGACCACTGTTGTAAATTTCTGCAGCCCAGCACTGAAGGGAGACGGGCCGGTCTTCCCAGCTCTTTCCAATGCTCCTTCTGCCCAAACAGTTACTTCTTAAACCTTGTTCTATTGAGTTTGACATTAAAGCAGAGGATATAGGGATAAGAGGAAGCAGTCTCTGCCCTCAAGGAGCCTATAGTTCGGTGCTGTGTTATATGCTATCACACCTACATAAGGGAAAAAGGGAAAGGTTCTCAAGAAGATAAAACTTGGAGGCTGGGTGTGAGGGACCCCTTGTGCAGCCATGTCACCTGGAGGGCTGCTGCGCTCACGCTGGAGGAGGTGAGGTCAGTGGCCATGTTTCGCTGTGCTAAGGGAGGTTGCAATGTAATGCGCATGTAATGTCATAACACATTGCTCATGTCTGGGCTTCCTGGTGTAACAGACACACTGCACTAGCATCCATCAGCTTCACTCCATACTCTACTCAAAGTCAGCCAGGCTGGGCTTGTTTTTCCTTGTCAACAGTGCCCACAAAAGGCACAGTTACTTCCATCCACTCATATGCTTCAGACATCCGTGGAACCCCTACTGAGTGATGGGTGCTGTGGGATTCCAAAGAATATCAGACCCACAGCCCCTGTCCCCATACAGCTTGTAATCTAGCTAAGGAAGAGAGAGCATTGGAGGCCATGATATTTTCAATGATACTAGAGGACTGGGTGTTGCAAGGAGGAAGGTCCGGATGTGGGTGGGAGGAAGGGAGTTAATGGGAAAAGATGTCCTGGAGGGGGGAGAAGGCGGTCATGGGAGGGATCAGAGAAACCAATAAGGGCCCAGCACAGACCAACAGCATGACTCCTGGTGGGGCAAACTGGGCACAAAGAGCATGGGGACACATCTGTCTAGGTGCTCTAACTGCCGCCTCCCGGGTAACCCCCGGGTAACTCCCAGATACACATGCTCTGCTCACAATACAGGAGTGTGCAGCGTGGGCAGGTCACCCGGGCTGCTCAGACGTAAGGACGGGGTCCTCTGAGGCCCCAGTTACAGAGGGGGCTGAGGAAGGCATCTGAGACATGGAGGGAGCCTCGGTCTGACTGCACAATCTATGCCTATGGCCACTGGGGACCGCAGGGCCCCCATAGCCTTTCGTGGCCTCATGCCCCTCATAGGACGCTCCACGCAGATAAGCTGGTGCGTATCAGGTGTAGGACTGTCAGGCAGGTAGAACTGATGGTGAGAGTTCTGGCTTCACAGAATGAATGGCCACTGGCTGACATTAGGGGTCCTGGAAACTACCCTTGGAATTTCATTTTCCATCAAGGCTAACCTACTACTAGAAGCCCTCTCCTGGTCCCTGCCCATGACCGCATCAGCTGACGAGAAGAGTTCTAGAAATGGCAATGAAAGTTTGGGTTCCAGGAGCAGGTCTGCCTCCGCTGCTGTGTAACCTGAGCCCCATGCTCTCTGTGGGTGGCAGGAGAGGCTCTTCATCGCAGTGAGCCATCAATGGCCATGGGCTGTTTCCTGGCCTGCTCAGGGCTCAGCCCTGGCTTCCCTTGGGGAGAGGACCCTCACCTCAGATGATCCATATGAGTTGGAGCACCAGAGATTTGGGCCAAAAATGGAGCTCTTCCTGTTCTTCAGACCATACGGGGTATCCTTTTTTGGGGGTGCCTCTCCATTCTCTGCCTCCCCTCACACCCAATCAACCTGACACGCATTGCCAGGATCATTGAAAAAGTCGCAATGATAACATTGCCGCCTGATCAGAAACTATCATTGGCTCCCCAGCACCCATCTAAGACAGGGGAGAAAGGGAGGATGGAATTCCAGAAGGTTGGAAAGATGGCGGGAAAGGCCTTGAGCCAGGGGCTGAAATCCTTGAGCAAGTTGAGAAATGCAGAAGGGGTCATTAATGGATAAGCTGAAGATGTCAGAGAAAAGATGGTTCAAAGACTGCCGAGGAGAAAAAGAGCGTGAGTGGCGGCGGACAAGCAAGGGTCCACACGCCACAGTGGTGGAGAGGGGAGGAGGGGATGCCGTGCTCTCAGGACTCAGATAAGGGGCTGGGGAAAGTCAAAGAAGAGGCTGAGGATGGAGAGGAGTTTGCCTCCAGTGGAATGGGCACTCCTGGCCTTTCAGAGAGCTCATAGAAAGGGGTCGAGGCTGAGGCTGCTGGGGGCTGGGCCAGAGGAGACCCAAAGCTGGGGAGTGGGGGCATGAGGAGGCAGGTGGTCCCTCGTGGGTGGGGTGGTAAGATTTGATTGGAGGTGAGGCAAGAGAATGGAAGAGGCCTGGGAAGGGACTGGGGAGATATAGAGGATGATGGAATGGAAGGAAGGAAGGAGAGGAAAAGAAGAGGTAAGGGGGAGACTTCCTGTGCCCATAGGAGGGTTCCTCTCCACCGGCATCCTGGAGGAGGACTCAGGAAGGATTTCCTGGAGCTGGCACTTCTGTGCCCCACCCCCAACCCCATGTATAAAGGTACCTGGCACCTCCCAGGCAGAGCCACACTCTGCTGGCTGGAAGATAATGCAGCACAGACCAGCCCCATAGGACCCCTGGGCCCCGAGTGGCAGGGAGATGGAGATCTCACCTGGCCATGGTCTGAGGAGCCTGCATCCAATCCAACCTAGCTGGTAGAGCAACGGGGCTGGGCTACCCATCCCACACACGTGGCGCCATACCTCGCCTTGCTGCCATCGCCCAGGATGTGGAGACTGCAGCTGCACTGAGAAGGGCAGGAGCCCCGGGCTTGGGGGTGCCCCCCGAGGGCCAGGAGCCAGAGCATGCCCACTGCCACCCTCATGGCTCCTGGCTCCTCTGTAGCCCAGGCAGGGCCCTGTCCCTGGACTGCTCTGTCCTGCCGGCCCAGCAAGCCCAGCAGCTGCCCACTGGCTCATTGGCCCCCCCTCCTCCCACCCCCAGCCATTGGATAAACAAGGACAGGCTGGGGATTAGGGAGGGAGCTCCGGCCACAGCACTCAGCGGCTTATTGCTTCCTGAAATCACCCAGTCCTGGGGTGGGGTGAGGGATCCCCTTCCGTAGCAACAGCCCCAGGCCTAGAGAGGCCAGGGCGCTGCAAGGTGGGGCAGGTGGGCAGCCACCCAGGGACAAGAGGCTGCTGGAACGGCCGGCTGGGCTGCCCTCCTGCAAAGCCACCCATGCCTGCTGGGCTGTGGGCTGCACAGACCCCGCTGGGGTGCCTGGACTCAGAGAAGGTGAAGACAGACCCTGGCCCCTGACAAGGGCCGTTGGAAATTCTCTCCTGTGACACTATTTTGTAGTGAAAAAGCAGTGAGATGAGGGCGGTGAAGGCATTAGAAAGAGCCCTAGCTCCAGGGCCAGGCCAGCCTAGGTTCAAATCCCAGCTCTTCCATTTCCAGGCTGTGACCTTGGATAAGTCCTGTGGTCTCTCTTGGCCTCCGTGTTCTCATCTGAGAAAGGGAAGCAATGTTACTCTACTCAGGCTGTTGATTCCCAGACCTTGCCAGCCTGTGGGAACAGAAGCTCTCTCGTGAGTAGTAAGGATCCCATTTCGCTGGCCCTGACAAGCTCCTGCTCACAGAGGAGGTGGGAAGATTCAGATATTTCTGGGGGACCTCCGAAGTGTCTCTCATGGGCTGTGAATTCTCCCAGGCTGCAGGGCAGGCAGCTGCTCCCTGGGCACCCTGTGGACACCCAGTCTAGAACACGGCTGTTTGGGCCAAGCCCTCCTGGGCATTCCCACTAATGCGGAAGGCGTGAGGTGTCGCCACGTGAGGACAGAGCGCCCCTCCTCCGGTCGTCATTCTCCAAGGAAGGTCCCAGAGCGAGATCTCCGAGTTTTTAGAGAAGGCCCTTCCAATTTTTACCGTTGTTCCCTCCCCCCACCTCATCCCACCCAGCTACCACCTTACACTCATTCGTTCTTCACATTTGACCCCAAGGCTTTGCTCTCCAGTCTGGCATGCCCCACCTGGCTCCTTTGGCTTTTCCAGAAGTTTCTTTAGTCTCAGGCAGGCCTAGACCTGTGAGGTGTGACCAAGGCAGATACCTGCACGCGGGAGGTGCCTAGCTCTGCTCCAGGCCTGTTTTGACTATATTGGCTTCCAGGAAATGTTGGTCCCCGTGCCTTCCTCTCTTTCCATCTAGCCAGTGTGATTTGCTCAGTGCTTCCCCCCACCTCCTCCTCCACAAACCAAAGGCCAGCCCTGCCCTTTCCACATCTCTGCCTTCTCCTCCTTCTGTTGGGGATGCCTTCCCTTCTCTCTTCTGCCTCACTGAACTCTACCCTTGATTCCCGGCCCCGTCCTGCTTTCTCTTCTCCCTGCAAGTATTTTGGGATATTGCAGGCATGAAAAAAAACCCCGACATGTGTATTAACCAGTAATACAAGATAGAAATTGGGAAAGGGGTAAGTGGGTTATCAAGGAAGGCTTCCAGGAGGATGTGGACCATCAGCTCAGCCCTGAGGGCTGCTTGGGATACAAGCGGGGACCAGCAAGAGGAAAGGCGTGGGAAATGGACATTTACAAGGAAAGGCGTGGGAAATGGACATTTACGGAATAGAAAGAATAGAATGAGCTGCTTGAGCAGGAGCCCAGGGGATAGGAGACCGGGCTTCTGTTCCAGCTCCATTCATGAATCCCCGCGTGATCTCAGGCCGCTTCTCTGAGCCTCAGTTTCCCCAGGTGGAATGGAAAGGATGACGGTGTCTAATCGATGGAGTCGCAGGAGTCGTCCTGAGGTGGGTCAGCACAGTGCTGGCCCCTAGTGAGCATTAATAAACATTAGCCATACTGCCAACAGTGCTCCGGGCCGTGGTTTCTTTATCTGAGAGTGAGTTGAGGTGCTCTAGATTAGTGTTTCCTGATGTAAATTCACCACAAGCCAGTGCGTAACTTTACCAGGACCTCCTTTGTAGGAGCCAAAGCTTGTAGTGGATCTTGGGGCCACTGACAAAAAGATAGCAGCCCGTTGTCCCAAGCCAGTGCCCTGGGAGACTTGTATGCTTGTGTAGCTTACGTGCCCTATGGAGTCAGGAACACAGCCCTGGAGGCCATACCCATGATGTATTCTCCTAACCAAGACTTAAACAGGCCACGAAAGAAGATGCTTACATTGCAAAGGAGTAACCTGAAAAGACCCCAGTGGTCCCACCCCAGGGCACGTAGCTTGTTAGTGGCAGATTCAGAACCAGAACCTCAGTCTCCAGTCCCAGTCGGGGTTCTTTCTATGACAGCAGAGGACTTCCCAACCATCATCCTTCCCCCATCACTTGTGAGGACACATGTGAGTGTGTGGACACACACATGAATACACACTCACGCACACACACAAACACAGGTGCCCAGCTTGTCGGCACCCACACACATGGCCGGGCCCGGCCCCTCGCGGTTTCTCAGGCCCAGCTGCAGCTCAGATCCCTCCTTTTGCTCCCACCCTCCCTTGGTTACACAACTCTTTTCTAACTCGGCTCTCAGCCACACACCATTCAGAATCTGGGGCCTTAATCCTGCCTGATGGGGCTGAAATGAAGGAGACAGGGCTCCATTCTGATTTCACAAAGGCTGCACTGTCCAGCTGGTGAATGGGTTCCTTCTGCTTGGGCCAAAAGCACGATTGAGGAGTGGGGGAGCAGCAAGAAGCAGCCCGCAGTCTAGCATAATCACCTGCATGTGCTAGCACGTGGAATGGCCCCTTAAAAGGGAGGGTCCTGGCCTTGGGGAGCCAGAGAAAAGCTGGGCGGCAGGGAGGAAGGCTGAGAATGGCAGAGTCCGGGTCCCTGCCCCCCGGCTTTGGGGAGCTGGAGGTGCTGGCTGTGGGGACGGTGCTGCTGGTAGAAGGTGAGCCAGGCAGGACCTGGGGTGGAGCGGGGACCCAGTGGGCTCCCAGAACCCAGGCTGCAGCCGTGGAGCTGGCAAGGAGAGGTCCCCAAACCCTACTCCTGTGCCTGGACCTCTGGGGGCTTCTGATGGCTGCACCTGTGGGATGCAGCCTGCAGGCTGGGAGCCGAGAGAGAAGCCAGGCAAGGGTCAGGGAGGGAGGGACTTTGAGAGGCAGACGTCTCCGCAGGGCATGACCAAGATCCCAGGTTCAGGCCTTTTCATGTCCATCCAGCCAGGAGAAAGTTTAATCCACTCCCTGGAAATCCTGCTAAGAATCTTGTATAAGATCAGGCCCCTGGTAGGCTCTGGAGACAGACAGCTCTGCCACCTGCTCTCTGTGTGACTGTCACCAAGTCACTCAAGCTCTCTGACCCTCAGCTCCCTGACATTCCAGTGGGTGGTGGTGAAGGTTAGATGGGAACACGGGTGTGAAGTGCTGGCCTAGACAGACACTGGGATTTAAGGTCATTCACTCCCATCCTCCCTAGCCCCACATGACCCCCACCATCCCCATTCCCTCCGCCCTAAGCATTTCCACCAGGGGCTACCTGGGTCCGTGAGGTACCTGCCTCAACTCAGAATCCCCAAGAGGCTCACTGAGGCCAGAGCTGGGACTGTAGCCACTGGAGCTGGGCCACCAAGACTAGATGGATGGGGAATGCAGCCCTGTTCAAAGCAGATCCAGAAAAATAACCAGCACATTTTCTCACCCAACGAGAGCTGGCAGTGGAGAGGGAGCAGCAGCCACCAGGCTGGTCCTGGAGCCCGGGACACCACTGTCTGGTGGCCCAGCCCCTCTTCCTCTTCTGTGAGCCCCACAACCTAGCACCCCTCTAGGTCCTCAAACATGGAAACATGACCACTTTATGCCATTCCCTTTTTCTAGAACGCTCTTCCACACCCTGTCCTCCTTGTACACTCTCATAGTTTTGAAGTCAGGGTTCAGGAGCATGAGGAGCAGCAAGTGAGTGACGGAGCTGAAACTGAAGGTCGGCCTGTCTGCCCCCGGAGACGCCCCTCCAGCTCAGCTCACTGCTGGGGGCCAGGGCGGCTCCCAGCTCTGACCTGGCTCCTCCCCACCGAGGCTCGCCCTGATGCTGCTCCACAGCCCTTGGAGAAGGCATTTTGGAATTTGAAAGACCTGAGTTCGAGTCCCAGCTCTGCCACTTACCAGCTGTGTACTTAGGGCAAGTTGGCTGGCGTCTCTGAGCCTCGGTTTCCCAGCTGTGGATGGGGAGGGCAGTACCCAGTGAAGATGCATGGGAGGAGCCGCGGAACGTGCTCAGCACGTGCCCGGCAAGTGACGGTGCCTGGAGCCCTCCCTGAATGTGATGGCTCTGGAGTGAACCGGGCTGCGCTTCACTGGTTTTCCTCCTCTTCTGTATTCCCATCACACTGAGCTGGTAGAGGGCAGGGTATGTGTCTGTGGCTTTCGGTATCTGAGGGCCAGCCCACCTCGTAGGTGGTCCACGAGCTGCACTGGGAGGGTGGTGAGCCTGAAGAGGAGGCACTGAGGCCCCTGGCTCTGACCCGGGCAGGCCTCTCCAGCCCCGATGCCAGCCCCCACCCTTCCTTTCAGCTCTCGCCGGTCTCAGCCTCAATAGCCTGACCATCCTCTCCTTCTGCAAGAGCCCAGAGCTGCGGACCCCCAGCCACCTGCTGGTACTGAGCTTGGCTCTGGCGGACAGTGGGCTCAGCCTGAATGCTCTCGTCGCAGCCACCTCCAGCCTCCTCCGGTACCCGCCCCTCCCCAGTCCCCGAGCCCCGGGACCCTGCCTGGGGTCTGACCTCTGGGCATCGAGCAGCCAGGCCAGGGGCGTTCTTCCCAACTATAGAAACTTATAGCAGAGACGGTGAGCAGGCTGAACTAGGCTAAATCAGAATTCCAGACCATCCCTGAAGAACCGCAGCCAATTTCTGGAACACAGCAATTGCTCGGACCTGGCCCACAGAGCTGGCTGACTGTAGGGATTAAGAGCACAGGCCCTGAAACCAGGGCCCTGGGTTTGAATTCAGGCTTCGTTATTTCCATC